GATCTAAATAATTATTGTTTAAACTTTCGTATTGTTAATATTCCTTTTTAATAAAATGGATCTTTGATCATGTATAACTTATATAACTACACTAAACTGTTTAACATGATTGTTACATAGTACTTGAAGACCACAACTTTTGGAAAAATGGTGATGTCAGTGACTATTTTCGGCACAAAATTGTACTAAAAAAAACCCATTCCCTAGTCATGCCCATTTCAATATAACTTATGATCAATTTTTGATGCAATATTTTTTGTAAAATGAGCCACTTATCTTCTGTCATCCCTGGCTAATTCATAAGTTAGACCTTAGGCAGAGAAAAAAGATTAGCATGGGCCCATATATGCCTAGGCTACTAAATTTTTGGGCGGAAATGCTAATGTTATCTTTCCTATTGTGGAAGATTGGGCTCCTAGATTGAAAATGTTTGTATTTTTCCCTTTTTTCGACCATCTAAACCTTGGGACTTTATAAATCACTGACAGCAACGATATAATCTTGATATATAAAATAAGAAGATATGATATGATTGCCAATGATTGCAGGGGCGGTTCCAGCCATTTTTAAAAGGGGGGGGGGGGGGGGGGGTTCCAACCATATGTCCCCATTCAAAAGCATTGATCGTCAAAAAAATAAACCCCCCCCTGGATCCGCCACTGGATTGATGTTTATGTGTGGTAAACTTGTATTGTTTGGTTGCTGTGTGATGGATGTTTACCAATCTGGTAATTGAACTAAGACAAATGATGAAGTTCCTCCAATAAACTAATGGTGTATTTTAATGTGTCAGGGAACAATAAATAAGTGCAATTGTTAGAAGAAAAAAAGCATTGTGTTTATGTGATCTAACAATACGACACGTGTTTGTAAAGTGCAGAAAACTATTGTCTGTATCAAAATCTAAACGAATACCAAATGTTAGTTTTATATTGCAACAAAATCTGACCTGGATTTTTGATACCAAAATAAGCGAGGACATCTGATCCTTCCTCTGGGGGGATAGTGTTGTCTTCTGTGATGGTTATATGGGGGGGTACTGAAGTATCAGCTTTATAGGAAACAAATATAACTATTTTAAATTGTATTCTAGTCAGAAAACAGGCAGTCAATTGTTTTTTAAAAATTTATATACAATCAAGTATAATAGAATTCAATCTCTTATGCATTGGAATTGATATTTCATTCAATGAAGATTTAGCCTTGTTTTATCAATAGAATTATTGTATTACATAATAAATTATTCAATTTGAGGCTTACAAAAAACCCCTACTTGATAACAATAAAATCATTCTTACTGTTATGTCTTACTGGTCGAACGATCAGTGCTTCATACAGTAACCCAATAACTCTGCCATGCAAAAGCTGTTGAGTTACTTTAACAACAATATTGAAACTTATGGATCATCCCAACAAGCAGATCATGCATATTACTGCAGGGTAAAACAGAGCTTTTATTTATATGAGATAAATCTCAGTAATGGTTAACTTGTACAATACTAAGCAGGGTAAAACAGAGCTTTTTGTTTATATGAGATAAATCTCAGTAATGGTTAACTTGTATAATAATAAGCAGGGTAAAACAGAGCTTTTGTTTATATGAGATAAATCTCAGTAATGGTTAACTTGTACAATACTAAGCAGGGTAAAACAGAGCTTTTTGTTTATATGAGATAAATCTCAGTAATGGTTAACTTGTATAATAATAAGCAGGGTATTTACTGAATCTTAATATTGCAGTTCTAAGAACTTAAATTTGTATAACTACTTTGGTTAAATAATCCAGCCCATCCATGCCAACCAGCAATCTATTCTCCCTGAACAGAGCCCCAGTAGTACATCCTCCATCAAATCTACAGCACCAATGTTACCAGAGAAGATGCAAGACAAGTGCATACATTCTAAAGCACCAAAGTATTGAGAAACCTAACACACCAACAAACTGACAATGATCATGATTATTCTTTACAATTTTGTTATGACTAAAATGAGCTGTTTTTAAACTGATCATTAACAGTAAGTCCCTGGAGCCTTACATGACATGGAGGGGCCAAGTCTTTAAGACCTGAATACACTTTGGACCAAGATAACAATAATTTTGATTCTGATATTTTGAATTTCCTATTCTTATTAATGGGACAGAAAACTAAATGATTTCTAGTTTTACATGGAATATCTATTTCATAAAGTTATTGATTACTCACAAAGTTAAGCAAGGGAGATGAAGATGCAGAACTTATGACAGTGCTAATGACAAACACACAAGACTTTCCTGACATCTATGACAAGTTATTATCAGTGTTTATTTTCAGTTTACGTCTATTATCCAAATTTATTCACCTTTGCAGCTCTTTGCTAAACAAACAATCAGTGGAAACTGACAAAACACAGAAAGTTGTTTTTTTTAATTTTAAATGACATTTTTAATAGAAAAATAAAAAATCATGAAATATTGATGGTAAATAGCATCAACTATCATGTAAAGTTACTGAGAAACTAACCTCATCTTGAAACTTAACCAGATCACAGGAGTATGAAAATGATATCAAGGTCATACGGCATATATAGCTAAATATATGCTCCTCCCAACCAAAGTCTATCAAGTATAGGAGCTGATGAACCATTTTGGTCCTAAAAACAACCTCACCACTCAACTGTTAAATTGAAATGAGGTCAAGGCCAAATGACATATAAATGTATTACTTTCAACCAGTCTATTTGCCTTATACTGTTGACCTACTATGTAAAGTTAGTGAGAAAATGAAATGATGACAAAATAAATGACTTGAACACTAACTGAACAAAGCCTCTCATAAGTTCTTTTTCTTTAATCCAAACAGTGGACAAAAAAAAAGACAGAAAATTCTTTACAATCTATTAGCAATGTGCAGAAATATTTGAAAGATTGATTCAAGACAATTGAAATAAAATCAAAAATTATATCCAACAATTAACATTGGTAGAATGACAAAACTGGATGGTAAATTCATTGTTTTAATCAAGCGAAAAAAGTTTTTGTAAAGAACAACGAAGGAGAGTAGAATTTGTAAGATCCCATTTATTTCAAATTGTGTAAATAGAATAATCCGTAAATCATTGTCAGTTTGACTTCATCCCTTTGTCTTCTGACCTGGATTTTTGATACCAAAATAAGCAAGGACATCTGATCCTTCCTCTGGAGGGATAGTGTTGTCTTCTGTTATAAGTATTGCTGGGGGTGAAGACTGGTCAGTGTCCTCTTTAAAATAAACAGCACATTAATAAATACATAGTTCACACCATGACAGCCTAGACTACCTTAGTATAATCACAATTTGATTTAATTTCTGAGTAAAAAGAATGATTCTACAAATTAAAACTTTGTTTCTATGCAATAGAACAACAGTGTAATAGAACCACCTCCAATAAAGCTGAAAGAAAATAAGCTATTTGTATGACTAAGTTAAGTGAATTCTTCAGTGCTAATTAGAACGTCCCAACTGACAAGATAGAAAATCTATATTTATATCATTTATCCATCACCTTAAAACCTGCTTGAATGAAAACATTACATGAAAGGAGAATGAGTGAATGATTTATCAGAGAGAAAAACTTATATTTGTGATAAGTCTGAATATTTCTTCTGTCATTTTCAACCTGCTTAGAATACAGATCCTGTGTCCATGCTTTGCTTACAATCATCTGACAACACTCTGTTCTACTTTCTGTTCTGGTAATTATTACACTAACTCGAATAATTCAAGCCCTTTCCGTGTCCGATTTTCTCCCACACGAGGGCTTGAACTCCTTATGATCATTGGCCGCGTCGCCTGCTCTCTGTGAGAGAGAGCCAATCGGTGGCCATCAGGATAATGAGTCTGCGCAACTGTCTTGTAATTGTCTTACCAAACACGTGTGTTCAATTAACACAAATCCGATAATAATTAATTAACATCAATTAACATCAGTTTACATCATTTAACATCAATTAACATCCGGAACTCCTCCTTCTTTAGCTGCCAACTTAAATCAAAATTCCCATATTGCATAGCGGTGTGAATTTTCCGGTTGACGGTCTTTATCGAGGAAGACGTTCAGGCGTTAATGTAGCCTTCGTAGATCAGCGGAATATAACGACTGAATTATTCGGGTTATTATTACACCAGCCATTCAAATTCTTGCCTACACATTTTTGAAAGGTGTATTTCATTGCTACAAAACCAGAGGATCCTGAAAGGTCTTTAAAACAAAAGTACAACTAGGGTTGTCAGATCCTAGTAAGCAAAGGGTGGACACAGGTTTTGTACTTTATTCAGATAGTGTTGTTTTGAGCTGCATCAAGTCACTTTGAATGTGAAAAGCAATACAATTCTTAATACATCCCATTGACGTATTTACATTATAAGCAAATAAATCATTTGCATAATCCCTCTACCTTTACTTTAAATATTATATTAATCAACAAGATTAAATCAGACAACCCCAATCTCTTGGTGAAAAGTTTGCCTCGATTTTTGGGATTTCATGCATAACCAAACTACACGTCCTCAAACCATGATAATACCATAGTAAATTAGATCTATGAAACATATAGTTAAATACATGAATATCCAAATTCTTGCTTATTACAACAATTTTAGTGAACAATTCAAGTAAGTGGTTTCTAAGGTAAGGAAAACCAGGACTGTAATCGCACAGAAACTCTTGGACAAATTAATGAAGTTGAGTAACTAGGTCAAAGGGTCATACAAAAAATCAGGACATTTTTCACACAAAATAACTGTGGAATCAACAAATCAACTTTGCAGGTTAAGAACCATGCATACAGAAAACCATGCCATTAGCCTGCAATCCAAAACTCAAACAATACAAAATCATCTCAATCAAAACTCCAACTACAGTATGATGTCTAGCAAATCTAACAGGCTAAACTCTAGCTAAAACTCCATTCAACCAAACTCTAGGATAGTACAGTCCAAGGCCAAACAACAAAACCATTCAAATCAAACAAGAAATTCTACCTTCTTCATATTCCTCATATGATGAAGACTCCTCGTCTTCAAGGTGAGGCTCATAGCTGATCTTAGTTATGTCCCTTTTGGCAAAACCACTTTCATCTAACTCATGAAATTCTGAATCAAAGAATATAAAACTTGTCAACCAAATAAGATAAAACCCCATGAAAATATGAACACTATATAAATATAATGAAATATTAGATTAGACACCAGAAGGTCTAAAAATAATTTATATATTATTTCATGTTAATTTCAACTTCTTCATAAAGGTAGAAACTTTTTTGGGGTTTTTAACAGTTTAGTACTTAAAAAAATCCCAGACAAACAACATAAACTCCATGCAAATGGTAAGGTATATATATGAGTTATAGACACAACAATCTAACTACCATCAAACACTGACAAATCATCACAACACTAGAACTTATGTTATAACACTGCAATAAAACAACTTAATCTATGAAGACACACACTAATCTACTTATGTTCAGCCATGATTACACACTGGCTAGTGATGGGGGACAATATTATCACTCAGGTTTACCTTGCTCTGGTAAAAAGTCATCTCCTTCAAAGTCTGGTTCGTCTGATCTAAAATGTACATGCATCCTGTTTTCTTTCATGAAACCAGGGGCAGCCCTGATTTGTTGGGACTCATCGTCTTCTGAGTCACTGGACACTGTATCACTACTACTACTACTTGATACACCTTCTGCAAAGGCTGATTCTGTCATGGGGACCACTTCATCTACAGAGTATTCTTCTTCTTCTACATTTCCAGATTCATCAATGGATAATGAGCGAGTTTTGATCTTATGTACTACACGGCCACTGGTCACTTTACGTTTGATAATTGAGCCGTCTGGTTGGCGTACCTCTACTTCTTCCACGTCCTTTACAAATCTTGGTGGATCTTCATATACTTCTACAATTTCTTCTCTAGTACTACCAGGAACCTCAACTTCTCCTTCAAAAATCTCCTTTTCTGAGTCTTCTGATTTGACACTGCGATGGATATGTTTTAGAGAATGTCGTCTCATTCTGGTCACTCTATGTACAGTCCCGTCAGGTAAAATGTTTTCATCTTCATCATAATCAACAACTTCTCTCTCTGGCCCTTCTTCCTCCACTAATTCCATATTTCCAGAAACTGATGGTTGCTGCATCGTGTGCATCTTAGTGTGTCTAACAACAGTGCCATCAGGTAATGTTTCTTCATACATGCTTTGTCCACCAGATAAATTTGCATCAAATACTGCAAGGAAGGAACAAGACAAATAAGACATTGACAAGCAAGGCATGTGAAAGAGACCCCAAAAGGGTAATCAGTAAATGCTATATAACATGCAGTGTAAAAGACACATACTGTGGTAACAGTATGAATATATAAAATTTTCAGTTTTGGTTTTGTATTTGAAGAGCATTTTAATATTCATTTTTATCCTTTTTTCTAAGATCAAGACTATGACATTTCATTTTCGAAAAAAGTATAATTCTAAACCCTTTTGAGCCTCATGACTAAGTGTACATAAATAATAATAAAGGTAATAACGTGCAGGAAAGCATACACTAAAGCATGCAAAATGAAAATTTACATGTTGCACTTTTCTCTATTTTTTTCTCAAAATAATAATTATAAGCCATCATTCAAATAATTTGGTTGATATTAATACACGTGTTGTTGTGTTAAACTTACAATATAGGACTGTGTGTCATTCATTAAATCTGTCGCCAAAAATCAATTAAGCTTTATTATAACTTATATTGAATTCACAGGAAATAAATACTTGTGCATAAAATAAGGTTAAAATTTAGGTCAATGAGCCATAAGGAACACCAACTCTTGCAAATTTACAAATGTTGTTTTTTAGGACTTATTTAAACTTCTGATTGATAGATTGTTGGTGTTTTAACATCACTTTTAAGCGCCACTTTTGGGCTATTTCTTGGCGGCCAGTTTTTACTGGTGGAGGAAGTCGGAGTGCCCGGAGAAAACCACCGACCTTCGATAGTCTAAACTTCTGTCATCAAAACAAATTTCCATAGATCAGAAAAACTAGTCAATTTAGGAAAAACTCCTTTAAATACATAATGTATGTTTAGTACTGTTATAAAATAAGTCATATAAATTACTACAATCATTTTCACTGTCTTGAAAACAACTATCAATTTCCCCCATTATATTGGTCAGTATTTTTTACAGTTAACTGTTTCCTGAAACAATAGCCAGCAAAATAAAAGATAAAGCAAAAACAGTGAAAAAAGCAAAATAAATTAATGTTAATTTTTAGTGAGTTAGGTTAGTAATAAACATATAGGATATTTTAAATCAAATAATAATTACTGCTAGAACAGTTCAGCTTAATATACTTACCAATGGTTGAAACGTTTAAATTTAATTGTTATTATAATTGATGCTATAAAATTTACAGTTTGTTTTTAAATTTTATAATAATTTAGTAACAGCCTTTTAGAAATGTTAATTAATATTATCTGATATATTATAATTTTTATTGCTTTTCATCTAAAATAAAAAAGACAATCCATCCTTGCCCATGCAATAATAAAATCCCTGTAAAGTGCAAAATGTGACCTTGAACCACCTGCAATCTAAGCAACCTAGCAACATTATGATGACAAAAACACCAAAGCAACTTGTAAACAGATTTATATGGTGGGTAATAATTCAGGGGACATATTTTACCTGGTTCCAAATCACCTTTGCCGAACAAGACAGGTCGTGAAGTTATTTCATATTGTTCTTCCCTCTCGACCTGTCGTGCTAAATCATAGATCTCCTCTACAACATCTGTACCACCCATACTTGATTCAGACATTGATGATGAAAAAATTGACCTTGAACTTCCAATGGATTCTGGTTTAATCTTAGGAAGTGTTGCCTTGATTTCTACCTGAAAGTCTTCCCCTCTGTCACATTGAGTATTAAATTCTTCCTCTCTGGCATGCTGAATCTCCTCAATGTATTCCTCTCTGGCATGCTGAATCTCCTCAAAGTCTTCCTCTCTGGTATATGGAGTCTCATCAAAGCCCCATACATCTGTATCAGGAATGTTATTAAGTATTTCTTTTGAAGAGTAGCATGGTTTTGTTATGGTCTCAAACTCTTCTCCACGTTCACACTGTACAAAAATTTCCTTCCCATTCTCTGATGATGATGATGATGACGATGATGAAGAAGATGAAACAGATTCTGTCCGTCTGTTTTCACCTTTGACCTCAATATCGATTAGAGGATATTTATCCTTTATTATTTCTCCGTCATCATCAATTTTCCATGTTTTTGTTACGATCTCGTCAGGTCCAGAAAAGTCTTCTCCCTCATCTTGGTCTATTTGGTAATTTTCATCTAACATCAAATGGTCAGCTGTTAAAAGTGCATTATTCTTTAAGTTAAATAATTTGTTTATTCCAACACAGAGATAGTTAGAAATAGTTAGTAGATCCATTAGATGTTGCTAACCCTTGAAATAAAAGATGCATTCCTCCATCCATAGATAAAAGTATTCCATGCTTTGTATGACCAGTTAGTCCTTTCTGTACATCAACCTCATGCTTAAAGACATCTTTATTTTCATTCCGACATCAGATCGTAGATTTCAGTCAAACTTTATATTCAAGTTGCATAAATAGTTCTTGATTACAACACAACATATATATGTGTATATATCCAAACCTAACATAGAACTGTTAAGGTGTACACAACTCGTGCAGCAGTCATGCACAAAACTTAGAAAGTATAAAAGGACGTAGAAGAGTAAAGAAACCGAGAACTTCAATACTCAATCACGTTTATAGTGAGGATTGTTGTTACATATACAAGATCAGATGAAAACACAAACTTTCAGCAGAATACAAAAGAGAAAATATTTTCTATAATTTTTCAGTCTGATCCACAAACACATGACATACTGCACTAAAAAAATTAAGTAAACTAGCTTAAAAGGCCAATTTAAAGAATATTTGTTATTCAGTTCAAAATTTTACCACCCATAGTTTGGCTAAGACTAGTGGCTCACAGACTGATAAGCAAAGGCCTTACTGTTTGTGTGAGAGCTGTTCCAGAAAATGTGAACCATTGGGCCGATGAAGGCATTTAAATTAATCTCCTATAGGTGGTTGGTTATAAAAACAAATTTAGTAATTCTATGGTCAATGGGGCTTCTGACAAAGCATCTCCAAAATCACCCATTTTTCTGGAACAGTCCACACTAATATCAAATGATTTGTAATTTGTAGAAGTCCAGCCCAAAGTCAATTTTCCATCCAATTAAGACACAGGCATTTTCATAATAAAAAACACAGAAATTGTCATGATAAAATTTGTTATTTTAGTTTCAATATACATAAAGTTTACTGAGTAAGCAGCAGAATTAATTATAAGCTAGCAGTGAGTTATCTATACAGAGTAACATTTACCACATTCAGATTCAATATAGTCCAGTCAAGTATATATCACAATTATAAACCATGTCCATTTCAATATATTACACTGTTTAGTATATAAAGACATTAATTTACACATTTAAACCACCCCTGTGAACGATTATTAAACAGACAATTTATTGTTCATATTATGATATAAATAACAGATACCAGTTATATAACCTTTAAATTCATACATTATACAAATTGCCTTATCACCCAAATCAAATTACTATTCAATATCTATAAATACTTAATAATTTACATAAACATCTGATTTTTTTTCTTTTGTTGTGTTTTCCCAAACTATATTATTTCTTTAGTTAATTAATATAAATAATTCTTTACTGAGAATTTTACATTTGAATTCTTCCATAATAAATGTCTTCATTTCAGATATTCCAATAATTACTGATTATAACATAAAGTATGTTCCAAAAAGTTATTCATCCTATTGAAGAAAATAAAGATTTGAAGTAAAGCATTAGAGATACACTAGGAAAAGAGTCAAAGATAATATTTTAAACATTTTCAAACTATATTTGAAAGACTAAACCTAGAAGTGCAGATTAACTACTGTAAATTCAGAAATTATTGCTTGCATTTATTATTGCGATTTTTGACGAATGGACAAAAATGCAAGATTAATTATTGCGATTTCAGAAACATCTGCCTACAGATATGTGCACCAGATTTCAGAATGCGAGTTCTTATTATTGCGATACTCGTGGAGTCGCATAATATTCGCATTAATAAAAACCTCGCAATAATTTCTGAATTTACAGTATCAATAAATTTCCAGGATTTTGTATAACATTGTCTCTTCTTCGTTTGATGAAATCTATATATATTATCTCCCCTCTTCCTATCTTAACACTTTATTCTCTCCCTTTTTCTATTTAAGCACTTAATTTTCTCTCCCCTATCCCTATTTTAGTCTTTTATTATTCTCTCCTCTCCCTATCTGAGCACTTCAATATTATCTACCCTTTCCCTATTTCAACTTAAAATATTTTCTCCCTCTATTATTATTCTCTCCCCTCTCCCTATTTTAACACTTAAATATTCTCTCCACTTTCCCTATGTTTGCACTTTATTATTCTCCCTCCTTTCCAAATCATATCTACCACTATTCATTATACTCTCCACTTTCCCTATTCTAACACATTCTAACACTTTATCAAAATACATTTTCAAGTAAATCAAAAGCAAACCGACACATCAACAGCAGAAAACAAAAATGACTGAATCTAAGAAGCCTTAAATCCAGTGCTACATGTATATTAATCAGATCAATAAAATGTTAATACAGAGATTACCCCTTCACTCATCTCTCAATCTTAAGTAAAAATACCTTGTGTTTCAGTTTCTACAGTACTTGGTCCATCTCTATTAAGCAATTTTTTCTTCTCTACAGTTTCAAATCGTTCTTGACGTTCCACCTGCGATAACACCCTAGCGCTACTATCTTGACCTTCGCTAGATGATCCAGAACTGTAACCCCCACTTTCAGAGCCAGAACTACCTTTTCTCTTAGGTGATTTAAGACCTGTACTAGATGAGCTTGATGTTCTAGATTCGGGAAGTTTTTCTATACTTTGACCCTCTACTTCAGTTTCTTGAACAGTTGTCTTTGGTCTTTCCTCTTTTATTTTAATGACAGTTGTCTGAGTAATACTAACTTCACATCCAGGTCGTGAATCCTCATCATCAGAACTAGATGGAGACTCTGATCCAACCATCTCCTCTGACTGTTTAGACGATGGTATTTGGCTAGTAACAACTTCTGTTTTGGTAACTTCTATCACCTCTTTTTTAACATCAGACTTCTCATCTTCACTAGATGAACTAGAAGATGAAGAGGATGATCTAGGTTTGATCTCCTTATCTATTTGGTCAGTTGTTTGCTTGGGAGAAGTTAATTGGGGTCCAGATGGTTTCCTTACTTCTACTACCTTTTCTTGCACATCAATTGTTTGCTCTGTTCTTTCAATTTCCTTGTCTGAGACTGATGACATTGAAGAAGATGATGTTGACCTTGTCCTGTCTGGTCTCACATCTGCAATAAGCTCTCTTTTATCCTCAGATATTTCAACAAGTTTAGACGCAGGAATGTCATCTCTTTCAAACACAATCTGTGGTTCAGTGGCCTCTAAAACATCTTTTGTGTCCTCTTTCCTTTCAGTATCTTGACCCCCAGATGAACTACTTGATGATGATCCAGATCTAGTTCTGACCTCACCTAGGACTTCTTTCTCTCCTTCAGTTTGTTTAGTGGGTGGAATCCTATTACCAGTGGCTTTTATGACCTCTTGTTTTTCCATCTCAACAGTTTCTTCACCTCTTTCAACATCTTGTTCTGAAGCTGATGAATTACTAGATGATGATGATCTTGGTTTAACCTTCTCAACAACTTCTTTCCTTTCTTCTGTTATCTCAATTTGTTTAGTTTGAGGAACCTGTTCTCCATCAGATTTTGTAGCCTCTTTTTCAATTTCACCCCTTTCTACACTTTTCTCAGATGCAGATGAACTACTTGATGATGATCCAGATCTAGTTCTGACCTCACCTAGGACTTCTTTCTCTCCTTCAGTTTGTTTAGTGGGTGGAATCCTATTACCAGTGGCTTTTATGACCTCTTGTTTTTCCATCTCAACAGTTTCTTCACCTCTTTCAACATCTTGTTCTGAAGCTGATGAATTACTAGATGATAATGACCTTGGTTTAACCTTCTCAACAACTTCTTTCCTTTCTTCTGTTATCTCAATTTGTTTAGTTTGAGGAACCTGTTCTCCATCATATTTTGTAGCCTCTTTTTCAATTTCACCCCTTTCTACACTTTTCTCAGATGCAGAAGAACCACTTGATGATGATCTAGATCTTGATTTGACTTCCTGTGTAATCTCTTTCTGTTTTACTGGTAGCTGCTGGTCTCTAATGGCATCTCCTGGTTGCTCTACTGTTACCTTGTTTTCTTCTTTCCTCACCTCCTCAATGTCCACTGTACTAGGTGGAGGTCTTACTTTGCTATCAGTTTCATCTTCTGAGCTTGAACTGGAAGAACTTTTTCTTTTTGCTTGATCAATTATTGCCCTTATGTTGGTTTCCTGTTTAGGTTTACTACCATCTCCCAAAGTTTCATCTTTGATCTCCTCATTTTCAGTGATAGTAACTTTCTTTGTTTCTTGTGGTATTCCTTCAACCTCTTTGTCAGATTCATAATCAGAAGATGACGAAGAGGAAGATGTTGTCATTTTTCTTTTACGTGTCACATCATGTCCCTCTGGCATTAAATCCTCTCTCAGACTTTCAACTATTTGTGCCATGTCTGGTTCAACTTGTCCTGCCTCATACTGTTGTTGTTGAACAGATGCTGTACCAGTCGGTTTTTGACGTGCGTCATAGTCAACTCCTCCAATAGGTGGAGCTGCTGCTTGAAGAGTTTCGGTTTCTTGTACAATATCCTCTTTAAACACAATTTCTGGTAAGACACCTGAAAATTGAATTAGTGCAAATATTAAAAACAGTGCACAACAAGACATTCTGACAAATACATGCTAGACAACATACATTGGTATTTATATAATTATCAAACAGGTTTAATGAGGCTTTGTAAGGTAAAGCATTACCGAGATTGTTTATGATGATCTATCAAAACTCTTTCATTTGTGTTTATAGCTATAGGAAACTTTAGGGTAAGTCATCTAATGCATCTACATTATACAAAAGTTATTCTAGAAGACTCAACAGTACAAAACTTTGAACCGGAGCTTTCCGATATCCTTGTTTTATCCAAACCCCTTCATAAAGTGTTATGTACGTCTTTATTCAAGAATAACTCTTACAAAATCTAGAAGTATCAAATGAATTTTATAGGAAGCATGCTGTTAATTTAATTTTGATTAAAAAATCATGCAAAGTCTTCAGAAATAAATTTGATTTCATGGTATCCCTCAAAAACAATTCATGCTTCCTGACTACTGAAATAAGGAAAAAAGTTAGTTAATAAGAAGATAAAAGTAGCTGATACATACGGTGCTGATCCATAATTATAATGAGATATGATGGTGGCCATGATTATAGCTCTCTCTCTCTCAGCCAAGCAGTGACAGCAGCCTAGAAGTTCTGGAGCAGAAGCTGATCTCTCACTGGCTAATGACTAAGGATACAAGCTACTAGCTAGTCTCTAATTAGTAATTGGGGATAATTGTCTATAGCTTGTTCATCGTGGATCTTTAAGGAGTTACAAAATATAATAGCTGGTCCCCGATTGGATTCTTTGGAATTTGCTATTAGCTGGTCCTTTATTGGTCATTTTGTAGACAGAAAAGTAACTAGCTGGTCTCTTATGGCTTGATTGGATAATTGCTTCTAGCTTGTCCCTCATAGGTCATTTTGTAGATATGAAAGTTACTAGCAGGTTTCTTGATGTGTTGCTAGGGATATATGCTACTAGCTTGTCCCCAAGTTGTTATTTAGTAGAGGTATTTGCAACTACTAGAGACCAGAATGGTAACTATCTTGGAATACTAGTTATTCCGTACAATAAGCTACCATTTGTGCAGCAGACTATTAGACAGCATCAGATAAGTTATGTCTGATCACTCATTACATTCTAACTGTATTAAGTAAGCTACTAGCAAGAAATATTTTCAAGCTATAGATATAAAGTTTTGGTGGTAGTAGTGACAAGTTATATTTTAAAGTTTGGGAACAAAGCTAATTATTCATTGTTATGTCCAACACAGTTATACTTCCATTTTAATTGTTTTAAATCGTCTTTTTTCTATGTCTTAAGCTTGTCCAACGAAAACCATTTTAAATTGTGTACATTTGTTTTTATTTTGTATGTGCTTATATACCAGTACACACAGAATGTTTGATTCATATTTTTTTTCATTACAGACATCAAGTGAGTGAAAGCCAGAAAAACTTTAGAAGTCTTTGTTTAAATTGTACCAATTTATCTGTATTTATAACTATATTTGAGGAAATGCAAGATGACTAATATTACTATGACACATGGGGTAAAGTTGTGTAGTTCTTGTATCTTTCTTTATAATCTCTTGGAGCACCAGACAATTGTGTCAATGATAAGTCAATATCTCTTCAATCATAGATGTATAAACACATACATATGGGTTTATACATCTATGCTTCAACAACACATAATGATATGCATATACAATAGAAGGAATTTTTTTACAAGAGTTTCCCTGAACTTGTGTCAAAAGGCTCCCAGGTCCTAAATTATCTGGCAATTTTTTTCTCATTAAATTCTACTTAATCTTAATCTGTTATTAAGTGGAGTTTTTAATTTGGTTGAGTAGTGAAGGAGACTTGATGATGTTTTCCTTTGTTGTCCTGTTTAGAAAAATATTCCTAGTTGTTGGCCATCTTGAATGTCAAATTGAGTTAAAATTCAGTTATTCCAAGGAAAAGCATTGAAGACTGTTTTATGATGACAAGCATGACTGCCATGTGATTAATAGGTGTTTTCCCCCATTTACAAATTTGGCTTTGATATCACACGTATTTTCCTCCTATGTGACTTTGTTCACTATGTAACTCCTGTCATATTGTGATTACTATATGGTAAGATGTCTACCTATCATTGACAAATATATTTTGGATTATAGGCATTTTCCCATTTGAATGGTTTTACACTAGTAATTTTTGGGGCCCTTTATAGCTTGCTGTTCGGTGTGAGCCAAGGCTCCTTGTTGAAGACCGTACTTTGACCTATAATGGTTTACTTTTATAAATTTTGACTTGGATGGAGAGTTGTCTCATTGGCACTCATACCACATCTTCTTATATCTATATGTCTTTTGTTTACAAGTTGCTAGGATTACTGTCTCATTACCATACTTCCATGATTCTTTTTATTGACATTACATCAAAGGTTAGTTATAAAAGCCTTGTAATACTTGGAATAAGTTTGTACTTTCTATAAGCACCTTATGAGTGTCAATGCTTATTCCAGATTTAATAAACATTATAATACCCTAATGTCACTACTACCAATGTACACTGCTTCATAGATGATTACCAGCTATAAAACAGAGATACACGTAGAGTAAGTGAGGATTATATCTGTAGTATTGTAAGCATTGTATTGTTTCTAGAGATTCAAATCATGGTATAGATATAAGCAATACAGAAGGTGCAGTATGTTGGTACCAGTTCTAAGAAGATCATGAGCTTAATAGAGCAGTACGAGTCTGTTTCATGAGCACTAAGAACTGGTAGCTTCAATCCAAGTATCAGAATACTATTACAAGCAGGAAACTAGTCCAAAGTCAGATAGAGGCTATACTGAACTGTCCAATCAAACATTACAAGCAATAAACTAGTCCAAAGTCAGATAGAGGCTATACTGAACTGCCCAATCAAACTGCTCAAAACAAGACAACCAACAACCTCAAAAACTAATATTCCAATCCGACACAGAGATGCTTAAAAAGTCCCTTTCTTCTAACATTTTTTAATTTCCTAACTGTTCAAAAATGCTCCTAAGATTTCTATAAATTTGTTTATATTTGTTTAAAGACTGTTAATTTATGTAAGTTATGTTCTTTTGATTAAAACTTGTCAAATTTTTACTTAAATGATTATTTTTTACACCTAAAATATCAAATGTCCTGTGAAATAGACATACATAAACGTCATAATTATCTGCAAGTCTAAACCAAAAGTTGAAATGTATTATTTCTGAACATTTCTTTTTTTCATTGAGAAAAGTATAATGATCCAATGCTTAGTGATCTCAGAGTTAGTTTTGTTAGATATCTTGTTTTAGTTATGGTCAGAAATGAACAAGGAAATGAAAAGTCACACTCATGCAAAAATAGTATACTAAAAAAGCAAACAAAATGAACAAGTAATCAGCAAAGAAAGTGAACTAAAGTGAAATAAGCATTGACACAAAATAAAGCTAATCAACCAAAATGATGAAAGCATAACATTCTGGTCTGCTCATTGTAGAAAGTGTCCTTTAAAACCATCACTACTCTCAGGTATTCACTATTCTAAATTCATTTAACTATGCTAAAGTATTTTTTTGTTTTTGTTAGAATAATTTAGTAGGCTAACAAAAAAAACCCAGCCAAACACCAAAATAGGAAACAAAAGAAACTAAATAAAATGCAAATGAGAGAAACAAGTGAAAAAAAACTTGGTTAAATTTTATTTCTTTTACCTGTACAATTAAGCACCTCATTTCTAATTACTAGCAACAAAAAAAACATTTAAGGAAACAACAAAATAGAGAATAATTATTAAGAAATGCAACTTTCCGTAAGATAACTCTTCAAGCATCAGATAGACATATTAAAGCTTGACCTTGAAAGAGAACTGGTGACCTTGAGCAGTGATTGGACAGCCATTCAATGACAATGAGCAAAGCAGATTGCCAAACAAAACAATGCAAAAAATGAGATGCTTTCTCCAATTTTATTGGATTTATTAAATGCCACAAACACAGATTAGTGCAAAAAGCTTAATAAGACAAAGATTGTTCATGTTTACATCAAGTTATCTTTTACAAACACAAATGGTAAGACATGCATGTTACTGGTAAATAAATTACAGATAGAAAGTTTGTAGTCTTTAAAAAAGTGTGTTTAAATTCTGTTATTTACAGCAGTGTCGAGCTGTCCCAAAATATATATGTTGAACTCTCACATCAAATAAACCCATGCTTTAATTTACATTTCTATTAGTAATTCTTTTTAACTAAACTAACCATGCTGTTAAACCTTCAACCTTTTCATATAGTTTACTTCAATCTTTCTACTTCTGCATTTTATTTTCCAGTTCATTTAAGTTAAGTTTGGTACAAAAGTTACATAAATTGATTTTACTGGTGAAAACTAGAGTCCCCCCCCCCCCCCTCCCCAAAAAAAAAAAAAAAATAGGAAATAATTATAGAAACACTGTTCATATCTCTTTGTTCCAAAATTTTTCTTATACAAACCTATTTGCAAATATATTTGACAGTATTTTTAAAAAAAATTTAAAAAATGTACAAGTTCTTTCTTTCAGTAAGACTAAATCTGAGAGGCATAATTGATATACACTTTGTACATAGGCCTTTAAATTTTGATAAATAAATAAAAGTGTTTCTTATAATTTCTATTTTAACATCTTCTAACATCTAAGTATTAACAACCAACCCTAAAATATATTTTTTGAGAAGAGATATAAGCAGGCTCTATTGAAAGGTCTTCCTAAATTACACAAACTTTACACAGCAATATATATGAAGCTTTTGGATAAAATTTTCAATATAATCATGTGAATATCATGATTACATCAAAAAAATTCCAACATACATTTATCATTTCTATCTTATATCATAAACATTGGCAGTGATTCCTTTCTGTAATTGTATCAAAAAGCAATTTTTTTCATGTCCCTGACTTCTGAGTATTTGTTTAAAAACAACTTAAATTCAAGCTCACTTAAAGCAATTAAAAAAAAACCATTAAGCTCACTTTAGCAATACCAAATAAATGGTTCAAATCACAGTAAAATTTAGACAAAAACTACTGATTTGATAAAACTTCAACTGGAGATATAATCTGGATAAACAATAACATTTTAATTAACATTAACTAAAGATAAACTGTTCTTTGTCAGGTAGAATTAAAAATTTTGGTAGCTGCCTCATGAAAAATATTGTAATTTGTTATAGACCTGACGTTCTTGTACATGCAACTATTCTTGTTGTTGACTTATTGTATAAACTAAAAATTTTGTGAGAGGCTTTAAGTCTGAGATGTATACACCTCACGAAATCTCGAAAAAAAACACTCACAAATTACTTCGGGAAAATCGTAGGTAAATTGAACATGCTTCAAACAATCTTTTTTGTTTGCATGTTTTAAACTTATTTGACAAGACTTTCATTATTTATATAGAAAATCATTCAACAGGCATCTGAATTTTATATTAAAGTTAATTTAATAATTTAATTACTGATCACTTATTTTGCCTTAACCCATTATAAAAGATAAAATGTAAAAAATTAAAATATAAAATACTGTAAAATATTTCTATATTTGAGGTATAAAAAGCTTTCAAGCTAAAATTGAATTGCACTGGTTTGAAATGTATACAACCCTACAACCTTCTTAAAATATACTAAAATATAAAACTACCATATAATATCTGCATGTTTATACTTGATACATTGAAAAAAAAAACAACATTCACATGAAGTATTATTGGGATAAAAATTCGGCAAATTATATATTGTAAAATGTTGTGGTTATGTAAATATATTAGTACGTATTGTAAAAATTTTGTAACATCTGTTTGTAAAATGTTTCCCTTAAATAACTCACATCTACAGCAGTTCTAGTCCTCTTTCTCTTAATCTTAAATCAAAACGTCAAACTTTTACATTTGAATAAATTTTAAAATTTGAACAAATTGATTATTTAGAATCAATTAAAAGATGTAATCAAATGATCTTTTTAGATTTCTAAATCAATGTTTGACTTTTAATTAATGAAGTCAACACAAGTCATATAAGTTATCGTTCTACAGATGTGAATAATTCAAAGGAAGTAACTACAACCATAATAAACATATTATCCCTATTTGCCATTTTCAGTTCATTTCACCAAAATAAACAAATTTTGACATAACAGACAACCATATAACACAGAAGACAATTAACATATTACACACCAGTTTCATCTGCTGTCTGGGACTCTGTTGTTCCGTCACCCACAGACAGACGGGCAGCAAGTGTGTCCAGAGAAGTTTCACGGGTTTCTTCTGTAATGAAAAAATTAACAATGATTACTAACTTTGTTTGTCCCCGGTTGTCAGAAAATATTTTTGATATCTGTTATTCCTCACTGTAATAATTTACATTATGATAGAAATAAAATGTGTGCAGCAAGAATAAAATAAATCTGTAAACACTATAAACCAAACTAAAACAAATCTTCAGCATTTAATAATCCATTTGCATATATTATTAACTGTTTATAACTATTATGAGATTCAAGCAAGGTATTTTATTAAGTAACTAATTAAAACAAATTAATTAAAATTATGCATATCATTAATTGCCATACTTTGTAACAGTAATATACAACAACAATACACTGATTACAATGATAATGTTTATATGAAGATAGATTTGAGTTGAGAAACGGACAGGAACAGATCTAGATGAATATTTCCTGTCTGCACTGACAACTTATGACCCTTAACCTCTTGTTCTGCCTCCTTTGATGTTAGTGTCACTTTGGAATGGAAAATTATTACTGTTATTCAACTGCTGGTTATGATATGCCACATTGTAGAAAGGTTATAGATGGAAAATAATATAAATATGGCACTACCATGATCAGGTGAAATTAGATTGACAAATATTTATTACATTTTTGCAATTTCATTATAAGAGTTAGATTATAAGATTTCAGAAATTCAGCAAAATTCTTGTCAATGTTTTAGTTTCAACAAAACCTTAGACCTTGGAAATGTGTTACTCACTTAATAGTTGGCTTACAAATTTTGGCAAATGTTTGATCGTAAATGTTGTGAATGGATATAATTTTGAAAGAGAACAATTTATGATACTTAACTCAAAATAGTTAATATGATAATGATGTTAATGAAATTTACAATATTAAAATGTAACTGCTCTGGTTTTACAACAAACAATCCTGAATTTTATCAAGAAGTATCATGATCTATTGAAATTCAACATTATTCATGCAATGAACACAGGTTCAATGTTACAATATTTATCTCTGTATTACAATATGAGTTATTCCTTCTTTAACATTCTTGAAGACTAAAGGAAATAAACTCTCTAGTATTTTGGATGTTAGAAAAATAAAATCCAAGCTTACTATCTGATGGAAAATGAACGAAAGTGCCTTAGATGTGAGTTTACATCATACCCTTGCATTAACATAAGAGTTAAGCAAGATTGTACCCCCCTCTTCCCCCCTAAAATAAATCTAAATTAAAATCCTGCAAGGTTTTTGTAAGAAAACCATCATTCCAATAAAATGGTTACATATACACTGTACCAAGAAATGTTGGTGCTTAACAAAGGTAACATAATTATTTTTTTAAAAGGCACAATTCCTTCCTCACCCAGAGAAATTTTCTGATAAAAAAAAATCCAAGAATTGTAAAATAGGAAACATTAGCTTCAATTTAAGGAGAGATATAAAGACAAGTAATTAGGGAACTATCCAGCCTAAAACAAAATAATGACAAAATAATAATACCCATCAAAACTTTGTTGCTTGAGATATAATTATCTCTCAGACAAAAATAAAGTGAAGAGAGACAATCCAGTCTCAACTTTGTTGCTTGAGGTATACTGTAAACCAACTTAATATGCGATATGGGTTTTGCTCATTGTTGAAGGCTGTATGGTGACCTATAGTTGTTAACTTCTATATCATTTGGTCTCAGGTGGAGAGTTGTCTCATTGGCAATAATATCATGTCTTTATTTTCACACTCAGCTCTTTTAAGTTGACTTTATGTTGATTTATTTTTGTGATCTTCTAACATTGTTAGTGTATTCATATGAAGGAAGATCTATGGTTGACATATTTTGGAATATTTTCTCAATTCAGTCACTTCTATTGGTTCATTGTATATCCTCAACTAAGCTTTAAAGAAAACTTACTTGCAAGAAATGCATAATAAAGTTCAGCCTTACCATGCATTACAACATTCACCATGCAAACATTCATATTCAAATTAATAAGAAATATTTCCAAAAAAAAACAAGACTAGCTATCTTATTTCTTGTATTATCACGTGGCCCCCAGAGACTTCAATGAATAAACAATGTTATTTCTATTTCTTGTATTATCATGTGGCCCCAGAGACTTCAATGACTAAACAATGTTATTTCTATTTCTTGTATTCTCATGTGGCCCCAGAGACTTCAATGACTAAACAATGTTATTTCTATATGATTTTCAGAATGGGTGAAGAGTTAGGAAAACCTCTTAAATCTAAAATTACAAATTTCAAGTGGTAACAATAAGAATTTTTCCCACATCTGTGAAAATTCTCATTTAAATTCACCGAAAACACACAAATATTGTCCTATTGGTACTAACATTGATATTGGTACTAACATTGATATTGTTTTTAAGATTTTAATACCCATCTAAACATGATTTGTATTTAGACTTATTATTGCTGTTTTTTGCACATTTTTTTTTGATCTGTGTGTTAATAATTTGTTCATCTTGCACTAAAGGTTTTTATCAATTGCTGTGAAGGAGGATATATGACTTCATAAGCCTATTTCACTGATGTTGTCTATGAAAATAGCAATAAACAGATTATCAATGCTCTTTCAAACTTGAGGGCTCTTGCCCTTCGATTGGATTGTAGCCAATAAACTCCCTCTAGTATGAAGATCCATCAATAATCTATAATTATCCTTCAACCCATTAATACTTATATTTTTTGCATTGCACAAGTTCATGCTTTTTTTCAAGATCTGGTTATGATGTTTTTTCAATAAATCCATTGGATGTGTACTGATTGACATTTTAGTCTGGGAGAACATGATTTATTTATTAATTAAAATTGGGTTTTGAACCAGCTTCTAGTAACTGTGAGTACCCTTAGATCAGTAATTTATTGTTTTTGTATTAATTTATTTGCTTTTGTGTTTTGTATATATCTAACAATTTGTGTCCTTCCTCACTGATTTTTACTGTTTGTTCATTTTTTGTTTTGTTTCACTACTGTCCAATGTTAGGTGAAGGGGTGAGCAAAAAATTTTGTATGTGCCTGTCCCAAGTCAGGAACTTGTAATCCAGTTGCTGTTGCTGGTAGCTGCCCCTTGTGTGTCCTAAATGTATGTTATTCATTGTTAAAGTATAAATAAGGCAATCATCTTTGACATATTCCCCATTTCCAATCTCAATTTTATTATTCATACCATATTTCCTTATTTCTATCTATATATTATTATCCTTTATCAATTTATTTTTCTTAAACAAAGAGTAGATCTATTTATCATTGATTTGCCCACTACATTAACCCTAAATACAGGAAAGTACTTTATCTAAATTCTAATCCCCCAAAATCTCAAAATTCTGAGATTGGTTCTATAATCATACATAAAATTGTTAATATAGCTACAAAATATACCCAGAAGTAAAAATAAAGTACACTACAACATCAAAAGCTAAACTTTAAGGGCAATTATAATGTAGAATTACCCAGTCACAGGTTAAACAAAGCCCTTATACTGTTGTAAAGAGTTAAGAATTCCACCAAAAGCCATACAACACACCAGAATATGACTAAAATAATAACGTAGTCCAATAAATAATTTTTGTAAATTGAAGTGACAATTAAAAAGTAAAAAAAAGGAGCAAATAGTGTTACATAAAATTCCACCGAAAGCAGGTAAGAAATACCTTTTAGTATTTCAGTTCTTATGGTTGTACCCTGAGAATTAATGGTGGTCGTTTTTCTTATTGTTCTCACAGTTTTGCCATCAAGACATTCAGTAAAAGTCTCTACAATTTCTGTAATTTCCTCACATTCTTCTTCTTCAGACTGATTTTCTTCTAATGCAGCATTTAAAGTAAGAAATAGGTTGTGTTTTGAATTGCACTTTTTTTTAAAGTTTAGTTCTATTTCCAAACTAGGATAACTACATTTAAAAGTCTTTTTTCAGTCTACTTTGGATTTCAAAAATAATGGCTGTAAAACTGAGGTTACTCTTAATCGGCAGCATTCTGATTATGACTTTAAGAGTAACCATGATGATAGTTTTTTTTTATATAAATATGCTTTCTTGTACCTTCATGTATCAAGGGAAATAATCTATTGTACTTTTTTAATATCAAGGGAAATAATCCATTGTACTTTTTTATATCAAGGGAGAAATCCTTGATTTACATCTCTTTTTTTTTTAGTTTAAAACATTTGAATTTTAAACATCATGGTTACTGCTTCTGTCATTGAACTAAACAAAATAATCATTAGTTTGTATATTTTTTCAATTGAAGATATCTCATGCTTTCAAACAGCCTCTCAATCCCATGCAATGTAGTGTATGAATATTACTTTGTAAGCTTGTAAATTATCATGTACAGAACACACAGCCATATGGCTTAACACAAAATTACATGCTCTTTGCTGAAAATATATCAAATAAACAAACAGATATAAACTGTTTTTTTCAAACCACATGTCAAAACATGCTAACCATATTATATTTGTTAATGACTAGTATCTATATGATTTGATCATTTTATTGTCTATTGCTAAGTTAGTTTAAGTTAAGTAAATACACAAATAATAAGTTGCATGTTATCCAAACAATTTCAATTTACTTTTTTCATATCATTTTCTCTCTCTTTTTTTAAAAGTAAAAATGAAATTTCATTCATCTTAAAAAATTTGACCTAAGCTTTTGCTAATTCTAAAAAATTAATGAAAAAATATTGAAACTAGAATTGAGACTAACATGACTTAAGTGTAGAATTGACTGTCCTACCTGACTGGGTATAATAAGTAGCTCCACCCAGTTAGGTATAAGGACAGTTTATCAATACTGAACAACAAACAATGTTAATGTATTGTGAAAACTTCCATAATACAAATACAATTTTACGGACAAATGGTCCATATAAGCTGAATATGGAAAGTTGAGAGGAAAAAATTTCACTAGAGTTTACCAACATAGGTCAAACTCAAGTACTTTTTAAAGTAAGTTTTATACATATGTAAATGTCATCACAATTTACTTGTAAAACTGTTTGAATGTCAATTTCTAGTTTATTTGATTCTGACAGTTAACATCAAAATTCTATGTAGTATGGAGGTTTTCACAATAACTACTATTTTGAGTAATGAGTTACAAAACTGTACAAATAATTGAGTAACATCAACAGCTTAAGTTCTGGAAACCATTAGTTAAAACATCCACACAATACATTTTAGGCCTCATTAATACTTTATCTTAACCCTTATGTTTCACTGTTGTCACCATATAACATCTACAATCTATATTTTAATTGCGAAATTCCTAAAATTTAAGGACTATTTTCTATAAAGTGGTCATGATAAAGTAAAATGAATTCTAAAATGTGTAGGAACTGTTAGATCTAAATAAAACAGGATTACACAGCTATCATCATCTATACCAAATTAGCAACAAATCTGATAAATTCTTTGGCATCGTATATTTGTGAGGGAAAGCAAAATAACCATCATATAGACATTAAATCAAATGCAATTACTGACATCACGAGTTATGTTTAACAAATATATTTAAAAGGTAAATAAAATTCATTGGATTGATGTCAGGTATTTTTCTTTATCAGTACCTGGAAATCAGAAAATTATGATCAAATTTTCTGATTTCTAGTTTTCAATGAAGTTTTTGATTGGTAGAGAAGATATTTAATGAAGTTTTTCATTGGTAGAGAAGATATTTTTAAGTATGAAAACAACATCAATATCTTAATGGTGATGGTTAGTACTAAATATCTTGAGTCATTGTAACAATTACTAGCAGAAAATTTTGTCAGTTTCTGAGATTTTATCCTTTGTGAAATAGAACCAACTTTAAAACTCTTTTATTTTTACTTTCTTTCAATTCATAACTAAAAATCTGTACTAAATCTAATGTTTCAGTGAGCAGAATAAGAAAAGGTCACTAAATTTTGGAAGAGGAATCTATTAATAATGATTAAAACAGTTATTAACCTAATGCAAATGCTCAACAGTGGAAATGAAACATGAGCAATTTCTATTTCATTCTTGTTTATCACATGGGATAAGAAAATTCATCACACACAAAAAACAGTAACCTTACAAACCAGCACTCTAATGTGAAACAACAACAAATGTATGTGTAAAGAGAGATTGATATTTTTAGATGTTAAAATAAAAACTAAACACTTCAGCTACTTTTGTTAAGAATTTTGAACAGTTCTTCTAAGAAAACATTGTGTTTGTCAACATTGCATGATAAAATATTTCCCTGCTCTGAAATGTCCTGTTTTACAGTACTGAAGCTATGCTATATTTTCAAAAGTTTGCTCCATCTAGGATTAAAAAAAATCTTCCAACATATAACATGTAACTTGTTGGCTTATTTTTTTGTCATTTTATTAACATTCTGAACTATATTTCAAGGTTCAAGTGCAAGGTTTTACCCAATTCATTTTAGAAACTATAGAAAATCAATGATAGTAAAGTGTTTTTGATCATGGAATGACTATTGGTAAATATTCTTATTGATGGAACATTCATAAGTATTCAAGTAACAGGTGAATAAAAAGAGATACAGGGCATTAATCAATGAGAAATCTCATCTAAACCAAAAAGGTATTTAGAGGTAAACATGATGTTCACACGATGATGTTGGACTATAAAGTAGTAAAGTTCGTTGTATCCAAAATTAAGGATTTCAAATTATCCCAAAAGCAGCTGAAGTGTGATATGTGATTAGAAACAAAAAGAAAACATTGAGGACTAGCAGTTATATGGCTACAATGTTGTACCTTCATATGTATCTTTCTCAACGGGGCTGGGAGGTGGGGTGTGCAAGCCTTCTTCATCTTCTACGCTCTCTGGAATTATTGTAATTATTATCTTAATTGTATGCTATTAAAGTATAACAAACAAAGTACAAGTATTGATAATTCTAAATCGGAAAAGTACATTTTTGTATATCAAATTCAGTTATACAACTTCAAAGAATATATAACATATTAACATAACTATAAAGACTCATAAAATATATGATCAATTTCTATTTAAAGCTATAACGGCTAAAAATACTTTAAAAGGACTATTCCTAACATTCATGCTTCTGCAGATACTAGGCTTTAATTGACATAGATATATGCAACTAAATCATGTTAGTACGCTGCATTAAATTATAGCAGTGGAACTTCATCAAGAACTTAGTAAATATGTTACTTTCGCAATGCAACTTTACACAGACATTACACAGATATTTGACAGATATTTGGAAATTCTAATTTGATTGTTGCCTTGAAAAATACTGTGTAAATAACTTTTTACAAGTTATACTGAGAAGTTCCACTGTACATAAACATACATATAAGTATCATTCCATGCTTAAAAGTAAATCTCCTAACTGTTGAGGATATAAACATGTTATACCAAATTTACTGTAACTCATTGAAACTAATACTAATATCCATTGACAGACAAAACGTTCCTTTAATTCATTATTTGTCTCTGAATTAAACAGATTATGTGTAGCTACTAAACAGGTATTTGTCAATAAGAGAGATTTTACAAATACAAATTATTTGCCACACATAAACATATTTTTCTCATATGAAGTGCTATTTGTGGAAACATGCAAAAGATTTCAAGATAAAAAAATTAATATAAAATAGCACATATAACCCTTTTTAAATTTAGTAATCAATAATATTTATATTATATATATATCATATATAAGTATATAAATAAATAAATACTTGAGTATCTTGTCACTCATAGATTTTCACCAATACTAATAAATAAAGTAAAATCTCCATATGGCTGTTTTTATAAAGGGTCTAGATAAAAATAAATTATTTCAAAAGAGATTTGCAATTGTATGTAAAATTCATAATAAAATTGTTCTAAATATAAAATAATGTTATCACATCAAACCAGGAGTCATAATTAGAATTTTTGCTTAAATCAAAATTAAGTGTGGTATTAGTATACTCATAAAAATAAAACTGGTGAAACACTGAATGCACATAACATAGGGAAAAATCTAAAAGGTAAAATACACACATTGTTTTAAAACTATCAATAAAATGTTCCAGCATGTTTGATATCTAATACAAATTAAATTTCTCATTCATGACAGTAGACGACCCTGAACAGAGGTCATGAAATATGCCTGACCGGCAAACTTCGGTCCAGTCAGAGAAATGCCAATTGTTTGACCAAATATCAGACAAATGTTTTTAATCTTACTATGTGATCAGGCAAATTATATTTCAGTCAGGCAAAATTTTTCATTTGCCTGAAAAAATGTCAGACACAAATTTCAAACTTTCGAGCAAATCTTGAGTCATTACAAGTATGTTAAAATATTACTTCCCATTAACTATGACAACTGTTACAGTTCAGAGATGGTGAAACAATAATCGTTAATATAAAATTCAATTGTGGTGGAGACTTGACAGTGCAGTGAAATCATGCTTCGGTACATTCATAGAGAATTACCATAAAACGCATAAAAATAAATCACAAAATCTCAGGGTTGTCCATGCATGACGGTACCTTTGATTTTTTGTTTTTGAGGGATTGATAACTGTTTCATGGTCTCTACCATATCTATAACAATATCCTGAGAGCTTGGACGTGAATTCTTTGTATGAACAATTTCCTCTTCTTTCAGTTCAGGCTGAACATCATCTGAAGATTTACAGTGTTATTTCAGTTTACATGGGCAATCTTCATAAATGTTGAAGGATTGAAAACTTAAAACTTCTTTTGACAGACAAAATACTGTAAAATTGGGAAAATTTAATGAACGGTTTATTTTCACTACTTCCACGATCAGAGGAGATTGAAGAAGAAAAAAAAAGGTAAAATTATTCTTTAGAGACAATCAAGATCAGGAACAATAAAAGCAAAATTAAAACTTGCAAAAGCTTTGGCCCTAAAAATAGTGAGAAAAAAAATCATTTAACAATATTCATTTAGGGATATTTAGTAATTTATTATATACGTAGAAATTTATAAAAGTAAATTTTAAGTTCTTAGCTTCACATATTTAAATATATGATTATTATCATTGGAAATGTTTTGATTCAGTTCTTTGTTTCCCATACTTTATGAAATATTAGAAATCAGTCTTATGATATGGGAGATGGACATCCTTTGCTTCTCATACTTTATAATACATTTGATATCAGTCTAATGATATTTGAGATGGACGTCCTTTGCTTTCCATAATTTATAATGTATTAGAAATCAGACTTATCATACGTGAGATGAACTTCCCTTGCTTCCCATACTTTATGATACATTAGAAACCAGACATGATATGTGAGATGGAAGTTCCCTGTTTCCTATACTTTATGATACATTAGAAATCAGTCTAATGTGAGATGGACATCCTTTGCTTTCCATACTTTATAATATATTAGAAATCAGACTTATAATATGCGAGATGAATGTCCCTTGCTTGCCATACTTTAAGATACATTAGAAATCATTGAATTGATATGCGAATTGGATTTCCTTTGCTTCCAATACTTTATGATACATTAGTAATCAGACATGATATGTGAGATGGATATCCTCTGCTTTCAATACTTTATGATACATAACTAAGAAATCAGTGTAGGTGAAATATGTGAACTAGATGTAGATGATGATGATCCATCTACCTTTTCTCTCCTTTTCTGGTTGATGTTTTAAATCGGAAAATTTGTCAAGCTGTCCAATTAAATCTAGAAAGTCTTCATCTCGTTTTTGAACTTGAACTTCCTGTTTTGCTTGTGGTCTACGTTCATCAACTGTAACCACCAATTCATCATCCCCTGCTTCTCTCTCTACATTAATTGAAGGTAAATTCATACACTTTACAATATACATTCAAAAATCTCACAGTTCAGTATTTTTGCATTAGGAAATTAACTAATAGACCCATCTCCTGGTGTAGCGATATGGAATATATAAATAAATAGTAAAGATATTTGATGATATTATTGTTATTCCAATATTGGTGCTTTGTCTTATCCCCAAAAACCTAGATTTTTTTCAAATAATATTATCAATTTTTGGTCAGATTATGCATACAATTCTTCTTTATTCCATATCTCACTATTTATAGTAAAATTTCCGTCCAGTACTAAATTATCTGAAATTCTCTCACAAATAGATGATACCATTTTCATTCTTTTTATAAATAGGTACATTAAAGCTTTTATAAAATCTTAGATCAAAATCCAAGCATAATACCATGCAAATCTGAAATGTTAGATGTCACACACTTCAAACTTCAAAATGGAACTGGACATGAAAAGCAAAACTTAAACAAGTGCCATTGGAAAACACAAAACTTTAAAACCTTTTTTTACTACAGCCTAAACAATGTTAGTATAACAAGTCATTTTACTTGAAAGGATTTAAACAAAAATGCCTGACAGTATAGATATAAATACTAATAATTAGAAAAATCTTTATTTTGTACTTTTAAAACTTAAATGACTGATTATAAATGTTAAACTACAATCAACAATAATTTTCTTTTTCGTAGATTTGCATTTACTATTTATATAATGTCATTCAGCTGTTTAAACGTACTGTCTGTTAAAATATAGACAAGAATAGAGTGTATATAGTGAAACGTATTGGAATGTGCATTCAGTGTTTGATAATTTGAATATAATCACCACAGAAGTATTAGTGAACTCAAATTTATCAGTAAAAAAAGAATAAGAATAACATTGTACTGAAAATATACATAACATAAACAAGTAAATAAATAGTGCATACATACACAACATAAATACATGTACTTATAAATAATGCAGGACACATTGTTATTTTGGTTAATTATGAATTGAGTTCAATTTGATTAAATTTAACCTGTCTTTAGAATCTAAAGTTGGTAACACTGTTTTTGTTTACCATTGATAATAAGCATGGCATTTTAAAATATGATGAATATTTTAAAACTAACATCATGCAATATCGTCAGAATTTAAATGAAAGGAATTTGATAATATATGTATGATGCATTATTCAATTCAGGTTATAAAAGGATAAAATAATGAATACAAGATTTAAATAAACACAACAATAATAATCTTTTATAAAGAAATATAAATACAAAAAATATACTTAAATGAAACATGCATATCAAGAAAGAAAACAGATTTGCTTTAATTAAGAAAATTTTCCAGTTGTGTTGCCAGAGATGAAAGAAGAATGAGGCATGCTGTTTCTAGCGGTGGCAGCTCCAACAATTGATTAAATTTGTGATAAGGTAACATCTCGATGCCAGCAATTTATTTAGAACAAAATATGTATTGTTTATTTCATATGCAAACTTAGAAGATAAAGTTCAATATCCAAATCGGTTTTCTTTTTACCTTAATATAGTAAAACCATGTTATTATTTATATAAAGAATATATTAATAAATAATGCATTTGTGCTCTATTTTTCAAATAAAAAAGGACCGATATTCCTCAGTCCAAGTTCTAAGACTACAGGTTCTCTGAAAAGAAATGCTATTCTCTAAATTCCTTCCCCAGTTTTTGAAATTAGAAAGTACCTTAAGTATTTTTTCCCCCTCCATACCCCCCCCCCCCCCCCCCCTCCTAATTTTTTTTTAACTTGGATCTCTCTCCTAGTTTTGAAAATGCAGCTGTCTCATTAAACTTAAAGACATCCCCTTTAAAAGTTGTATGTGCAAGATAGACTTTCATCAAGAATTAAAAAGAAATTATGAATAAAAGGGAAAAAATAAAGTGGAATGTATTTGTTTCCAATCAAAAACTGTGAAGAAAGGATAACTGCTTTAAAAATTAGTTGGATAAACATAAAGTACAACAAATTAGTAGAACATGCAGTGTTACAGATCACCACACCAACAGGGATGACCATGCAACTGGTACCTTGCTGTTGTTGTTTTTGTGGTGGGGGAGCAGCTTGCTGATCAATAGATTCTACAATTGATATTATCTCTTCTGGCGACAGACGTTCATGTTTTGTATGAACGATTTCATCCTCAGTTACTGTTGGCTTGTCATCAATATCTAGAGTTACATTATCAAAACCGTATTAATGAGCAGTTAGTTAGAAAGCGTAACCTTCCAAAACAAAAAGTTACATCAAATACATTGTAACTAATTAATATGTAAACAAGTTTGAGTATGCAAATCATATTCTGTCATACTGTCAGTCTTTTAACTTGTATGAGGTCACATAACTCCACTCATGAAATATTAGATCCTCATTCATGTTAGCATTCAATTTGTTATCAATTACAAGACCACAATATTGGAACTCACAATTGGTTTTCTAACAATTAGTTCTAGATCAGCAATACAAATCCTTAGCAAATTAATTTTTACACAAAGCTTAAACATGAAATAATGCCCAAAACTGAGCGAGTTAATGAAATGCTAAGCTATAATGCAATGATTTCAACATGTATCAATATCAGCCTTAAAAGCCATATCATATCTTATTCACCAGCCTTCTGTGAAATATAATCAGTTAATTGCAATACATCTTTCTTTTATGTAACAATATTAATAAAAAATAATCTAAACTACGAGTATACTTTGTTATAAGCTTTTCATTCTTAGAAAAATACAGAAAGATTTTACATGAAAAGAGGAGTTATAACCTTATTGCTTTTTGCCCACCATTCCTGGACTTCACAGACATCCTTGTAGAATTTTGACATTATAAAAAAAATATGGAATTTTGACATTATAAAAAAAATGTGGAATTCCACAAAAGAACATTTCAAATTAGAAGAGATTTATTCAGTGAAATAAAAGTCATAAAATATATATTTTCTGGCCAAAGAATTTTGTACATTTATATAATGTATAAAAAGTTGAAGCGAAGAGTAAAGAAGTCTGTATTAGTATCTAATGTTATGCTTATTAGGTTGATTACAACATGGAAATGTTCAATATGTAAGTCTGGTTCCCTGTTTCATTAACACATCTAAAAAGAACTAATTACTATGCAAAGCAAAATATACCAGCAATGTCTTAAAAAGATCAATTGGCGACAAAAACTAGTATACTGTACTCTGCATTTATAAACAAAATATCATAGCTCAAACTGTTGTTTTTTTTAACAATTCAAAGGCTTTTTTTCCAAAAAAATGAGTGATTATAGTAGTAACTAATGATACAGGGAACCAACAGCTGTCGACAGATTTCAGATGGGTGTACCTTCTCTGTCTACTGTTCCTCGTTCTTTATCCTGGCTATATTTATCAAGTTGATCAATTAAATCGAAGAAGTCGTCATCTTGCTTTTCTACTTTAACTTCTTCTTTTGCTTGTGGTCGTCGTTCATCAACTCTGACCACAAATTCATCTTCCCTTGTTTCTGTTTCTAAAGGTGAATTGAATTAGCCAGTAAAATGCAAAGCAATGAAAACAACATTTATTCTTCATATCCAAAACTGACTAATATCCTTGGCTCTATCGTTAATGAAATCACAATTAAGGCTCAGAAGTATATACAAAAAGTTACAAAATTTCATGAAAAAGATCATTTAGGCTGAACTTGATAAATGAAAACCTGTGAAAAATATATCACTGATCATCAGTTTTTCAAGTAAATAATTTAAAAAAAAAATGAAGATATTAAAATAAAGAAATACAATTGTTTTAGCTATTAGTCTTCCTTTCCCAAAATGATATTGTTATCTTGCTACTTTTAAAATAAGTTGCTTCAGATGAACTACATTTTTTAAGTGTTGTTTTCATCATAATTATTTATTAACAATATGCATTTTGAAACTAACTATGGTCTTTTTCTAGTTAAACATTAATGAAAGCCAGAATCCATTCCGTATCATGGAGTTAAATGAGTTTCACGATCAGTCAGTTTTGGAATACAATACACAATGTTTATTCACAAGTCCCATTCAGTGACAATCAGGCATGTTAGTAAATTTACATCAATTCATAAATCACTGTAGGAACAATGATTCCAAACTAAAGTCATTTCAGAAATCATTGTATGTTTCTCATCAACATCAATAAAAATGTTTTACATATTACATAAAATTATGTAAATATTTAGCTTACAAATTGTTTATTTTTCCTTATTCAATATATAATATATGAACTGGAGACTACTAAAAATTCGAGCTTTCAGCATCTAAAAAAACTCTCCAATTTAGCTATAAGGTATAATGACAATTCATAACAATTGATACTAAAATCATGTAAATGAAACACCAATAAAGTTTTTATGTCAAGGGTCTAACTCAGATAGAAAGAACAATAGAAAATAAAAACAAAAGTGTGAAACCCACTTGATTGAAACTAGAATTTTTAGTTTAATTTTTCATGGATTCTAACAAAAAAAATCTTAAGTCCTTCCTACTGGTTTCCTGTTATTCAAAAGGTCTAATGGAAAACAGCTGAAGTCAGATCAAAATTTGTTAGGTCCAGTAAAATGTTTAACAAATATAGAGTGACAACCAGTGAAAGTCCAGAATTACACTATGTGTTCCAGTGAATAAACACTGTATACAAACTGTCCTTCAAACATTGGAATATCTGTTTTATGATGTAACTTATCATCAGGACATACACTTTAATTTACCCTATTTCAAACTCGCCAATTACAAAAAATTCCAAAACTAAGTATATATATATATATGTCCCCTCAAGTAACACAACTAAGTCAATAGACAAAAGCAAGCAAAACATAAAAAATGCATTGTCCATTTTTACCCCATGCAGATGGGAAGTATCAAAAAACCTGTAAAATTTTCTACAACATTAATAGTATCTTTTTCAATATGTTTTCTGAATAGAAATATGTCTGAGTATTCAATTTTTTAGTGGATTGAGAAAAAATGTATTTTTATAGGAACCTGATTTCGTGGTATTTACAAATTCTATATATGAGCTTACAGAAAATTTGTATTTCTTTCAACACTAAAGCTTGTGGTTCAGATATACCAACAATATCTAGGAATTTTAATATCCAATGAATGATGATGAATCCACAGTATTTAAGATTTATTGCATTTTAATGCCCTGCATTTCCAATGTTCACCATTCTAATTACTTTATTTATATGTATTAAATGTGTTGAAGTCCGGTTGAGGATAACATACCTTCTTCTAAAGCCTGAGGAGCTTGTTTATCATCAGAACTTGGAGATTCCACTACAGATTCAGATTCCTAAAATAAAGTCAAAGTCAAATAGTTATTCTTTTATAAACTACAGCAAACCAATTAAAAAAAAAAATCTTCCATTCAAAATCATATGGAAAATCATCATAATTATGCATCTTTGGAATATAAAGTTTTGACAATTAAAATTGTTAAAAGGATACAGTCATTTTCGTAAGTATTTTTCAATTTACTTATCTCCGTCAGTGTTTATATCATTTAAGATTTTGTTTCTGCAATAGCTTGAATAATCAGCCTTAAATTCATACCATATAAATGAATTTGCCACTTCATGGCCTTTAACAGCTTGCTATGTGGTTTGGGTTTGCTCATTGTTGAGGCCGTATGGGGACCTATAGTTGCTAACTTCTACATCATTTGGTCTCTGGTAGAGAGTTGTCTCATTGGAAATCATACCAATACCACATCTTCTTATTTTTATATCATAAGTGGTAAACAAATGTATTAACACAGATAAGTTTTCATAACATGCTTCTAACAAAGCTTCATCTTTTCCTACAGAAATCACTACAGCGTTTATCTAACACAATGATTAACAGCAATCTAAAAAGAACAATGTAACAAATGACTGTCTAAACTGCATCAAACTGGGTGTATTAACAGTTTGATTGTGTGTATACAATAGTTACTCTACAGACATCACACATTCACAAGTCTATTAAAAGTTTAAACTGTTTTGTGTTAGGTGCACAATTTAGGTTCAAAACATGTTACAGACAAATTTGGCAGAACAATAGACTCAAAACAGTAACCATTCAGTTTCTAGATTTGAAGCAAAAAGTTTCTTGTAAAAATCCTTCATAAATCTTTTTTTTGTTAGATTTGTCTTATATGCACAAATGATTCAGTCAAGAAAATTGATCAATTCCTTCATTAATCCAATCTGATCTCGAAATATAAGGTGATTTATCATTAATATTTCAATAATAGACTTGTCTTGTATATTACAATGCACTGAATGCAGTTCAGTCATTTTAAGGTCATGAAGACCTCCATTCATGCTTGAGTAACTTTTTGTTAAGTTTTTACTATTTCTTAATTACAACCTTGTCAGTTCAATCAAGCCACAGTAACATACATTTCACTATAGAGTGACTTTTTTAAAGTTTTGCAATTACAAATGTTAGTCAATTTCTGAGAAACTTTTTAATTTATCTTTATCAATTAATACTTTACTACCAAAGTTTTCTAGCATAGAACTCTTGAGTCTATTTTAAAACAGCAACACGTTTGTTAAAACTTGTTGGGTATCTGCCAGTACCTTTAAACTAATAATTTTTACAAAAGAGAACAATTATGCATAATTTCAACAATTTATAAAAAAAACACTACTTTCCTACAAAACATTAAGAATGCAATGCTCATCTTAATGTTATTCCAGAAAAAAAATGTTACAAATAAAGAAAAGAGTGTCAAAATATTTCACTGCAAAATTAGAAATAAAACAAAAAAGGGAAGACATCTCACCTCAAGGTCACCCATCATCTTAACATGCAAAAATAATAAGAAAAGTTAAAATGAAAATGTGTATGCATGCTATTAAAGAACATATTCATTATGTGCTCCATTGGAAACAAATGTAGGGAAGGATTTTAAAATATTTTTAGGAAAGCAAAAACTCCAGATTTCTTATTTGCTCTGAAGTTGTGGAGAATGGGAGAAAGAAAGGTACTTTCAACTCCAAACACCAAAATTAACTTCTCGCATCATTTTCTTGAATAGCAAAAAAAAAACTTATATTTCAAAGTTTAATACCTTATATTGATTAAATATTGAACATCCCTATAGCTTTCTGAAACTCTAATGAAGTTACTACAACAATAATAAAGTAAATCCAGTTAAATAAATATTCTATAATAGGATACCTTAACCATATCTTGTTCATCAAATTGTACATCTAATGACATGTTACGCTTCATTGAATCTTCTCTAGATATTCCAACCTCCTCAGTAAAAGTGTCAAAACCTGCAAACACAAGAGGAAATCTCCATTATTTAAGTGATTAATACTTCACACAGATCACTTGTACACTTTATTTTCAATTATCTATTACTTGGCAAAATTCTGATTTCAATTGGGGTTTGTTTAGGCATTTCATCAAAAGACTTAAACCTTGTTATAATATTGGTTCCTATAAAAAAAAAAAACAAGCACGAATTGAAAAAAAATTATTTAAATTAAACAATCAACGAAAGATCTGAGCAGCAGTAAAGGTAGTTAACTTGTCTAATAAAAATAAACAGCATGTCTTTCTAAAAATTAATGTGAAATAAATATAATGAAACAGAGTATCAGCATTTTAAATCATATATATATATATATGAAAGCTAGCATGTCTGATAAAACTTTGGTGACATTGCTTGGTTTGTATGAATGTATATATTGTAACCATAACAACCACTAATTACCTGATTGGTCCATAGCAACTCTAGCAGCAGCTGCCTCCATCTCATCCTCAACATTCTCCACATTATATATACATTTCTTGACAACATCTTCTCTATTGATCTTTATTAGAGCTCTTTCTAAGGCTTGACCTGTAGAGTATAAGTCAAATCAAAATGAAAAACCTGTTGCTTAACCATTCAATGAAAATTAAAAGTCATAAATGACATTATATAAGATTCTATACGTGATTACAGCTGTAAGACAGATTTTATTGCTTAATGTTTAACTACTTTAACCAAATGTTAAAAATTCAAAAGGATTAATAAACGTTTTGTATCCCTTTTGGTAATATTATCTATCTCAAGTATTTCTGCAATGATTGAGGCTGTCTTTCAGTTCCAAATTGGTTATAAACCATTGTTGTTTAATTCAATAGTTTTATCTTCTAACTGTTCTAGCATAGAGAAGGATTCAATGTTGATAGTTATTTATTTATAATGTTTGTTGTTGCAATAAGAGTTTTCTGTACCAATGTCTAAAACATGGAAAGAACTTTAAATTTGTTCTGGTTGTTCATGGATTTAATGTATTGAATACCAATAACATTGAATGGACTTAAATATTCCTAGTTATGTGATAGTTGCTACAATTGTTTGGTTTAGTATGTTTATCCACTCATGGCAAGTGCTTGGTCGTTAATAGTTTTGAGTTTGTTGATCATATTTCTAGTTATCTGATAATTGTTACCTTTCTTCGGTTTAGTATCTTTAGTAGCAATACACAGTTAAGAAAAAAAACTTAAAATTGACACTCATAATTCTTAACCACCATCTTTCCCTTGCTTTCTAACAAGTAAGGCTTAATGTTTTTGTTATGTGCATATGTATGGAAACAGTATCTTCCATAGATTTGATTTCCAATAGTTAAAATGGTGACATATAATCTTTTTTGGTGTAACCATGGCAACAGTCTGCATTTATTTGATACAAAATATTGCGAAAAGGGGGGTGAAAATCTCTCAAAAGTCCCCAAAATTTGGTTTAAAGAAGAATTTCAATCCATTAGAGTGATACCTTTTCTGAAACCATTGACATTTATCTATCATGAGGTCCAAAAAAAATCATAAGCATTTCACCTCATTTTTCCATAAAATTGAATTGAAAAGTTTGAGGGTCAAATATTTGTTGAAAAACACTACAATAATTCTGGACCTATGGGTGGTAAGGTGTGAAAATACGGACTGTCAAATAGAAAAACATGCCAAATGCAATCTTAAGTCATATAAACCCACTTTGAAGGCTATCTTATTCTTCAATACAATAACTTTCATATTTAAAAAATTCACCATGGCCAAAAAGCGAAACTCCTAACTGTGTATTGCTTCCTTTATCCACACAAAGCAATAGCATGGCAAGAGCTTGGTCATTAACAGTTTTGTATAGTTAACTGACAATTGTTACCTTTGTTTGGTTCAGTATCTTTATCCACCCAGAGCTGTAGCATGGCAAGAGCTTGGTCATTAACAGTTTTGTATTGGTTGTTAATGTCATTAATTTCTGATGAGGAAACATCTAACTGTTGAGCTAACATGACCCAATCTCCCTTCAGTGTATCAGCTACATCTGTCAATCTGATGGAGGCCTGTTGTACTCTGTCTTGAACAACTACAAGTACGCAGAAATAGCAATTAAATTCTTTAAGTTCATTGTGCCTTGATTGATTGATTGTTGGTGCTTAACACCACTTCCAGCACTATTGGCTATATATTTTAATTGATGCAAAAAGTCGGTGTCCCTGGAAAGAACCAGAGACCTTCAGCAGGAAACCTGGCAATACTAACTACTAGCCAATTAAGATTGGAGTAGAAAGAATCTGCCAAGTGAAGGGTTCAAACTCACAACCTCAATGTTGACAGGCTAGTGATTGTAATAATAAATAATGTACTGCACTGTAAAAATTGGATTGAAGAGGGGGATAAACACCTAATGAATCACATGACTCTGTTCAAACTGAATTTCATTTATAGCTATATAGATATTTTTAGGTATTGAAATCATCATTGCTCTGCCTAGGTGAACAAGTTTGCATCAGGTGATTTTTTTGGAAAGAAAAATGTTTGATTTATATAACTATTAATAAATTGAAAATTGTATTATTAAAGTATTTACCAATACCATGTTCTTTGATAAGTGAGGATCTGTTTCTAAGTTCTCTAACTGCCTCTCCATCCATTTCCATGGAGGATGACTGAAAAAAAAACATACCATAATGCATAAAATAGTGGACAATAATCAGTAAAAATAGTGGACAATACAACAAACAATACAAATATAGCATATTATATCAGTAGCATTGCAAAATCTTTAGACTTTTAGTCTAGAATGTTTACTGTTTGTGCAGTACTGTACTGCCTTTTCTAGAGTTGAAAAGTCAGCCTCACTGGTCTTAGGATATTGCATTTAAAAGAATAAATTCATTATCTCATTGTTTTAACAATGTATACAGGAGCTCAAGCTACATTAAAATCACAAGACACTCTAAAGAACACTTCAGTTTTTTCTGATTCCATCTTGAAGCAGACAGCAGGAAATTGAACAATGGGAAATAACTCTCTGGATAATGCTAAATTAGGTAATGCAATGCAAGAAGTGAATCCTTATGAAAAGAGAACACAATTATTCAGGAGGCACATTTCTTTATAACAATTAATGCAAATAGGAAAAAAAATTCAACTTTTCTTTGTGAACAATATTTGACAGACTGTAGTGTCATTTCAATGCTTAGTGAATTTCAAAATCCAGGTAAAACCCTTATTTGAAATGCATTTTAGATTGCTCACATCATAATGAAGATGTGTACTGAGTTTCATGATGAATAGTGACAATAACTTGAACTTCATTTTCCCTCGGTAAACTATACTTTAAACCAAAACTTTAATCAAAGGATAGATAAGAAAAATAACAAGAGGCTCTCAAGAGCCTGAATAGCTCACCTGTAATTTTTTGCTTAAATCTTTCATTAATGATTATTTTTGATTTTCAATATATATTAATGAGTGGCTTAAAAATGACATTTAAATGTTCTTTGTATCTGTCATATTTTCTTCAAAAGCAAAAAAATACATTTTACCCCTATGTTCCATTTTAGCCATAGTGGCTATGTTTCTTGACGTACAAGAAAATAAAATACAAAATTTATACTAGATACTCTGAAACTCATTCAGCCCAAGTTTGGCTGAAATTGATTCAGCAGTTTCAAAGGAGAAGATTTTTTAAAGTAAGCAAACTAGATGAACAAATTGTGAAAAATTGTCTTTAAAGGGCAATAACTCCTTAAGGACACATTTGACAATTTCGGTCAAAATAACTTTTTTGTAGATCTTACATTGCTGAACATTTTTGCTGTTCACAGTTTATCTTTATCATTAATAATATTCAAGATAATAACCAAAAACTGCAAAATTCCTTAAAATTACCAATTTAGTGGCAGCTACCCAACAATGGTCTGTTAGATTCGTCTGAAAATTTCATGGCTGATAAAACTTGGCCTAATTAACATTTTAACCTCTCATCAGATTTGCTCTAAATCCTTAAGTGTTTGAGATATATTAGCAAAAAACTGCATTTTACCCCTATGTTCTATTTTTAGCCATGGCGGCCATGGTTTTTGACGAAACAAAAAATAAAATACAAACTTAATTCTAGATACCCTAAGGATCTTTCAGCTTAAGTTTGGTTGGAATTGGTTCAGTAGTTTCAGAGGAGACGATGTTTGAAATATTTATACCGGACGGACGACGCTGGACGCCAAGTGATGGCAAAAGCTCCAAAAGGAAATGTGAGCTAATAATCTTTACAATTATTGGCTCAGCATAAAATTCTACCAGCTGTAACTTTTAAAATAGACAAATTTTGGGGGAGGGTGTCAGGAATATGACAGTTGTTTTCCATTTGTTTGATGTGTTTGAGCTTTTAATTTTGCAATTTGATAAGAGACTTTCTGTTTTCAATATTCCTTGGAGTTTGGTATTTTTGTTATTTTACTTTTGACAATTCAGACATGCCAATTTTGGATTAAATCATATTTTATCTTTAAATTTGGAACTTTAAATCTTATGAGTAATTTCAACTCCCTACTTTTTATTTCAAAACATTGCAAACAAGAGGCTCTCAAGAGCCTGAATCGCTCACCTGTATTTCAGAGGAGAAGATTTTTAAATGTTAGCAAACTTGATGAACAAATTGTGTAAAATTGTCTTTAAAGGGCAATAACTCCTTAAGGGGTCAATTGACAATTTTGGTCATATTAACTTTTTTGTAGATCTTACTTTGCTGAACATTATTGCTGCTTACAGTTTACATATATCTATAATAATATTCAAAATAATAACAAATAAAATGCTCCGCAGGGCGCAGCTTGATACGACCGCAGAGGTCGAACCCTGAACAGTTGGGGCAAGTATGGACACAACATTCAAGCTTGATACAGCTCTGAATTTGGATTGTGATTAAATATTTGACACAACATAGGTTTCTGACACAGAATGAATGTGGTCTAAGAACTTAAAAATTTTAAATTGGACATTCACCTATTATGGTCCAATATCCAAAATCTAAATACATGGTTAGATTCAGCATATCAAAGAACCCCAAGAATTCAATTTTTGATGAAATCAAACAAAGTTTAATTTTGGACCCTTTTGACCTTAATGTGGACAAAGTTGATAACGGGGCCCAAAAATCTAAATACATGGTTAGATTCAGCATATCAAAGAACCCCATATATTCAATTTTTGTTGAAATCAAACAAAGTTTAATTTTGGACCCCGATTTGGACCAACTTGAAAACTGGGCCCATAATCAAAAATCTAAATACATGTTTAGATTCAGCATATCAAAGAACACTAAAAATTCAATTTTTGTTAAAATCAAACTAAGTTTAATTTTGGACCCCGATGGACCTTAATAGAAAATAGACCAATTTGAAAACGGAACCAAAAATTAAGAATCTAAATACACGGTTAGATTCGGCATATCAAAGAACCCCAATAATTCAACTTTGATGAAATCAAACAAAGTTAAATTTTGGACCCTTTGGACCTCAATGTGGACCAATTTAAAAACAAGGCCCAAAATCCAAAAACTTTATACACGGTTATATTCAGCATATTAAAGAACCCCAAGAATTCAAGAATAAAACCCCATTGAAATTGATCAAGAAATAAGCAATTTATAAGAAGTATCTTCTTTTGCACAATACTGTGCAATTGAATATTTCTTGCTATTGCGCAATACTGTACAATTGACAATTTCTTGCTATTGCGCAATATTGTGCTATTGGATATTTCTTGCTATTGCGCAATATTGTGCTATTGGATATTTCTTGCTATTGCGCAATACTGTGCAATTGAAGATTTCTTGCTATTGCGCATTACTGTGCAATTGAAGATTTCTTGCTATTGTGCAATACTGTGCAATTGAAAATTTCTTGCTATTGCACAATACTTATTATATAAAAATTTACACATCCTGTTTGGTGTGTATCTCCTACCATATCATTATTATTTGCTTTTAAATATAAATCAGAAATAACCAACTTAAAATGGAAAATTTTAAAAGAAAAAAAAAAGGAAAAAAAAAGAAAAAACCCCCCCCCCCAAATTTTTTTAAACCCCTTAAGATTCATCACCCCCAAACTCAATCCCAGCCTTCCCTTTGTGGTATGGTACCTTGCAGTACAATTTCAGAGAGATCCATACACTTGAACACAAGTTATTGTCTTGAAACTAGAAAAATGCTTATTTTTGGCCCCTTTTTGGCCCCCAATTCCTAAACGTTTCAGGCAATTACCCCCGAACTCAATTCCAGCTTTCCCTTTGTGATATGAAACCTTGTAGTACAATTTCAGAAATATCCAAACACTAACACACAAGTTATTGTCATGAAACTAGAAAAATGCTTGTTTTTTGCCCCTTTTTTGGCCCCTAATTCCTAAAATTTTGAGGCAATTACCCCCAAAATCAATTACAGCCTTCCCTTTGTGATATGGAACCTTGTGGTACAATGTCAGAGAGATCCATACACTTACACACAAGTTATTGTCTGAAAATTACAAAAATGCTTATTTTTGGCCCCTTTTTGGCCCCTAATTCCTTAACTGTTGGTACCATAACCCCCAAAATCAATCCCAACCTTCCTTTCGTAGTATTGAACCTTATGGTAAAATTTCATGGAGATCCATTCACTTAAACTAAAGTTAGAGTGCGAAAACCAATGTGTCTTCGGACGACGCCGGACGACGATGACGACGACGACAACGTCATACCAATATACGACCAAAAAATTTTTAATTTTTGCGGTCGTATAAAAACTGCAAAATTTTGTTAAAACTACCAATTTGGTGGCAGCAACCCAACAATGGGTTGTTCGATTTGTCTGATAATTTCAGGGCCGATAGATCTTGACCAATTAAACAATTCTACCCCATGTCAGATTTGCTCTAAAAGCTTTAGTTTTCGAGATATAAGCCAAAAACTGCATTTGACCCTTCTGTTCTATTTTTAGCCATGGCGGCCATGTTTGTCGATGGATACAAACTTCGGATACAATTTATAAACTAGATACCCTAAGGAACATTTAGTTAAAGTTTGAAGGTATTTGGCCCAGTAGTTTCAGAGGAGAAGATTTTTCAAATAGTTTATGACAACAGACGACGACGACAGATGACGACGACTGATGCCAAGTGATGGCATAAGCTCACATGGGGCCCAAAGGGGCCCTGGTGAGCTAATAAAATGGGATGTTTGAAATAAAATAAGAAATTAAACCACAATCCATACTAGGGACCCAAAAAAAAATGTGAAGGGAGATAATTATGTTTCAGAGATTATGTTAAACATTATAATAACTAATCTAAAATAATCTAAAAAATTTAAATAATAAATGGGGAATGTGTCTATGGGACACAGATGATACCCCCGCTTGCATATAACATTATAAAAGGATATAACTCAAGAACTGAAAAAGTGACGCTATCCAAATTTGTACTTGATCTGTGTTTTGTGGTAATAAGCATTGTGCATAAGTTTCATAACACTTGGTTGAGGCAAACTAAAGTTAGAGAACAGAAATGTAAAGGGGCAAAACTCTAAAACTTTAAAAGTGAGGCCACCAAAATTCACACTTGATCTGTGTTTTGTGGTAATAAGCATTGTGTAAAAGTTTCATAACATTTAGTTGAGGCAAACTAAAGTTAGAGAACAGAAACGAAAAATTCAGCAATTTTTCCATGTGTTTAGGGCATAACTCTAGAACAGCAAAAGTGACGCCATCAAAATTGAAACTTGATCTGTGTTTTCTGGTAAAAAGCATTGTGTATAAGTTTCATAACATTTGGTTGAGGCAAACTAAAGTTACAGAATGGAAACCAATTTTGGGACGTATGCACATACAGACGGACAAGGGTAAAACTTAATGCCCCTCCTCAACGGCGGGAGCATAACAAAAAATATAAATATATATATATTGTTGAAATGAAGAGCAAGGATATGTTCTGAATTTTTTTTTTTACTTTTATATAATAATATTTCAATTCAGCTGAAGTTACTTTGGAAATAAGCAAACAAAACAAACACACAAATAATGTAGCAGATTGTACTTCCTGACCGATTGTCATTCTGTTGTACTTCCTGACTGATTGTCATTCTATTCTATTTTATATACAGTAATGTTCTAGTCATATTTCACACATGTACTTGCTTTTCAGGGTGGAGCACCTTTATAGATTCTCTTCTATTAATATTAGACTTACTGTAGACATATCTGGCAGCGAAACATTGAGATTACAAATTGGAGTCTGGGGTACTTCTCCTCTGGCAACTTTAGGTTCCTTCATAAAGGCGACTCTAGCTGCAGGATCTTGATCCAAGTCTCGTATTCTTAAAGTACAAGGTAGCCGGTTTTCACGAAAAGCTTTAAAATTGATGTAGAGCTGATCACCTGACTTGGTAATGGGGATTAAATTTCCTGCCATTTCTACAAACTGTGGTCTTCCATCAATTACCTATGGAAACAAAATGCAAAAACATATATTTAAAATCATAGGAATAAATGGAGATATGGTGTGAACATCAATGAGAAAGCAGCCAAGCAGTACAAAAACATAAAAGCCAATGACAAGTCAACCTAAAGTCTTCCACCAATAGACAGCTGTATGTATCTCCCATGTAAAGCTCTAAATTGACCCGAACCTTAACAAGCTGTGCATGCTAAAATGTGGCAGAATTATCTAACAACTCATCATTTTTTATTTTCTATATGAAGGCAACAGTGATTTAATTTTGGTAACATTGCTTTCTGAAGATAAAGATAAAGAAAGCTGATAAAAACCCAAAAGATTAAAAAGACTGTAAAACCTCCTCATTTTAAACATCCTTATGAGGACAAAAACAAAGACAAATGAAAGCTACCCAACATCATGTCCTTTCATCATTTTACAGCGTTCATTTCCTCACACTTTTGAGGTGTTGAACACTTTTTTTTATAACCCAGTGAGTTGATATTTCCTGATGATGTTACACATTAAATCCCCAAATAACAATAACTGTGAACAGCTTACACATACCACCATCTAATTTACAATAATTCAATTTTGGATGTAACTTGTCTTCTGATTGGCTGACGTTGTTTTGTTTATCAGCTCATAGGCATAATTTTGTCATGTGACCATGACGTTATCAACGTTTTTTCATGGTTTACTCCGGTTTAAAATGGAATTTAGAATTAAATTATAAGAAATGACTGTAATATTTTTTCTGTCTATTCGAAATAACATAAAAAATGTAATTCAGTGTGCACCACATTTTTTATGTTATTTCTTCATAGACAGAAAAAATATTACAGTCATTCCTTAAATAAAAAATTTTTAAATTAAAGTTTTTTTTTACTTAAGAATAAACAAGCACACCAAACCTGCTCTATATGTTAATCATATTGTATACAAATTTCCAACGATTTTGTGTGGTCAGAGCAATGTAGTATATACCTGCTACCTTTGCTGGTATTGTTATATATTACCTCTACATCTCTACTTCTAGCCACTTCAACGAAATGTTCCTGCTTTTCCAATGTTTTATCAAGTCTGTCATCTGTCATACAAAACATTCGTAGTTTTCCTTCTTCTTCTCCAGTACGTTTAGCAAAACAAACAAATCTGGCCATGTATGGTATAGTTATAGCTTCATGGTATAATTCTGTTCCCATCCGAGGGGCATCAGCTATGTTCTGACAGTCCATTAGCCAAAACCTGAAATTATTTTTATATGACAAATACTTTCCTCCCTTTAAAAAATTTCAAAGATAGTCATTAAGATAACAAAGTATAATTTAACCTTCAATTTTAAATCAAACAAATTTCTAGTTCTCTCCATCCCTGTTACATTTTATGACTTTTCCAACTTATATTTACATGATATATGCTACAAAAACTGCTTTAGGAGCACTTTTCATCCCACAATTTATGGCGGTGTTTATGTAAGTTATTTAAGTAGTGTTTTATAGGTTTTTCTAATTGTAGAAGGCTGTATGGTTGCCTATAACAGCTTACATCCACTTCATTTGTACTTTGGTGGATAGTTGTCTCATTGGAAATCATATCACATTACCTTGTTTTAATATTGAGCACATCCCTCTGTTTATGGTGGAGTTTATGTTATTGTAAATTCAGAAATTATTGCAAGGTTTATATTAATGCGAATAATGCGACTGGATGAGGATCGCAATAATAAGAGCTTACAATCTAATATTTAATACATATAACTGTATGCAGATTTTTCTGAAATTACAATAAATAATCTCCCATTTTAGTTTATTGTACAAAATCTGCAATAATTAATGCATGCAATAATTTCTGAATTTAAAGTAGTTTTCACTGGTAAGTTGTGTTCTATAGACTGTTTTTCTTTCCGTCTTTTACTTTTGGTCACAGATTCATCTTTCTTTCACTATCTCCTTTTTATTTTGTAAACTTTTTGGCAAAGTTTAAATGAAATATTAAGATGTCTAAAATTGATATATTTCTCGCAGTACAATCTAGTTTTGCAATAACCATATACATCATACTGAAAAAACATTGCAAGATTCAATGTATTAAGCATGACTTTAAAGTCCTGCACAATACAAACCTTCCAGACACACTAGTTGTAATGGAGACACAATCTTCTGAAAACTTTATATTAGCAGCTTTAGTGTAATCTTCCCATACAGAAACATCAGTTCCCTCTGTCAAAACAATAAAAAAGAAATGACTGAGTCAATTCATTTCAAAAAATCATAGACATGTTATCTACAGTACTAACCATACAGACTAACATACTCTAAATCACAAATAAACATTAGTAGAGACCTACAAGCTAATCCACACTTGTGTGATCATTTTATCTATTTATCTTATCTATCAGCTGAAAATTTACAGTTTTTTTTAATAGTCATAAATTGCAAAGTTTTATATTTTTACACCAGAAACACAAAACTAAAAGAGTTGCTTTAATGTTAGGGAAGCAGTGCTATTTGAAAACATTTGAAATAACATGTTGACCCTCTTTGATATTTACATCCTTCACTATCTGTATAAAGAAAACTTCACATTAATCCATGAGTCATGAAAATGAGGTCAAACTGAGATGGCCAATAACCGACAGACATATACCCATTACAACATTGTACAATGAATCTACAAGCTGAGAGACCAATAACAGACAGACATATACCCCTTTAATACAATGAATCTACAAGCTGAGATGACCAATAACAGACAGACATATACCACTTACAATGAATCTACAAGCTGAGATGACCAATAACAGACAGACATATACTCCTTACAATGAATCTACAAGCTGAGATGACCAATAACAAACAGACATATACCACTTACAATGAATCTACAAGCTGAGATGACCAATAACAGACAGACATATACCACTTACAATGAATCTACAAGCTGAGATGACCAATAACAGACAGACATATACCCCTTACAATGAATCTACAAGCTGAGATGACCAATAACAAACAGACATATACTCCTTACAATGAATCTACAAGCTGAGATGACCAATAACAAACAGACATATACCACTTACAATGAATCTACAAGCTGAGATGACCAATAACAGACAGACATATACTCCTTACAATGAATCTACAAGCTGAGATGACCAATAACAGACAGACATATACCCCTTACAATGAATCTACAAGCTGAGATGACCAATAACAAACAGACATATACTCCTTACAATGAATCTACAAGCTGAGATGACCAATAACAAACAGACATATACCACTTACAATGAATCTACAAGCTGAGATGACCAATAACAGACAGACATATACTCCTTACAATGAATCTACAAGCTGAGATGACCAATAACAGACAGACATATACCCCTTACAATGAATCTACAAGCTGAGATGACCAATAACAAACAGACATATACTCCTTACAATGAATCTACAAGCTGAGATGACCAATAACAGACAGACATATATCCCTTACAATGAATCTACAAGCTGAGATGACCAATAACAGACAGACATATACCCCTTAAAATGAATCTACAAGCTGAGATGACCAATAACAAACAGACATATACTCCTTACAATGAATCTACAAGCTGAGATGACCAATAACAGACAGACATATACCCCTTACAATGAATCTACAAGCTGAGATGACCAATAACAAACAGACATATACTCCTTACAATGAATCTACAAGCTGAGATGACCAATAACAGACAGACATATACTCCTTACAATGAATCTACAAGCTGAGATGACCAATAACAAACAGACATATACCACTTACAATGAATCTACAAGCTGAGATGACCAATAACAGACAGACATATATCCCTTACAATGAATCTACAAGCTGAGATGACCAATAACAAACAGACATATACCACTTACAATGAATCTACAAGCTGAGATGACCAATAACAAACAGACATATACCCCTTACAATGAATCTACAAGCTGAGATGACCAATAACAAACAGACATATACTCCTTACAATGAATCTACAAGCTGAGATGACCAATAACAGACATACATATACCCCTTACAATGAATCTATAAGCTGAGATGACCAATAACAGACAGACATATATCCCTTACAATGAATCTACAAGCTGAGATGACCAATAACAAACAGACATATACTCCTTACAATGAATCTACAAGCTGAGATGACCAATAACAGACAGACATATATCCCTTACAATGAATCTACAAGCTGAGATGACCAATAACAAACAGAAAAATACCCCTTACAATGAATCTACAAGCTGAGATGACCAATAACAGACAGACATATACTCCTTACAATGAATCTACAAGCTGAGATGACCAATAACAGACAGACATATACCCCTTACAATGAATTTACAAGCTGAGATGACTGGTAAGACAGACATATACCCCTTACAATGAATTTACAAGCTGAGATGACTGGTAAGACAGACATATACTCCTTACAATGAATCTACAAGCTGAGATGACCAATAACAGACAGACATATATCCCTTAAAATGAATCTACGAGCTGAGATGACCAATAACAGACAGACATATATCCCTTAAAATGAATCTACGAGCTGAGATGACCAATAACAAACAGACATATACCCCTTACAATGAATCTACAAGCTGAGATGACCAATAACAGACAGACATATATCCCTTACAATGAATCTACAAACCAGATGCAGCTGACTCTCATCTTAATAAATAAACCTTCATAGGTAAAACATAGCCCTTATCAATGAACCAAGAAAATGAGGTCAAGGTAAGTGACCCACTTAGACGGACATGTCTAATGATTATATAGACCTAGTAACCTGTTACTCAAAATAACTGACAACTGAACTAAGCTTGAACACTTATCATAGATAGTTGCAGCATTGCAGGCATTGTCAAGTTACTGCTGACAGACAGGCAGGCACACCTTACTACAATTCAATATCAGGGCTCACACTACTTCAGAATCATAGGGAGAAGTGACTTCTCTTTTTGAAACTGAGAGGGAGAAGTGGTGAGATTTGAAAGAGAAGTGCTCGTTCGCTCACGGCCCTACAATGTTTGGTTTTTACTATAATACAAAGAGCCATATGTATCTTATTTTTTTTATATTGTTCAATTTGTACCTGGGTATACAATTAAAGTAACAGTTCAAATTCAAAGTTGTTTAATTTTATCATCTCTAGTTGCACAATCATATTAGTCCTCTTGTCAGAAAAAAACAATTAAATATCTGGCAATAATAAAAAAGATTTTTTTATATATCAAAAAGGAAAAGAAAGTTGTTATATCAATTAAAATTCAATTAAAAACTACTCTGTTATCATGTTTATGAAATTAAGTATTTCTCATTAAAAAGATATTTAAATTCAACAGTTTTATTTAACACAGTTAAGCTTGGACATAATATAATAATATTAGTGTAATAGTCCTAGAGTTGAGCAACTTTAATTTATAAATTGAAACAATGCATATACATGGAAATATATACATTAATCAAGTAGATCTAACCAAAAGTATGTTAATGCTTGTGGAATGCGTAATTTTTCCTTTTGGGATAAATTTTCTTCTATCAGCTGTGCCATACATGCATCAGTAGTCATCATCGCAAGAATCCGGATTTCGGTCATAGCTGGTCCATTTCCTATGAAATCTGATCCAATGTTGCACAATAATTTGCCCAAAAATTTCAATGGCAGACGAAGAAAATTTACAAAAATAAACGATGTTTGACACGCTATTTGGAAGGGAATATGAAGTTTTTAATGCAATATAAGATAACAAATTTACTTCAGGCAAATTTCATCACATTCTAATGAAGTAACAAGCTTATTTTGCCGAAAGTTAGAATGATTTGATGTACGCTCTCAAGTAACAAGTACCGAAAGTGATAAAATGAAAAATTGCTGTTTCATCAAATTGGTAAATGTTGAATATTGGCGATGACGAAAGCTACTGAAAGCAAGTATCGTGAACAACAGGGCAACCAGATTTCGCTTTTGACGGTCGGGGAAAGCGACTTTGTCGCCCAAGTCGCCTAGCGTGAGCCCTGAATATAAAAAAAAAAATCAAGAAGTTTTACTTGTAGCAGCTGAGAAATAGACCTATTATGTATAAAAACTTAATGTTGATCATTGAATACAAAGTCAAGTATACCCTGTTAGGAGATTTTCATCTTTAAAAATTGCTTTAGAGTATATAGACAATAAAGAGTTGTTCTATGATTGATTGTTTCTTAGAAACTGACCACACTGCAAAAACCTATTGCTTATCATAAAACATGGAAAGGATTATGGTCAGAGATTCCTGTCAGACAGACAAGTAAACCTTACAATCATATTATTGACCAAACATATTTGACCTATTACTCATAGCAAAAACTGGCCTAACATAAAAACTTAAAAGTTACTCATTGGAAGGAGATTCAGAAATAATTGTAGGCCTTACAATGCACATTTAGATAAAATATAGTGACCATTACTCGGAGTAAAGGAGAAATTCACAGACTCTAAAAAACTAAAAGACTGACTGTATAAAGTAAGTTAAACACGAAAATGAGATCAAAGGCAAAGTGTTGTTACCTTCTGAACTTCTGAAATACTAAGCTTTAACAAAAATAGGTAACCCTTCTAGGTTCAATTTAGCTGCTAGATTGAGATAAGCATCCCTATATCTAGCATTCTACGACTAATGTAACAGATGAGGGAAAAACATGTCCGCCTATAAGCTTCCTTATGTGCATGTTTAACTGTATCTGAATATATCAATGTGCATACACTACCATACTAATAAAATTCACATGCAAAACAACAATTGTAAAATAACTTAATGAAGGACTGATAGGGGTGGGGCTAATCAATTACAATCAGGACTAGTATCGATGGGGTACATATAAACTGCAGTCTCTTATGATTGAGGACAATTAGAATACATTGGAAAGATTGGATATAATATCTTTCATTCCTAGTGTCTGGATTCAGTTGGTTTAACAAATAAAACAATAGTAGACACTCAATTTATCAAAATGTTATATTTTACAAGCTTAAATTACAGGAAAAAGTTTTTAGGTAAAAAGGATATATGTAAGATATATGATGGTGATGGCTGTTTTTGCTGCATTTTTATTTAAAATGTTACAATCCTTTTATACAATTTAAAACTAATATAATTTTAACCTTTTTTTGCCAAGCACATTTTCTTTCACTTATTGAAGAAAGATACATTAATTGACTGTGTTTGTTTTAACATTCAGGAGAAATAGAAAACTTGACTGAAATAAGTAAAGCATTTAAAAGCATTTATAATCATCAACAAAAAGATCAAAATCTGAAAGATGAAATGCATTGTCTGACAGATGAAATATTTTGTCACAATACAGGTACACAACGAGGATACTGTGCACACATATACACAAACAATGCATGATACACAACATGAGGAAGAATTTACCTCTGTTTAAGGAATGGTTGGAGCCTAACGAAAGCACAAAGAGAGAAAGATACACATTATAAAGCTACAATATATAGGTGTTTTAGTGTTATAGTGAATACATCTAAATAGAAATTGCTTTTCTTTACAATAATTTAAAACAGAAATATTAATATTAAAAATTTCATTTCATGCTCATTCATATAAAATATTTGATCATATATATTAAAAGTTTGAAACATTAGAATATGTATTTACAGACACAGATGTCCTGCCTTGAACTTTTGAATAATGTTTCAAATTGTATGTACATGTATAAGTATATCTTAAGACATCATAGCCCAGACTAAATTAATGAAATTTAGGCTAAATTGATATTTCAGAGTTTTGTCCATTATAAGGGATATGTTTTCAAAATATCATGAAAGGTATTACTGACATAGTAAATCTACATTCATGGCAGGGCATACATATAATATCATTCAAGAACTATATAATTAAGAAAATTTTAGACAAATATTTTAACCAACTGACATACTAGACATGGCTGAAAAATAAAATATTTAAATTCAAACATTGTCAGTGCTATAAATACAAAAAAAGCTTGAGCAAAAAGCTAGTGCTTACAAAATGGTTGCACTTTTAAGATATTTCAAATTTTGTTATTATTTGTCATATTCCATTAGTGTATCATATTTTCCATTAAATTATTCATTAATTGTGGTTTGCCTTGTGTCCAGTGGCAAATATTTCATGCATATTCAGGACAATCCACTGTTATACACAAACTGATCCTCAATGACTCTTAGTTTCTGGTATGATACAGTACACAAGCTTTTTATTTAGACATTCCATATGACTTCAATATCAAAACAAAGTAAATAAAATGCTTCGCTGAGCGCAGCTGGATACGACTGCAGAGGTCCAACCCTGAACAGTTGGGGCGAAAATGGACACAATATTCACCCTTAATACAGGTTTGAATTTGGATTGTAATTAAATATTTGACACATAATAGGTTTCTGACACCAAATAACTGTAGTCAAAGAACTTAGAATTGGTTATATGATTTGAATTTATATTCAATTTTTTGCTTTTGTGCAATACACTTTGCTGTTGCGAATACAGAGATGATCCATACACTTAAACACAAGTTATTGTCTGGAAGTTACAAAAATGCTTATTTTTGGCCCCTTTTTGGCCCCTAATTCCTGAACTGTTGGTACTATAACCCCCAAAATCAATCCCAATCTTCCTTTTGTGGTATTGAACCTTATGGTAAAATTTCATAGAGATCCATTCACTTAAACTAAAGTTATTGTGCGAAAACCAATGTGTCTTTGGACGACGACGACACCCACGTCATGCCAATATACCACAGCAAAATAATAAAATGTGTCTAGTAATTTTTTCCAAACGATTTGATTAGACAAGTTACACTGAAGTAAACCATGAAAGCTTAACATAGAATTTAAACAGAAAGAAAAACTTGCTACAAGCATTGTTCCTCATGAAAATAGCATTTGCAGAAAAAGATTGTCATGATCAGTACTCCGTTTGGGTATTACCGAGGGTATTTCCCATACTAAATTTGAAAATAAAAGAACAGAGTTCCAATGTCCCCCGCGTTGCACATATTTTATATTTCCAAGGGGCATAACTCTTTTAAAAAAAGTCGATCGTCCACCATTATAGTACTTTTCCAAGATATTGCTGATATTAACCTAAAGTATAAGTTTTATAAAAATCTGGCAAGAATTGTAAGGATTTAAAGTATTGATCAGTCATTTGATTGTGCAACATAATCAATAATCAATTTCACAAATTAATTTAACAAGAGTGCACACGCTGAAATGTCTCGCCTTCTTTACTAATCATTGATATTATGTTGATAGTCCTAAATATAAAGCTTTATTACAACTGTCACATAAACTTAACATTAACCAAGTAAACTAAACATTGACCAATGAACCATGAAAATGAGGTCAAGGTCAGATGAACCATGCTAGGCAGGCATGTACAGCTAACAATTCTTCCATACAACAAATATAGTTGACCTATTGCTTATAGTTTAAGAAAAACAGACGAAAACACAAAAACTTAACACTGAGCAATGAACCTTGAAAATGAGGTCAAGGTCAAATAAAACCTGCGTGACTGACATATAGATCATAAAATATTTCCATACACCAAATATAGTTGAACTATTGCATATAGTATTAGAAAAAAAGACCAAAACTCAAAAACTTAACTTTGACCACTGAACCATGAAAATGAGGTCAAGGTAAGATGACACCTGCCAGCTAGACATGTACACCTTACAATCATTCCATACACCAAATATAGCTGACCTATTGCATGCAGTATTAGAAAAAAAGACCAAAACTCAAAAACTTAACTTTGACCACTGAACCATGAAAATGAGGTCAAGGTCAGATGACACCTGCCAGCTAGACATGTACACCTTACAATCATTCCATACACCAAATATAGTAGACCTATTGCATACAGTATAAGAAAAACAGACCAAAACACAAAAACTTAACTATAACCACTGAACCATGAAAATGAGGTCAAGGTCAGATGACACCTGCCAGTTGGACATGTACACCTTACAGTCCTTCCATACACCGAATATACTAGACCTATTGCTTATAGTATCTGAGATATGGACTTGACCACGAAAACTTAACCTTGTTCACTGATCCATGAAATGAGGTCGAGGTCAAGTGAAAACTGTCTGACGGGCATGAGGACCTTGCAAGGTACGCACATACCAAATATAGTTATCCTATTACTTATAATAAGAGAGAATTTAACATTACAAAAAATCTGAACTTTTTTTTCAAGTAGTCACTGAACCATGAAAATGAGGTCAAGGACATTGGACATGTGACTGACTGAAACTTCGTAACATGAGGCATCCATATACAAAGTATGAAGCATCCAGGTCTTCCATCTTCTAAAATATAAAGCTTTTAAGAAGTTAGCTAACGCCGCCGCCGCCGCCGCCGGATCGCTATCCCTATGTCGAGCTTTCTGCGACAAAAGTCGCAGGCTCGACAAAAACCATGTCCATATTATACCTGCATTAAAGCAGATGGTGATGAAAATTGCTTTTCATATCCTTACAAACAAGAGTGCACACGCTGAAATGTCTCGCCTTCTTTACTAATCATTGATATTATGTTGATAGTCCTAAATATAAAGCTTTATTACAACTGTCACATAAACTTAACATTAACCAAGTAAACTAAACATTGACCAATGAACCATGAAAATGAGGTCAAGGTCAGATGAACCATGCTAGGCAGGCATGTACAGCTAACAATTCTTCCATACAACAAATATAGTTGACCTATTGCTTATAGTTTAAGAAAAACAGACCAAAACACAAAAACTTAACACTGAGCAATGAACCTTGAAAATGAGGTCAAGGTCAAATAAAACCTGCGTGACTGCCAAATAGATCATAAAATATTTCCATACACCAAATATAGTTGAACTATTGCATATAGTATTAGAAAAAAAGACCAAAACTCAAAAAACTTAACTTTGACCACTGAACCATGAAAATGAGGTCATGGTCAGATGACACCTGCCCGCTAGACATGTACACCTTACAATCATTCCATACACCAAATAAAGTAGACCTATGGCATACAGTATAAGAAAAACAGACCAAAACACAACAAGAGTGCACACGCTGAAATGTTTCGCCTTCTTTACTAATCATTGATATTATGTTGGTAGTCCTAAATATAAAGCTTTATTACAACTGTCACATAAACTTAACATTAACCAAGTAAACTAAACATTGACCAATGAACCATGAAAATGAGGTCAAGGTCAGATGAACCATGCTAGGCAGGCATGTACAGCTAACAATTCTTCCATACAACAAATATAGTTGACCTATTGCTTATAGTTTAAGAAAAACAGACAAAAACACAAAAACTTAACACTGAGCAATGAACCTTGAAAATGAGGTCAAGGTCAAATAAAACCTGCGTGACTGACATATAGATCATAAAATATTTCCATACACCAAATATAGTTGAACTATTGCATATAGTATTAGAAAAAAAGACCAAAACTCAAAAACTTAACTTTGACCACTGAACCATGAAAATGAGGTCAAGGTAAGATGACACCTGCCAGCTAGACATGTACACCTTACAATCATTCCATACACCAAATATAGCTGACCTATTGCATGCAGTATTAGAAAAAAAGACCAAAACTCAAAAACTTAACTTTGACCACTGAACCATGAAAATGAGGTCAAGGTCAGATGACACCTGCCAGCTAGACATGTACACCTTACAATCATTCCATACACCAAATATAGTAGACCTATTGCATACAGTATAAGAAAAACAGACCAAAACACAAAAACTTAACTATAACCACTGAACCATGAAAATGAGGTCAAGGTCAGATGACACCTGCCAGTTGGACATGTACACCTTACAGTCCTTCCATACACCGAATATACTAGACCTATTGCTTATAGTATCTGAGATATGGACTTGACCACGAAAACTTAACCTTGTTCACTGATCCATGAAATGAGGTCGAGGTCAAGTGAAAACTGTCTGACGGGCATGAGGACCTTGCAAGGTACGCACATACCAAATATAGTTATCCTATTACTTATAATAAGAGAGAATTTAACATTACAAAAAATCTGAACTTTTTTTTCAAGTAGTCACTGAACCATGAAAATGAGGTCAAGGACATTGGACATGTGACTGACGGAAACTTCGTAACATGAGGCATCCATATACAAAGTATGAAGCATCCAGGTCTTCCATCTTCTAAAATATAAAGCTTTTAAGAAGTTAGCTAATGCCGCCGCCGCCGCCGCCGCCGGAACGCTATCCCTATGTCGAGCTTTCTGCGACAAAAGTCGCAGGCTCGACAAAAAATTATATTTTTCTTTTGTATATGAATAAAAGGAGATGTGGGGTATAAGTTATAGGGACAGTAACCCAAAGACACCAAAAGCTTAAAGACATATACCGCGTATTTGTTAACAAACTACTATTTGTGATCTGTTATTAATACATTAGTCTAAACATATATGTATAACTTAACATAACATAAAGCTTGTTGTGAATAGACAAAACTTATTGTAAGTTTGTTTTGTTAGATATAAAAGTTTGCTATAAGCTAAACGTAGCAACATTATTCACAACATTGCACCACAAAAGCTTTAAAAAGAAAGAGAGACAATATTATTACGAATTTTACCTGCTATGCTGTACAGTACTCTGAGTGTTGGAGCTTCAGAACTATACTGGTTAATCATGCCTTTCTGAGCTGCCTTGGGGACAGGTATTGTTAGGATGATGTCCTTGTGAAATTTACGACGTCTTGGTTCCACCGTAACGATTGGACTAACAGCTACACGATTCCCTAACATCTTAGCGACAAGATCTGGATTTATTTTCTGTGCCTGGTGATTGGATGAGATGATCATATGATAAATACAACATTATTACAATAATTACAATAATATACATTTCTACACAATAGAGCAAGACTAAAGCGGAAGACACGAGTGCAAAATTTTACTGTCTATTAAAAAATGTCTGTTTCAATTTCTGCCAGTCTTGCTTGTCCCTTAGTAGGCTACAATATACAAAGAAAGAAGGGAGTTTTAAATGTTCATTCATCTCATTAAGTGTATAAATATCATGCAGAATGAATTACTGTATATCTTGGGTTTTTTTCAAATTTATTTCTAACCTCTGTGACATGTTTATGTATTTAACTTATATTATTATAAACATATGAAACAACAGAATCTAAAAGTAAAGAATATGTTTACCCCATAAACACCAAGTAAAATACCAGTTTTAGTCATTTTTACACCATTATTGACTAAACTAAGTAACTTATATTTATCATCAGATATCATTAATAACAGGAGTTATTTACCTTTGTTTCAAATTTAAAAGTAGAACAACCAATTCCCTGAATTAAGTGCTTTTACATTTTTCTGAATTTTTCTATTAAACTCTTTATATTTTCATGAAGAATAAATCAGATATAGTTCAATATTTTTCAACAAAAAAAAACATGTCTTGGAAGTAAAAATCAATGGCTTGTTTAATATACAGTCATTTTCTGACCTAGAATCAACTCTTGTAGAAATCTTTCAATTAGACCTTAGAGTTTTCACAACCTGAGAAGACACTAGTTAATTTTTTTGCTTGTAAAACTAGATCTTTATTGAACACTGTGTTGCCATCCTTTTAATTTTTCAAGAAATAAAACTGCTTTAAAGAAAAAAAAAAAAAAAAATTATGTCAAAATTTTAACAAATGCTTGATTCATCTGAAAAAATGGTTGAAACTCTATAGAAAATAGAGAGAAAGTAGCACAATATCATTACACTTCATGTTAATTCTGAATTACAAAATCAGTCTTTTTTGTAGTTCAATATTTTTTGAGTGTTCCGGATTTTTTTTTGTAGTTCAGCTATTTGAATTTAAGCTCTATTTAAAGGAACTATCGAATACTGGTACTTTAACATGTCATTAAAAAATCGCTTGTTTCAGTACTTCCCCTGACTCATAACTTGTTTCAATAATACACATGACTCATAACTTGTTCAGTAATACCCCTGACTAAAATGGCTTTCAAGTGACTCCCTACCTGCAGACCAACTTTTATCTTCTTTGTTAATGCCCCTTCTGGGAAAACTGCCTGTACTTGTGGTACAACAGTAGAACTGATTACTCCACCTTCACCACCAATATGTCGCTTCTCTTCCTTTATCTTAGTGACCAAGGCAAAATACCGAGGAAGGTCATCAGTCAATATTCTGGTAATTCTCTTTCCAGTTGCCTCGTCCTCTTGTTCCAGATCAGAAACTAAGTAAAGAAGAATAAATATTAAAGTAAAACAATTCTTCTTGTCTTAATGGAGGTTGAATTATTGAACAATTATGCATTTTTATTTTGGATAAGTTATCTCATGTTATCATTAAGTGTATTAATAAAAAGTTTAGTCCCTCCATGTAAATGTAAAGCAACAGACTAATTTCTTCATATTTAGTTTAACCGTTTATTATACAAGTATGTCATTATAAAGTTGTACTTCATTTTACTTTATCTTGCTGCATCTGTTTACCCTCAACTACATGTATTGTATTTTTATTTATATTGTAATTGTACTTTCTCTGTACATTTGTATTTAGTTTTTAGGGAAAAAAGTATCTAAGAATTGAAAGATAAAAGAATATTCAACAAGTGATATATCATAAAATAATCAAGAATGGCATTTCTTTTTTTGAAACAAGATATGAAGGGAAATAACCCTGCTTCAACATAATCTTCACACACATTGTCCCCCCTCCCCCTCCTCAGTTTTACAAAGAGTATTACCTTCCATGCTTTGTTCCAATGCCTTGTTAACAGCTTCATCAGAGGCCACAATTGGATGTTCGTCCCATTTTTCACCATTGTTACTTCTTAAGATCTTGATTTCTCTTTCTTTACCACGCAGGGAGGCAAAGTGTGGTACTTCTAAAACAATATTTCTGTTAAAAAAAAATGAAAAAAACTTTGAATCAATTTGTAATTCTGCACCATTACAGTTACTACCTAGAGGATAGTGATGGGAGTAATCACAGAGGGCCCTGCTGCATGTAAATAAGTAAATTGTGATGCAATTAGGGTTATTCCTGTACATGTATGATGCACACTGGGTAAATAAATTCAATCAAACATTATACCATGATCAATGTATGATTTTTATCTATGTAGTACATGACACATCTTCTAGTACAACATGTACATGACACATCTTCTAGTACAACATGTACATGACACATCTTCTAGTACAACATGTACATGACACATCTTCTAGTACAACATGTACATTGAATCAGTAAATAATCATGCCAAGTTTCATCCCTGAACTCCCAAGCAGTGTTAAAGGAAAGTGGAACAATTTGTGAAGGACAGACTAAAGGACAAGTTGATTACTATATGCCCTCTGCGAATTAAGCAGCAAGGCCTAGTAAGCTAGAAAGCAGCAATACTGAATACTTGGTAAAATTACTCAAAATACATGTACAACATTATCCTAACAATACAAGTAGATCAGAATTAAAACATGGTTTTGCTTACAAAATGAAAGAAGAGTGTCATGTTAGATTACTCAGTAAATCAGTGAATTATCTCAGCAACACAATAAGCTTTGTCAAGAAGGAACTGACTGCATATGGTCAAATCTGTTTGTTGAGAAAGGTGTAGAAAGTAACTATTAAAAAAGCCTTTAACAATAGTTTTTTTTTTTTTTTTATGGTGGTAAATTTAGATTTTTACTTTGCTTCACAAGTTGCTACACATCAAAAAGATGTTAAATCTTTTGTAGTATTTCATGGAACAACCAGGTGCTGACATTAATAATTATTTAATCAATGTTTAACTACTGTCACATCTGGACATTTTATATCTAATGCAATAAATAGACATTCATTATTCTAATTTTATTCCATTACAGAATAAAGATATGAATAAGAATTTATATTCACCAAATTAGGGATCCAGGTGGGCATATAAACACTTTAACTATATAACTAGAAATATTTGCAGAACAATAATTTGTAATATATTCAATCTCGACATGTAACAAACATATTATTACAAGTAATGTCAACATTCTTTTATAGTTACAAAAATAAACAACACACTTTTCTCATCTAAGGTGTTACCTTTAAAACAAAACTTCTGAAATCAATTCATTGTATAGAACTTTTCCAGGAGTATTTTCTTAAGTTTTTTAATCGATCTGTATGTTACAAGAAGATAGAAAATTTGCAGCAGTTTCAAAAGTAGACTTTTACTTTAAATGTTTTAGTATTTGACTGTAATGATGGCTGCTGATGAATGTTTGGTTTGAATACTTCTTCCCACCCACAAAATGTTTTATTATTGTTATAACAGTTAAGAAGCCTGTAATTAAAGAAGTTCATATCAGTAATTATTGTGAATTAAGATTTTAAAGTGGTGATACAATCAGTTAATCTCACTCTTTTATTCAAAAGGATGGTGATCATGTTACTTAAAAGTATCAACTAAAAAAGTGGATCATATGACAGCCTCCACAATTGTACAGAAATAAACTTTGCTTAATAAGTCTTCCTGGGCTTACAAACTCATACATTGGACAACAATTTGGAAATTAAGGTGTGGCATGAATCAGGATACAAACAATTGAGAATACATCAGTGTAAAACATAGGAAATATTTGGCAGGGATTCAGAGTTATGTAACATTATATTTACATTATATATAACATTTATACAGGCCAATCATTAACTTTAAGATCTGTAAACAATTGCATTTAAGAAGATACAAAAAAATTTGTCAAACTTCAGTGGCGGATCCAGAAATTTTCATAAGTGGGGCCCACTGACTGCCCTATGAGGGGGCCCGCTCCAGACCTACAGGACTGTTGATATACCACCTTTATTAATGACTTAAAATTATATATCTCTGGAACAACTTTTTAGGAAACCAAAAGAGAGCTTAATTTTATTTAGTTGTGATATTGCCAAAACATTGCATGTAATTCAATTAAGCAAATTTGAAGTTTTAACTAGTTTACAGTTCCATAACTGTAGAATGACTAATCTGAAAATCAAAAGAGAGCTATAGTCTCCATTTGCATTGCCTGCACTTGGTGTTAACTTTATATAATGAGAAGGATTCATCAACTACAGAGTCAATGTGAGACACCCTCAGACAGATATTCAACTGGTAACCATTTAAAACAGGTTGATTTATACATACAGGTATAAAACACTGGTTAATTTGAGATCTTTTTTTTCTTTTCGAAAAGATAATAACTCCATGTGTGTGTTCTACCACTATAAACCATTAGAATGACAAACAATGCTATTTATTTAGTCCTAAACATCATGAATTCCTCACTTTTTTGTTTAGTTATCTATCATTAAGTATCAATAAATCCATCAAAATTCTTCCACTTCTGTCAATATTCTTTATAACTAAGGGTTATGCTGAGATGTTATTCATTGTATTTCTATAGTACAGTTGTTAGGTTTGTCAGAGTATTTTTCCACAACTTTACATATTTTTATAGCTATGTTTTATGCTTTATTTACAACATTTTGATTTTATAAAAAGAAAAGAAATGATGTATAAATCATGACACACAAGTTGAACTGTGAACTCTGGCTCACTACTGTTACACCAAATTTAAGTATTCAGTAAACAGGAATTTGATAAGTTATTGATGTGAAATCACATTACAGACCATAACTTGCTCACATAAAGCTTGATTCCAAATTTCAGAAAGCCTTGACTTGAAGTTCCTGAGAAAACTGCTGTGAAATTTTTATGCATGGCCATTATAGGTTGAATATATATAAGTTATCATTAACTGGAAGTTGAGGAGCAATGAATCTGAAATACATCTCAATCTAGCATGCATGATTTGTATTTCCTGAGAAATATGTGACAGATAGAAACATGTATATTCTCCCTCCATGGAACAGGGGTTTAAACAACCATTACACACACAAATCAAATCAAATCATTTTATTGGTGTAAAATCCAAATATTGGATTGCTACCAAGACAAACATGAAAACACACAAAAAAAACATAGAAAAAATGGTGTTATTGCTGTTCTTGAATAACCTGTATTATATAACAGCCTAGTTTAGTTCAAATATTTACATCTTCCTGACATCAAACTACCAAGAAAATCAAATTTTCAGACTTTAGTACTGACAAATTAAACCTTTTCAGTTGCATACAGAACATAAAAATAAAATAAGTGACTGTACAGACATGACTGAAGGACATCTGGAGCCAATCAATAGTTAATGTTTACATATTGACCAATCATTTGTTTACTTTAGTGATTATAAGATGGATGATAATTTTATCCTTGGTACATCAATCTGTTGTTCTGACAACTGGAATGTTACTAATCAGAGACACATGTTTTCTTACACCTGGGAGAAGACAAACAATCATTATCACAATTAAATCATTCATTATAAGCTTATTTTTATTCATAAAAACCAGTTGAATATGACTCATTTTTTTTTTTTTTTACAAAATCATAGTGTACTGTTTTGTATGCGTAAATGTCTATGAGTAAATGTCTATGCGTAAATGTCATGCTGTCCACCAACGTAAATGTCGTGCTGTCCACCAACGTAAATGTCGTGCTGTCCAACCAATGTAAATGTCATGCTGTCCACCAACGTAAATGTCATGCTGTCCAACCAACATAAATGTCATGCTGTCCAACCAACGTAAATGTCATGCTGTCCACCAACGTAAATGTCATGCTGTCCACCAACATAAATGTCATGCTGTTCACCAACGTAAATGTCATGCTGTCCACCAACCTAAATGTCATGCTGTCCACCAAGGTAAATGTCATGCTGTCCACCAACGTAAATGTCATGCTGTCCACCAACAGCCCTTAATTGAGACAGTACATATCTTCTTACGACTAAAAATGTTTAATGGTCCTGTAGATTGCTTTGTAAAAGTCTTCTAAACACAATAATTATAGCAAGGATTTCACCACTTTTAATGACCATGAATGGAAATATATATACTTTCTATTACTGTAATAGTATTCTCATAAAAATGTTTTTGCAAGGTTTATAAGTTATGTTTTTAATTTTTTTTTATTCTTTATTCTTGAGATAAAATAAAATATTATAACATTTCTATATAATGAAATTTAACACTTATTCAGATTTAAAGTCTCAGAATTGTGTGCTGGTTTGACATTTGACTCTTAGATGTATTATGGAAAAGAACTTTATATCACTTCAACAAAAATGTATCATCAATTAGTTTATGTGTTCTTTATTAATATTCATAAACCAAAATAATTTGTCTATAAAGAGAATTTTCTTAATAACTATATTCTGCTGACTATGTACAAATACATAATTGTATACTTTTTTCATTGATCGGTAAATAGGTCATTAGCCATGTTAGCTGGTAGAGTTTCATATGAGCTACCTTTATCCTGTACAAGCTATTTTAATTGTCATATCAACCATACAAAACGGAAATCTCAACTTCCTTTGAAATCTGCATACAGCTTGCATGACCATAACATATTTAAAATCAATTATCTTACAAGTTCTTTCTATATCTAACATTCAAAACCTTATCTGTTATCAAAGAAGAAAATGTTGTGTGCTATGGTATTCAAGAAGTTATATTTTAATAATTTTCATTTTTTTTTTACTTCTGAAATATGGCATCAAAGAAGCATGATTGGTCTAACACAAATACAATTCCATTCTAAGTGGTCTAACTACATATTTGTGTGTAGTATTATGCCTTTAGGTTATTCAACATTTATTTCACATTAATATTTACAAATATTTAATGTCATTTTTTGCTGACATTTTGATTATGATGTGTTTGACAAATGTAATATGTGTGTACAGATATACACTATATAATGTCCTACAAAATCTCAACTTTTATGTTTTAATACAGAGGAATTAGATCAAATGGATTTTGCAATGCAATTCTATTTTATTTTAGTGTCTGAGAGTACATTTCATTATAGCAAGAAATATTCTTAGTTTTGCTCAATTAATCTTTTATGTCTACTCATTCTATTTCTGCATCTACTATAAGCAGTCTGAACCCAATCCATTAACTGCAGCAATTTTGCTTGGCTAAAGCTTATTAAATTTTGAGTGTATCAAATTCTCTATTTTTAGTTCTAAAAATACTACATGTCATCCATCTAATAAACAAAATAAGTTTGGTCATAAAACTTAAAGTAAGTAATTTAAACTCCTATAATAAAATTCCTATTGATAAAAGTAGATAAAATGTGCACAAATTGTTTGAAAATAGGAAAAAAGTATTAATGTAAATTAAACATGCTGTATCAGCAGATTAAATTGACCTTGTACTGTATAAACCACACAGGGGTCTGACATTCACTTTATAGCCATGTTTTGTTATTCGATTAACTGATAAAAAAGTTAACTTTGGCAATTTGAAGTGTTAGTATACACTATCTGTGTATTAAGTGTAGGAACTTATAAAAATCAACACTTTACTATCTGAAATTTGAATATTCAAAAACTCCATAAGCATGATAAGCAAACCTCCTTTTATTTTATGGACCCACAGCAAACTGATTCATTTGAGATTCTAGGGTAGACAAACCAAGCAAATAAAATGTATATGGGTACATGAATTAGCCAGCAAAACATTAATGCTTGGCTACCAACACCTATAAATGTCTATGATATAGGCCATGTTTTAGCAATAAAAAGTTTGGCTTACCCTAAGAATTTGGTTCCGACTGGTCCCATTTCCAGGATACGGGAAGCTAATGCCTCGCCTTCATTTAGAGGCAATGGATGGTTAAGTTTCTCTTTAGTGATGAGGCGACATGTTACTCTTGTGGGCATGGAAGCTTTCCTTGGTGGTATAATTATCCTTACTCCAGAGTGGCGACGTCCACGGAGGGCTCCACCCCTAGCATCCACCATGAAACTGATGAGGAAGCTGTTGGAAATAAGCGTCATTTTGTTACAATATATTCCTAAGTTACAATTATATATTCCTTAACACAAGACTTATCATCAACAAGTTTCCTCCAGAGTAATCAGATACAGGACATATCCAATCAATACCATTCACAATAATAAACTCACTCCATTAATATTTTGAAACACTAAGATATATTTCCTGTGTACAGTCTGCAGACACACACATACCACCACCCTAAGATAAAGTTGTAAGTCAATTCTGATTACTACTTATTATGTATGTACTCAATTATCATGTAAATCACACTGTCTACAATTCCCTAGGGTAAACTCAGGCAATTCTAGGTCAACAACAATCTGACAAAAATTCACTTTAACCTTTCACCTCTGGAGAAGTTTAAACAAACGGAAATGTTATACCTAGTTCTATATAAATCAAGGATAATATTGGATTTTAATTTTTTATTTTTATACATAGCTGTATTGATTGTGTTGGAGAATAAAGCACTGGACCAAACAGGAATAAATATAGCTGTTTATCTACAGGTGAAACATGAATCAATACTCATCTCTTTACTTGTCATCCTTAAACAGTAGTGTGTATTGTGTTTCTAATTATACAACTATTTGTAGACATTTAAATGTTTTAAACATTGTTAGGTTTGAAATATTTGTTACATAATATTTAAGCTTATGTTTTAGGGCTGTCTCTCTGTTTTAGGTATTTGTAATGTTATAACTTAGCTTATACTGAGAGGGATAACTTGTTAATTTCTACTAACTTATACTGAGAAGGATAACTTGTTAATTTCTACTAATAGTATGGACAGAAAATCAGATACCAGGTACTTAATCATAAATAAACAATTGAGTAATAAGAGAATGACTAAGAAGTGTAGAAATTCTACCTGTGATTAGTATACATGAACTAACATTCATTAACAGATCACAAAATATAAATAGAAGATGATTTAGTCAGGTCCAACTTAAACAATATTGCATAGTGGCAACAATGTTGAAAGTCTAACAGGATGCAGGATACTTGGATGTCATTCACTTAAACAACTAGTACTGTGTATTACATGCAAACTAATCAAATCAATTATATCCTTTTAAAAATTACTGTTTAAATATTTTTTTATTTATAACAAAGGTGGCCATCTTGGTTGCCAGATATAGTTCTAAATGGGGCAACCATAGGATCATTTGACTTATACTGTTTACACTATGTTTTATTTTGGTAACACCATGATTAAGTTGGTCAGCTGGTCTGCTGGTTAATTGACATAACCCCTATGGATAATTTTAAGTTAAGTCTGGTCCAAAATAGTAAAGTGGAGGAGAAAATGCTAACTACAGATAAAAGATAGTGTCAATATATATAGAAACTAATGTCTTCGCACAGAATCTCACCCAACAGTTACATTTTACAGAAGTACTAAACAGTTTCTTAAAGCACACACCCTTTATAAAGATTACACACAATTTATAATACAAAATGAAAATAGAATGTGCAAGGCATGAAATTCTTAAAAGTTTGCCAAAAATTGTCTGGCAGTTATACATCTCATATATATATCTAATTCACATTTAACAACATCAGTTCATGCAGGTACAAACAAGGGGAAATAATCAATTGTATTATGAAGGCATGCTGCATGGATGTACATTATGTTACACAGAAAAAAACATCTAACTCTAAAGCAGCAATAATGAGACCAGCAACAGGGAATGTTAAAGCTTCAAATGACAAACCATGGAACTATCAATCTGATCATTTAATTAGGACTTTCTGTTTGGATACAAATATCCTTTATTAGTAGGGGTCAATACAGACTAAGCTAATATAATTTTCTAAGCACAAGTAAAAATTAAGCATGATGCAAATACGGTATCTAAAATTACAGCTGCAATATACACATGTTGTAAAAGTACCCCTTAATAAGATAACTTACTTTTTACCAAAATATCTAACTACTTTAACAAGAATATGTCCATAGGACACCATGCTCCGCTTGCAGTTTCATGTGACCTTGTTCAGACTGAACAATGAAACCAGAGTTAAAATCCTAACTTGGCATGAAGTTTTTTTAAAGTTTGACACACAATAAACATGTGTACTAAGTTTTAATTTGATGTGAACAACTTCATGGTTAACTACTTTAACCAAAAACTTTAACCTGAGAATCTACTTATTTCACACTATCACATTTCTATGTTCAATTAGGCATGATATTAGTGTCAAAACCGTAATTTTGTAAAACAACATCAAAAAGAACATGTGTATTAGGGAACAGACTAAGGGACGAATAGACGGACTTGATGAATAAACAAGAATGACAGATGGACGTACAGAACAAAAAACATATTGCCCCCTACTAAGTATGCTGGTCATAAAAATGAAATTTTAGCAAGTGTAACTATCCATACAAAAACAACAAAAATTTTGGATACATCTATTGAAAAGTGCGTATACAAGGCAAGAACATCAGCTATAGGTTATCTTAATAGAGGGTGTGGATGGGGTTTACAGAATAGAGAATAATGGTAAAAAAATATAAAGAATACAGAAATGAAGGACCCCCATCCAAACCTTCTTAATAGTCTGTGAAGTATGAGAAATTCATCATGGATGAAAACTTTACATCAACCCTATTCCAAATTTATGTTTCTGCTGAAATATTTTCTCTATAAAGTGTCTTTTTCATATCATATTCAATTCAATATATGATTGTTCTATGCATGGGAGTCTTTCCTGAAACATTTTTATATCAATGTACGTAGTGCATAAGACATACCCCAAAATATTTAAGACAATATACTGTAAATTCAGAATTTTTTGCGATGTATTATTATTGGGATAGTTGTGTTGGATAGGTTTCACAAAAAATAATTGCAATTTCAATTCTATTAGCAGTATTTGTGTGCTAGCATTCCATGAAGTTGCAGTAATCAATTTTGTATATTTGTTCATTGTTCAACAAGGTCAATAATAAAGACGAGCAAAAATTTGTGAATTTATAGTATTGAGTAAATCTATACACAATCAGCTAAGAAATATACAAAAAAAGTATCACTACACTAAGATAAATAATTGAGAGGAAAATGGAATATTAAAATTAATAGAAAATAGAGCAATTTTCTCTATTTTGTTGGAAATCAATTCAGGCCAATAGAAAATATAATTTATTAATCAACATTTAATGGAAATGCTCTGTTATTGTGATCAGATTGTGTCATTTATAACTTACAAGAGAGCAATTAATATGTACTCAATTTTTAATCAATAAAATTCCTTAGCTGATCAGTATGAACAACATATTTGTACAACTGTGACAATACCAAGCCTCCTCATTTGAAGCAGGAATGGGGTGATGAAAAACTGACCCCAAACATCTAACAAAGGAAATGTATAATACAATAGGAAAGTACTAACTCATGACAATCAAATTTGTTTATGAACCTGACGAAACCCAAAGTAATCATAAAAAGTTCACCATAAAAAAGGTAGAAGTTCTTGACAGAGCCTTAAGGTTAAAGCAAACAAAAACAAGAATGCACCTGCTGTTGTGCTAAGTATACCCCCCACTCATAATTCATAGTATTGGAAAATAGAAAGTGGGTGTTTGACAAATCAAAAAAGTGCTCACAGCTAACAACTCATCACTGTCATGCAGCTGACCAAATATGAAGTGATTCTATTCAGTATAATAGAATTAAAGAGGTCACTTTGAACCTACAGCTGGTCATTACAATCTCCTTTGGACTATGACCTGATGACCTTGACTTTATTGGGACAAATATCAATTCAACTTGTCACCAGCAATCTGGAAATTGGGAATCATACCAAGCATCATTTATATCCCTCAAGAGCTTAAAACTATATTATGCCAAAAATAAAAAATTGCAAATGTGAAACATGAGTCCATTTAACTATTGTGAAAAATAAGATAGAAGGTACTGAGGGTGCAAAAAGAACCCTGTATTAGTTGAATGATTGTTGGTTGCTTAACATCCAGTGGCAAAAATTTCATGTATGTTCGGGACAATGTATTAGTTGAATGATTGTTGGTTGCTTAACATCCAGTGGCAAATATTTCAGGTATGCTCAGGACGATGTATTAGTTGAATGATTGTTGGTTGCTTAACATCCAGTGGCAAATATTTCATGTATGTTCGGGACAATGTTTTAGTTGAATGATTGTTGGTTGCTTAACATCCAGTGGCAAATATTTCATGTATGTTCGGGACAATGTATTAGTTGAATGATTGTTGGTTGCTTAACATCCAGTGGTAAATATTTCAATATTGAGCAATATGAACACCACAATTTTGAGGTTGATAATCATAAGATCAATGAGGCATCTATCCAACAAAGTTCAAATGAAGTGGATGTAAGCAATTATAGACAACCGTACGGCCTTCAACAATGAGAAAAACCCATACCGCATACTCAGCTATAAAAGGCCCTGACATGAAAAATATGAAACAATTCAATTGAGATACTTACAGCCTAATTTATAACAAAACAATTTACGAAAAACAGATATGACATGTTCCTTTCCACTAATGGCACCAACTATGTTGCTCACTTAAAGTTAACATTTGCTTACAAGTTACTTTCAGTGATGTCACACAATCAAGGAAAAGGGGACAGGATTGTTGTTAAAACAAGAGGAACATATCCATACTTATGATCTGTGACACAGATATTTTATAATGGTCAACCAAATCATAATGACATTTGTTAAACTTTCAAAAATATGAGAAACTATCCACCAGGGAACAAAGGACATAGGTCACTGACAACAGACATGCATCATTATATGTAAAGATATTTGTGCATAATAAACTTAGCTCACCTGGGCCATATTTGTAAAGCCCATATAACAAAGCACAATACACACATGCTCAAAAATAAAAAAAAGTATATGTATTAGTAAAAGGACTATAATAAAAGATAAAAGTGATACACATAAAGTGATACACATTGTGTATATACAGTTACCTTTTCCATTTAAGTTTGCTGAAGAAATAATAGACAATTCTTATATTCTATAGTGTCAATAATTTGCTTAGCTGCTACATGTACACAGTGGCGGATCCAGGGGGGGGGGGAGGGTTCCGGGGGTTGGAACCCCCCCTTTTTTTTGGACGATCAATGCATTTGAATGGGGACATATAGTTGGAACCCCCCCTTTATCCTGGGTAAGGAACCCCCCCTTTTGAAAATGACTGGATCCGCCCCTGGTACACAAATAATTCTCAGTAAGCCATGGGTTATTGTAGATTTTAAGAGTTCTGATTTGTGTACAAAATTTACCTAGGCCATAGCATAGTGGAGCAAGGGTAAAGTACCCATTGTATACTGATGTAAATAAACTGTTATCACAGAGATATGTCTCGCCTTTTTGTAATTTTGATAATGCAAATTTTGAAATCAAAATAGCAATACTTTAACATATAAGTTATGCAAATATTCAAAGTCGATGAACCATGACTAAAGGTACATGGCTAAACAATCTCCATGGAATGAGATGTGCCAATGCTAATACAACTGCATACCAAATACCATTGACTTATTATAAGTCGTTCCCTTTAAACAAACCTAAACACAAACATTAACTTGTAAACTATGTAAAAGTTTCAAAGTCAATGAACCATGATCAGGGGTGGGGCTATATAATCTCCATGGAAACGATACTTGCAAATGCCAATAAATTTGCATACCAAATATCATTGACTTAATATTAGCAGTTCATCTTAAACTGATCTAATCACAAACTAATACATGTAAACTAAGCAAAAGTTTCAAAGTCAATAGACCATGACTGAGGGGGCGGGGCCAAATATTCTCCATGGAAATGAGATGTACTAATGCTTATACAACTGAACACCAATTAACATTGGCCTACCACTAATGGTTCCCCTTGAACTGACCTAATCACAAACTAATACATGTTAACTTAGCTAAATTTTCAAAGTCTATAGACCATGACTAAGGGGGCAGAGCCAAATAATCTCCATGGAAATGAGATATGCCAATGCTTATACAACTGCATACCAAATATCATTGACCTACCACTAGTGGTTCCCCATAAATTGACCTAATCACAAACTAATACATGTAAACTATGAAAAGTTTCAAAGTCAATAGACCTTGACTGAGGGGGCGGGGCAGAATAACCTCCATGGTAATGAGATGTGCCAATGCTAATACAACTGCATACCAAATATCATTGACCTACCACTAGTGGTTCACCATGAACTAGACCTAATCACAAACTAATACATTGTTGACGCCATCGCCGTCGCCGGAAACAGCATACCTATGTCTCGCTTTTTGACTCCGTCAAGGCGAGACAAAAAACCAACCTGTACAAAACCCATTCTGACATCAATGGCTTATACTGACCATAGTTTGTAGCATCTTTTACCGGGACCTCAATACAATGAATACACACTACATTTGCAATGTATTGTTCAAAATTTTGAAAGTCTGAGGTTTGTAGATATTAAACAATTAAACTGAAGGTCTGAGGTTTGTAGATATCAAACAATTAAACTTCAGTGTGTTACATAAGAAATTCTTTTTCACTAAAACCCCCGGTCTAAGGTATTTGGGACATGAATTGTAACAATGGTATGAAAAGATGCTCCTAGGACCCTGTTTTGTTCATCTGGTATCTATAGATAATAAAGGCTATACAAACTGTTCAGAATTCAACAATTCTCTATGCGCTTACTCTTATAAAATGTTTTCTAATTCAACCATTTCAATAAACAAGATTTGGCTTTGTAATTTGACAGGAAAAGAAATTTAAAACCTGACAAATAAGAATCAATATTTGCTATCCATGTTTTTTTGCATGATCAAAACAAAATAGGGAATGATTAATTTATTTCAAGGATCTTCCATAAATCATTATTTCTCTATAGCTTGATTTAAATTGAGTCAATAGTTTCAGTGAAGATGTGATTTCCCATAGAGTATGCAGAGTTCACTTATAACTTTTGTGGTATATATGCTGTCATGTATGGATAAACCCATCTGATTGAAATGAGCAATCTTTGAAAAGGTCAGACTTACAATTATCATCTCTGTAAAGTTAAAATGGGGTATTGCAATTTCAAAACCAAACATAATCTGAAAAATAACATATCAGAATCAAGAATTTCCCTAGAGATATTGTTTGCCCATTCTAAATGAAATGACATATTTTTATAGAGGGCCTTTCATAAACATAATCCCCAATGAATTGTTTCAGAGAACATGATAGATGCAAACTAGTTGCAAAAGCTCACACAAACACGCAGACCTTTCAGGCAAGGTAAACTCCGATAAGAAAGCTCAGCTAACATAAACACTTGACAAATTAGACTTACCCAGAATATGTTGGTGTTCTCTCTATAGCCACATTGTCAGGATCAAAAGATGTGTTAAAGGATGATCCACTGTAGGAACTACACTTCATGTCCTTCTTGGGAGCTCCTGGTGACAGTCGGGTATCTGGTGCACTCTGGGAGTACGTAGCAAATGATTGAGTCATCACTTCTCTCTCCATAAAGTCCTGTAAATGTGTATGACTACATGTGTAAGGCACAAGAAGAACAGAAGGAGTCAGACCTTAAAGCTTTCCTAGAAATAGTTTCCATTTTGAAAATTGTAGATTCACTTAATATCAAAGAGACTGGTCAGTTTATTATGAATCTTCAAGAATTCTATTTATCAACCAAAATTTGTATTATTTTATGCAGTTTAAAATTTGAACACAATTTCTCTAACATACTGGTACTTATTTTTGCAGAAAAACAGTTTTCAACAATCACTGTGCAGCATTAATTAGACTCTAAATCAACTATTTAGTCTACTGCTGTTTCAATTAACTAGAAGCCAAATATCTAGCCAAACAATGGATTGTTGTAAATAATTCGAAGTTTGTATAATCTATATCTAAACAATTGTATTTCACTAAATACTTGTCATATATCTTTTAAAACTAAAATTGAAAAAAAAAATTTGAAGTTTCTTGTTCTTTCTCATTTATATCAGATTTACAACTGATTTTCCTTTTAAAGACAATAAAAACATTATAAATATGAACCCCATAAAAATATACTCTAATATGGCTTAACCTTGAACACATGATATTTTTTTATTAATGGCTGAACCTTGAACACAAGATATTTTTTTATTAATCTGTTTACTGAAAACATAATCATTCAGTAGCATAGGTTAGCTTTTCAAAGTTAGATAATCCATCTCAGATAATCTTTACATTATTTGATGATATAACCAAGGAAATCCTTAAAAATTACAAGTAATATGAACTATATCTTTTATAATAAATGCCAATGTTAAAAGGAAATAATATTATCATAGAAAATCACATTATTTCTTTAATATCTTGAAACCAAAACATGCTTAAATTACTTACAAATTCCCTTCTCCAAGAAATTTAAGGAAACTTTCACCCAACATGCAAAATTAATCCAAAACTGTGAAATTTGTGAGTCTAACTGACACATGCTGATATCATGCGATTTTGATAATCTGTAGTTAGTTAGGCTTAATTAACAATGACCCTCATGAAGTTCTTCATACTGGCCAAATTCTAATTCATTTCACATTGGAACCTGATTACAATCAGTTGATATCATGTTCATGTTCAACAATCCCTCTCTGTCTAGACCCTACACTTACAAAATGTATGAGTCCTATAACTAGAGGCTCTCAAGAGCCTGTGTCGCTCACCTGATTCTACTTTGGTTTTGGAAATCATGTAAAAATAGATTAAAATCATAACAGATACCCTAATAATGAGTGAGGCCAAATTTGGTTTAATATTGGTCCTGTAATTTAATAAAAAATCCTGGTGGCCATCTTGAACAGTAAATCAGCAACAAAGTAGCAACACTTAATCAGCACCTCATAAGAAACATTTATGCCATGTTTTGGTTTCATTCCATTCAGTGCACCTCTAGAAGAAGCATTTGTATGTATTTCCCATAGGGTCTTATGTTAAAGGAAGTCCCCCCATTGGCGGCCATCATGGATGAAGGATCAGCTTCAAAGTAACAAAACTAAGTCAGCACCTCATAAGGAACATTCATGCCATGTTTGGTTTCAATCCATTCAGTATGTGGTTCTCTAAAAGAAGACATTTGTATGTATTGTCCATAGGGTCCTTTGTTAAACATTGTCCCCATCTGGCAGCCATCATGGATGAAGGATCAGCTTCAAAGTAACAACACTTGGTCAGCACCTCATAAGGAACATGCATGCCATGTTTGGTTTCATTCCATTCAATGGTTCTCTAAAAGAAAACATTTGTACGTATTTCTCATAGGGTCCTATGTTAAACTAAGTCCTCCGCTGGCGGCCATCTTAGATTATGGATCGGCTTCATAGTAACAACACTTGGTCAGCACCTCATAAGGAACATTCATGCCATGTTTGGTTTCATTGCATTCAGTGGTTCTCTAAAAGAAGACATTTGTATGTATTTCCCTTAGGGTCCTATGTTAAACTAAGTCCCTCTCTGGCGGCCATCTTGGATGATGGATCGGCTTCAAAGTAACAACACTTAGTCAGGACCTCATAAGGAACATTCATGCCATGTTTGGTTTCATTCAATTCAGTGGTTCTCTAAAAGAAGACATTTGTATGTATTTCCCATAGGGTTCCATGTTAAACTAAGTCCCCCGCTGGCGGCCATCTTGGATTATGGATCGGCTTCAAAGTAACAACACTTGGTCAGCACCTCATAAGGAACATTCATACCATGTTTGGTTTCATTCCATTCAGTGGTTCTCTAAAAGAAGACATTTGTATGTATTTCCCATAGGGTCCCATGTTAAACTAAGTCCCCCGCTGGCGGCCATCTTGGATTATGGATCGGCTTCAAAGTAACAACACTCGGTCAGCACCTCATAAGGAACATTCATACTATGTTTGGTTTCATTCCATTCTGTGGTTCTCTAAAAGAAGACATTTGTATGTATTTCCCATAGGGTCCTATGTTAAACTAAGTCCCCCGCTGGCGGCCATCTTGGATTATGGATCGGCTTCAAAGTAGCAACACTCGGTCAGCACCTCATAAGAAACATTCATGCCATGTTTGATTTCATTCCATTCAGTTGTTCTCTAAAAGAAGACATTTGTATGTATTTCCCATAGGGTCCTATGTTAAACTAAGTCCCCCGCTGGCGGCCATCTTGGATTATGGATCGGCTTCTAAGTAACAACACTCGGTCAGCACCTCATAAGGAACATTCATACCATGTTTGGTTTCATTCCATTTAGTGGTTCTCTAAACGAGGACATTTGTATGTATTTCCCATAGGGTCCTATGTTAAACTAAGTCCCCCGCTGGAGGCCATCTTGGATTATGGATCGGCTTCAAAGTAACAACACTCGGTCAGCACCTCATAAGGAACATTCATACCATGTTTGGTTTCATTCCATTCAGTGGTTCTCTAAAAGAAGACAATTGTATGTATTTCCCATAGGGTCCTATGTTAAACTAAGTCCCCTGCTGGCGGCCATCTTGGATTATGGATCGGCTTCAAAGTAACAACACTCGGTCAGCACCTCATAAGGAACATTCATACCATGTTTGGTTTCATTCCATTCAGTGGTTCTCTAAAAGAAAGACATTTGTATGTATTTCCCATAGGGTCCTATGTTAAACTAAGTCCCCCGCTGGCGGCCATCTTGGATAATGGATCGGCTTCAAAGTAACAACACTTGGTCAGCACCTCATAAGAAACATTCATGCCATGTTTGGTTTCATTCCATGCCGTGGTTCTCTAAAAGAAGACATTTGTATGTATTTCCCATAGGGTCCTATGTTAAACTAAGTCCCCCGCTGGCGGCCATCTTGGATGATGGAATCGCTACAAAGTAACAACACTTGGTCAGCACCTCATAAGGAACATTCATGCCATGTTTGGTTTCATTCCATCCTGTGGTTCTCTAGAAGAAGTTCAAAATGTAAAAAGTTAATGCCGACGACGGACGACGACGGACCAGGTGAGCTAAAAACTGGAGATGTGCTTGGTTTTATCACACTTTCTCTCTTTTTATATGTTTCAATCAGACTGTACTGTAATCTACCATAAAAATTCCTAATTTTTTAATAGTTATTTTTATAAATGGAAATGACAATTTCCTACTTTTATATCCCTCATCTACAAACCTTTGCATACGAAACAGAACGCCCTCTACAAGCTTCTATTTTGATTATTTTTTTTATTTATTTGATGTTGAATTTGTTTGCCATATTAATTTTAAAGCTAAGTTCAATCCTTACTCAATGTTCAATGAAAATTTATGAAGAATTTTGTTTCTGTTACTATAATTAAGATTAACAAAAAGAAAAATCATTTTGAATTTTCACACCAGGATGGAGAAAGCAAACAAGGTATTCTGGTTGGTTATAAAATAGGGGATGGAAAGCATATGAAACTGTTTATTATAATGGATTTTAAGCAATTAAAAAAAAAAAAGTAGAATTAACTTCAAACCCTCTCGGTGAATGAATATTCAGCAATTAAATGCTCAAGCTTTTAAATTCCAACAACTAGTGGTTACCCAACAAGCTTGAGCTTATCAAATTACCTGAGATGAACCCTGAACAAACTTAAGCTTATCAAATTACCATAGATGAACCCTGAACAAGCTTAAGCTTATCAAATTACCTGAGATGAACCCTGTGAGGCTTTCCTTCTTTCCACTGAATCATCAGGGAGAAATTTAAACTGATCGTTTAAATCGATTCCCTCAACACTATAGGACACAGCGTTTGACAAAGAAGGTTTGTCAGGGTAGGACTTGTATCCAGAGCCTGGATAAATCTTGACACCTTCTTTTCCGTACGATCTGACAGACTTGCGCAGATAGAAATCTTCAGAGAATGGTAAGGTAGCACTTTCTCTCTGAGCAACAAAAAATAAAAAACATGCAACACAAATGAAAGCTCGATAAGAATCAAGTTGCCAACACAATTATCATTGTCAGGTACAACTTGTTTCATATCATTTGTAAAGAAGAAATAAGATTATATTTAATGTGAAACTGAGGCCAAGCTAATATTTTCATGCAATCAAGATATATACAGTTTAGTATTCAATGGGAGATAACTCTAAATAAAAAGTATTTACAAAAATCTGTTCAATATAATTATTAATGTCAAATCCCTCACCCATGTTAGATTACACTTTTAATAAACAAGATTATTCATTTACCGGTAACTAGTTTCCACTATATTAGGTTGAAACGTAGATGTATAATTATACCCATTGTGGGTTTATACATTTATGATTTAGAGTATTAACAAATCATCAGAAACATAAGAACACGAAACAAAATTAACCAGTGTTTTAGTAAATAGTAGTTACTTCCCACATCCATCAAGAAATCACACACTGTTTTCAAAGACAAACACATCCAAAACATGATTCAACAATATGTTTCATGGCAATTTTCGATACAAAATACAATAATTTTGATGTAAATTCCATAAGTTTTGATTTTTGAGTATTTCTGTATTTCAGGATGTTTAGTGCAACAATATTTACATCTGAACAAAAGTATCAAAATAATAAGTCAAATTTACATTTTTCTTATCTAATAGCACTAAACACATGTAAAATTATTTGATGGCAATTAATCTTATTATCATTTGAATGCTATCCAATCACAAACAACATTACAAATGATGTCTCCCAAAATACAATAAACATCATATTTTTATTAAAACAATTTGAATTTGAATGTTATCCAATCTGCATCATCACTATAGGAAAAAAGTTAACTATTCAATATAATTTCATTACGATCAGTTCAGGATTTGCCATGAAAAATTGTTGTTCATCAAATCATTTATAATTAAGTGCCAATAAAAACAAAATTTACTTTCATTTCTAATTCAAGTATTTCTTCATGTTGATTGTCCTGAAAACATGCAAATAAACTGATTAATAAATAGTGACAGTAAGATGCAATGGAGGGAAAAGGGGAATAACTCTTTCAAAGGTTCAAATTTTTACCTTCTTCATACTATCATCGAAATCATCAGTAAAATCAAGTTCACTAGTACTGGCATCAACAGAACGGATATGTACATCAGATTGGGAATTACTTTGATCCATTCTCTCTAAAGTAGAATAATCTGCTCCAAACACACTATCACCTCTAGACGACCCTTTCTCCTGGGATAACAACATATATATCATCAAACAATCACAGATTTATAACTTTCCTTCCCTTTAATTTGTTATATTCAAAATAATAGACTTCTGTTTAGATAAAAAGTTTGATTAAAATAAGCCAAATCTCGAATATATAATGAACATATTAAACCACATTTAAAATAAAAACACATAGCTGTGCACCCTTTTGCAAAAACAAATCTGTGATTATTTTGTTTGAATGTATATGAAATAATTATATTCAAAGCAGAAAAAAGATAAATGTACACTTAGACATATATAGATTTTACAATATTTGCTTTACCAAATAAAATCATAAAAAATCAAATTATAAAAAAACAACCAAAAAAAAGAAAATGTCAAACTAAATGTATAATTTATGTCAATGTAAACTGTTCTTGTAATGTATTGTACACTTGGTGGCAAAATTCCACAAGTTAATACAATTTTTAAAACTGCTACTGATGCCACCTGAACATTAAAAACAGTATTTCTTATGCAATTTGTTTGATTTAGCGGTTTTGATTGGACACCATCATATATTTTTAGGGGGAAAATCCTGTTAACTTGTCTGTAATCAAAGAGCCACTAATTTGTTTAATTGGTATGTAATTTCTTCAATAACGAACCTTGGCCTAAAAGCATAGGTTTTACTGTCACATAGGAACACATAGCTTCATTATGTAAAATATAATCCTAATATTATGGGGATTGTGTACCATGTGACCAAGAATTTGTAATTTTGAAGCAACATAGAAAAGTACCAGTGAATTACATGCCCATAGGCAGCTAAACCTTGAGGTAGATTCTAAACGTCTGAAAAGTAAATGCACTGACTTTGACCTTTGACCTCTTACCACAAAAGCACACAAATAATTTCATTGCCAACTGACAAAACAATTAATATGAATAAATTACACCATTTCCTTTCTTTACCATTCTTTTTCTATGACTTCTGCTTTTTATGTACAATCTACAGTAACCAAGGTTAATATACCTACAGCTGAGTTGCCATAAATTATTAACATCACTTAACATTTTAAAGTCATAAGTTTTTTCTCTACACTGATCAAACTGATGAGCTTCATCTTCCAACAAATTTGAAAGCCAATGTTTTTGTTTTGTAAAAAGTCAGTTCACCACATCAATGAACAATTGTTCCATGTTTTCGCCAAATATGAAATCTGAACCATTGAATGTTATATATAGCGGCTGTAATAACCTACCCTGGAAGAGGGAGACAAGGTGTCCCCACGGAAATATTGCATCTCTGCTTCGTAATCAGGGTCACGTTGTAAATAAGATGGGTAGCGCATGGCTGTGCTTATTTCACTCTTGATTCTACGTCTCTGATCATCAGTGACAGGATGTCGGAACTGAAACTCCTAACAAAGCAAAATATAACTCTGCAAGACTGAAGACAAATGTGTAAATGTAAAATCTGTCCAGTAATGTTCTAAGAAACTTGCTTATTATGGATCCTCTTCTAAAAGTTAAAACTGGAATTTCCTGATTCGTTAATTACAATCCGTTTGGACACTTCAACTGGACAGATTTATATATTTACAAAATAACAAATAAAATAACAAAACTGCATATTTACAACTTAAAGGAACACTGTGTATGACAACATATATAACATATATATATATAGATATATATAAAATTTTACAATATCAAGTATAAGCATAAAACTGAATACACATATCATTTACAAGTCTGTCAGTACTGAAACATTGGGTTTTATTCACAATCTGAAAGTCTCTCCATATGCTGTTCTTCAGTATAGTAAATGAATTCAGGCAAAGCGGATATTAAAGTGTCCTAAGGTCACAAAAAAAAACTTTTTTTAAGTAGATGGCTATTTACATCATAGTCTTTGGAGTCATCTAAAAAATTCCTGCATTGATCAACATAGAGAAGTATATCAGTGTATCTTAAGACATTCATTCAAATCTTTAAGAGATTTATGTTTTCATTGGATAACATGTTGGCTTTCCCAGAATCTTTAAGAGATCTATATTTTCATTGAATGACCTGTTGGCTATCCCAGAATCTTTAAGAGATCTACATTTTCATTGGATAACCTGTTGGCTATCCCAGAATCTTTAAGAGACCTATATTTCATTGGATAACCTGACAGCTATCCCAGAATCCTCTATTTTTCGCCTACCTTCATGCCTTCATAGGAAGTATCCAATGGTGATGAACTTTCACCTCTCTCCAACGAAATTGTATCCTCTCCTATAAAAAGTATAAAAAAGTTGGCTCATGAATTATGAACTATGACCACTGACAACATTTGATAATCTTTTATATGTATACAAATAGATCCCAAAAATCATTAATATGAAAAACATTGAGTATAACACATAACAAAAAAATTAATATATACATACAGTTCCTAGAAAATAATTTCTTAGTTATTCCTTCCTATACATATGTACTAAAATAATAGTTATAAATCAAGAATTAAAGCCAGATTTCCAAATATAACAAACAACATAAAATTGTACATGGAAACTTCCATATAAGAAGATTATCCCACATTGTCCTTATTAAGATGGCAATCCTGTGCAGCTAACTTGTATTGATCTGAAATCGTAATGTTCTTGTTGATCATTTAGGTTTGACTTCTTGGAAATTGATCTTAAACAAGCACCTTGTCAAGAGCACCTGTTATATTGGAGATTTTTGTTATTCGCTAGTTACAATTTTTTTATTATCATATTTCGTTTTACCATGCCTGATTATTTGTCATTGAGTATTATAATAACATGTATTTTAAGATTTATATGTTTACACTCAGGAAACTTACGAAATATCTACAATTATAAAGTTTGCAGTGTCACGTCAATTCCCGAAAACTAGACTGTTTTTGGATTTGTCTTTGAACTATCAGAAATTATAAATGTAGGTAAATATTAACCAACACTTAAAAGTTACTAAATGAAGCATCAAAATGATATTAATTGATTCTAAATGAATTTCCATGTGATTTCTACTGGAGAATTTTGTAAAGGTTGTAAATTATTAAACCTTACCTCGACTACGTCTAAAACAGTTCATGGTTTCCTTAAGACAAGATCAGATAGGAACATTAAAAGAGATTTAAGCCAGATCAAATAGAAACACTAAAACAGACTTATAAAAAAACCCTGATCGCTGTCAAAACAATTACAGATCAGGTACAGCCAATACTTAGTAATTACTAAACATCATCTTGGCAATCAAGATGTTAAAAGTTTCTATATTTAATTTAGTCATTACAGCATTTTTAAGTCTAGTGTTTTTAAAAGAGATAAATATTTGTAGAGTCAAGCTGTTAGGATAATTTTGGCCATGCTCTGTACATCTTTTATATCAGTCCATGCTTAGTACATTTTGTTTATAACAGATAATAGATCTATATAATATCAGTTTTATAAACAGAATTTTGTTATTACAGGTTTCCTGACCCCAGGTCTATGACCTGGCCATGTTTTTAGGAGACTTGTAAAGAATTTTAGAATGAAAGATAACAGGCTTTTGAGAATTTTGTAATTTTTTTAAAAGTCAAAGATAAGATATTTACTGCAAAAAAAGTCTATGATTCTATATACTTTCTTTAACTTCAGATGACTTTGAAACTATTCTAGAAGAGATTTTACTCTTACAAGTATTCATGTTTAATTAATTTTACAAGATGTTGTTTCATTATTTTCCAGTCATCTTTTATCGTATTCAAAATTTACTTACAAGTTTAGTATATATCTTTTTTCTTATTCTTATGAAAAATATTAAAGACAAGTTATTGTTTGAGGGATAGATTAAAACAATTAAGAAAGCCAACAATTATTTTTCGCAGAAAAATCATCCAACAAACTCCTTTCTGTGAGCATCTTAATGTTTTTTTCTAGTTTTCATCAGTAAGCAGAACAACAGATAAAATATGAAGTGGTTGTTACCCCTTTTAAAATATGATCTAACCATATAGTGGATGAACATAAGAAACCTTCAGTAAATATGTTCCCTAACATAAACTGTTATCACAGAGATATGTCTCGCCTTTTTGTAATTTTGATAATGCAAATGTTGAAATTAAAATAGCAATACTTTAACATGTAAGTTATGCAAATATTCAAAGTCGACGAATCATGACATAAGGTACATGGCTAAACAATCTCCATGGAAATGAGATGTGCAAATGCTAATACAACTGCATACCAAATACCATTGACTTATTATAAGTCATTTCCTTTCAACAAACCTAAACACAAACATTTACTATATAAAAGTTTCAAAGTCAATGAACCATGATGAAGGGGTGGGGCTATATAATCTCCATGGAAATGATACTTGCAAATGCCAATAAATTTGCATACCAAATATCATTGACTAACATTAGCAGTTCATCTTAAACTGATCTAATCACAAACTAAAACATGTAAACAAAGCAAAAGTTTAAAAGTCAATAAACCATGACTGAGGGGGCGGGGCCAAATAATCTCCATTGAAATGAGATATGCCAATGCTTATACAACTGCATACCAAATATCATTGACCTACCACTTGTGGTTCACCATAAACTAGACCTAATCACAAACTAATACATGTAAACTAAGCAAAAGTTTCAAAGTCAATAGACCATGACTGAGGGGGCAGGGCCAAATAATCTCCATGGAAATTAGATGTGCCAATGCTAATACAACTGCTTACCAAATATCATTGACCTACCACTTGTGGTTCACCATAAACTAGACCTAATCACAAACTAATACATTGTTGACGCTGCCACCCCCACCACCACCGCCGTCGCGATTCCGTGAAGGCGAGACAAAAACCATCGGATAAATCAATGTTCTCATGATACCAGTATTGTGTTTTTTTATGTAAAAATAGTTTATTTTCTGTTTTTTTTTTAATATTATATTATCTTAAAGTAAGTGAAAACTCCCTAGTCCTCCATGATCCATCATATGAGTAGGAGAGTCAGACTTATGGAATTAAAAGACTTAATCTTGTAATGCCAGATATTCATCCAAGGTCCATGGGGTTTATAAAAAAAATATAAGCTGTTCTTGTCTTGCTGTGTCATTTAATTTGATAAAGCAGGTATAGTATTAAAGTTCAGCTCTGTTTATATCTTGTATTTGTTTCTTTTGTTTCTTAATATTATATCTTATTTGCATCATATATATCATGGGAACACATTTTTGTAAAATATGACCATAATTAAAATTCATGACATAACATTAAAGTCTAAATATTAAAAACACTAGAAGCACAAAAGCATTTTTGAATACAAAAATCTATAGATTGAGTTATATTGATTTATTCATGATGTACCAACGATTTTTACTGTACATGCTCTTTATGGTAATGCATTTGTCTTAGCAGCAGGGGTAACTACTTTGACCTTGAATTTTGATATTTAGTCAAGTTCAGTAAAATTTACTATAATTATGGTTCAAAAGAAACAAAAATGTTAACAACTTACTATAATTTCTTATTCAAAAGCCATCTGTAAAGCTTGTAAACCGTTGCAACTAAGCTAAAAGTGCTGTTTATATAATCATCAATAATATACACCCTCATTTTCTATATTATAAATTCTTGAACTGAAATTCCTTAATTCCTTTTCTATTATCTTATTTCTAGAGGAAGCATATATTTCTTGCTTCTTCACTCTATTTCTCCTATTTTTTTTGCAAATATAACATTAATCTTGTGACCTGAGGAGTTTGAAAGTAGGATAAAGGAGTATGTGGATATTTTTCGAAAGGTTTTTTGCTGATTATATTGTATATATAGTGTTACCTTTGCTACCAAGAAAACTACTGTTAACACTTCTGTAACCTGACCAGAAATAATTCAGAATACGGTTAACATTTCTGAGATCTGACCCGAAATAATTCAGAAAGAAAACTGTTATCATTTCTGTAAACTGACCCGAAATAATTTCCAAAACTGTAAACACTTCTGTAAACTGACCAGAAATCATCCAGAAAACTGTTAACACTTCTGTAACATGACCAGAAATAATTCACAAAACTGTTAACATTTCTTTAACCTGACCAGAAATAATTCAGAAAACTGATAACACTTCTGTAAACTGACCAGAAATAATTCACAAAACTGTTAACATTTCTGTAATTTGACAAAAAATAATTCACAAAACTGTTAACACTTCTGTAAACTGACCAGAAATAATTCCCAAAATTGTTAACATTTCTGTAATTTGACCAAAAATAATTCAAAAAATGGTAACAGTGATAAATTAACTATTCCCAGTATAGTCTTTTTCAGCACACAATGACCATATGTAGCTATTTGCAATAGCAGAACTTCCTTTCAAAGAATTCTTTTTTGAAACATGTTACTCCATCTAAAATCCCCTTAATTTAATAACAAAAATCTGATACCCAATAACATTAAAATATATAAGTTAGATCAGAAGTCACAAGGTGTTAGTTCAAAAACCACCTGAGGACCAAAAAAAAAATTACCAAAAACCAAAAAGGTATAAAGGACATATATATAAAAACATTCCTTTGTTTCTTTTTTAACTTTCAACACATGGATAATGGTTGTGATATATTTTGTTACTTTTTCTCTGGTAAAAATTACAGTAATTGCTTTACCAAAATTAAAGCTGAAGCATCTGATATGTTGTCCTTGTTCTGTTAATGAAGGCATTACCACTGTTTTGAACCACTTATATATCATAAATAAACAACACAATATAAAGAAAAGACATCAACACTTCAAAGAGAACATATTAAAAAGGCATATATCACAACATCATAATGAAATAAATTATCTAATAAAGTACTGGTATATTTAGTAACAAGTATGTATGAAAGCCATAACAATCAGATTCCTTGGCTAAACATATGATAGTAAAAAATTATAATTTAATGTAAGTATTTCTATCATTAATTAAATTCAAACAAGAATGCGTCCATAGTACACGGATGCCCCACTTGCACTATCATTTTCTATGTTCAGTGGACTGTGAAATTGGGGTCAAAACTCTAATTTGGCATTAAAATTAGAAAGATCATATCATAGGGAACATGTGTACTAAGTTTCAAGTTGATTGGACTTCAACTTCATCAAAAACTACCTTGACCAAAAACTTTAACCTGAAGCGGAACAGACAGACGGACGGACAAACGGACCGAAAATAAAAATAGTTCATTCATTATCTTAGAAATACATTTAGACTCAAACATGTAAATAAGAGCAGTTTAAGCATTATCAATAAATAAAGATGATAGTTTCTACATAGAAATTAACTTGTTATGGCCTTCATATGTATATATAATTATAATTTATATACCCTTACGTACTGAAAACTAAAAATAGAAAATTATCAAAGACATGCAATTAAAATAATTATAGTCCACACCACAACAGGGGAGACAACACCTGACTTACTAGACTGCATTTGATTGCCCTCGTAAAATGGCAAGTTTATATGTTGTTCATATAAAGGCTTCCCAAATAATGGTGATTGGGGCAGAAAATCATCTCCTGTAGAATATTGTCACAATTTTAATTGGGAAAACAAAAGTATTGAGTGCCAAAAATGTTAAAATGTAGTTAATTCTTTAACATGTGCCATATATCATCTGAAATATACTGGTGCAAAATAACATAAAATTACCTGAAACCAGCATAACTTGGTTATATATCAAAAATATTTGTTCAAGTCAAAAATATCAATGCTGGTCTGTACTTATATTCATTGTCAAACAATTCTTATCTCTAATATCTAATACAAAATATAATATCCATAAAACCCTACGTGTCCTTCAATTTATAAGGAGATGTTGGGTAAACATGGATGAGACAGCAACCCAACTGACATTCATCAAAAAAAGATAGTAAGAGTTCTTCAAACAATGGGGAAATACAAATATCCTTACACAAATTTCAGTTTTCTGTATGTTTTTATAATCATGACAAAAATCATTTAGACACAAAGTAAATGTTAGAACCAAACTAAGAAGAAATGTTGATTCAATCATTTGTTTTTCTTGATATTTCTTTTCTCAAGGAGAAAACAGTTGCATTTTTCCCAAAACAACTTTGTTTAAATTTCATAAGAAAAGACCAAATTCTGAACAAATTTTGGCCCATATATACACATTTTCAAATACAAATGTACAATCAGTTCTAATCAGTATCTTGACATATTTTATTGACTGCACTGGTTAAATAATATTTCAAGAGAAAAAATCCTATGGAAATGTCCTGTTAAAAAGAGAGAAAAATGAAGCTACCCAACTAAAAAAGTATTTAATTTAGACAAGTAGATATGAATTATGTATACTTTGAATTGAAGTACAAACTGCATTGATGTGTTAGCAAACCAAATGAGAAATCAAACCTTTTTTTTTCTAATCATTTGTTGAAAAACAAAAATTTCAAATTCATTTGATTTGCATTTTTTAATTAAAAGTTTAGAAAATTAAACAATTAAGGGAGAATAACATGAACAAATAAAACCATAACAAATAACATAACATTCAACCATATCACCACACTTACCAAATAAGGTGGAATCAAAAGCTAAATATAGACCGTCATTATTTACATACTAATCCACAAAAGTTTAACATTGTTATAAACATTAAAAGATATATCAAAAGATGCAAAGCCATTAACTCAAAATAAATTCTGATTATGTAATAGTGCTGAAATTGTTAGGAATGGCATCCCACTTCTTTTCTATATTTAAAACTTGATGGCCAATATTTATTGCCTTGAAACAAGTTATCTTCCTTAAGAAGACAAAATTCAATTTTAAAAGTTGCTTCTTCAAGATGCTTTCAAGACATTTTTAATTTTAAAATGAAAAACGAAATTAGGCTTATTCCCAATCAATGATTTTGAATAAATTTTGAGTCGATAAAATTATTAGCTCTGAAAATAATTTTCATTTCATTTTTTCAAAAGTAAAGGCTACTACTTTTACTTTAGAGTTTACATTTCTGTTTTTCCAAAATTCATCCCTCCAGAAGATAAGTGATGACTAATGAGGTTGTCATCTTTAAATAAAGATTATTTTATTTATTTATTGAATGAGTCCCTTTAGAAAGCTCCAATGCTTCCCCTTTCAATCTAGCTCTACAACACACACACACACATAGAATTAGATCACAAATATTTGACCTTCATGGTTTATTATAGGATTTTGTTAAAGCTAACACCATTTTGCAATTATATATAATAGCTACTGTGAATTGTGCTGTTAATGTCTCCAGTGATTATTAAAACTAAATAGTATTTAAAATAGTTAAAATACTAAACAGAGGAATATTATCAGAAATGTTCACTGGAGTTTTATAGGAAAGATCTAGCTTGGAAGATTGTTTTGACTTTTGTTACCTGATTCAGATATCCCTCTTAAAAAATAATTCTATATATTAAACTTTAATTTCCCCAAAACATTCCAATTTAAATCTGATACATCAGGTAACAATTTAATCTAGCATTAGGTTTAGGACACAGCAACATAAAGTAGCTGCATCTTCCTCACCAAATGAACTGAGTTCACTCAACCATGATGTCCTGAATTCACTAGACCTTACACTGCTTCTACCTGACAGCAAAGTATTAAGTTAAATGCATTACACATTCAAATTCACACTCCTGACACAAATCACACTTTAAAAATATTTTAGTTGTCCCGAAAAGTCCCAATCACTCCAACAAATATGTGTGGTGAACAAAATAATACACTTGAAAACGTTTTTGTAATTTAATTTATAATATTCAATAAAAAAATCTGTACAATTTGTTTTTGATTTTTTTTTTTAAAACATGTTTTTACACATAGTATTTTTTAATAAAATCTCCAATTCCTTCTCAAGTCGAAATTTAACCTTCTTTCCTTCACTAGTTGTGAATTTCTCCTGATAATTTGTTTACAGTTGATCATCACACATATAAGGTAATCTGCTCAAAATGTGATCAATCGTGGAAAGTCTCAATGTCTCACCATCAACTATATCTTCTTCATATTGAAAAAAACACATTTTATTTCCTTATATTACTAAAAATGCCACCCTATTTATATTATGTTTACAAGTTCTGTAAAACGATAATTTCCACTATATCTTCTTTGTATTAAAAAAGCATATTTTATTTCCTTATATTACTAAAATTGTCACCCTACTTATATTATGTTTACAAGTTCTTTACAAACTTTATGTTTCTTTAATTACTTATAATGAAAGAAAAAATCTTCCCTTTTGATATTTCATATGTTTTTCTTAAATTTAAAATCTGATTATTACCCACAGGATTGGAACATGCCAAATCAAGGGAAAAAAAAACAATATATTATTTCAAACTTTTTCTAAGCAGTCCAAGTTATATATTAATGAAGAAAGGGAGCTTACATTCTCTATCAAAACAATAGTTTTAACAAAACATGATGCCATGGAAACCAAACAACATTAATGGAGTCCTTACCTCCTTCATCTTCTGAATCAGATAGTAATGTCTCCTGCATGGTTTCTGGAGAAACGACCTTGTATTTGTCCTCTGCTGTTGGAATGGTTTCTGTTACCTCAGTAACACCAGCTAGAGTATCAACAACTGATATGTAACCAAGGCGTTGTGCAATGGAAAGAGCTGTTTGTCCATTCTGTAAATATAAACATCTTTTATTACACTATCAGCTGTCTTTAATAAGAAATTGAAAGGGGGAATTTAAGTAAAAAATTATACTTAATTTTCAATTAATATCTCGATAATGGGCCTGCAAGTTCTAGATGGCATGCAGGAAAAAAATCTTACAAAAAATTTGGGGTCATGATAGCCAAAATGTCAATTTATGAGTATATCTTGCTGAATGATCGATAAATCAATTAAATAATAAATTGTTTGTTGAAATGATAACTCTTCAAATCAAATAAAACTAAAAATATCATTTACAGAACCCTAAATGAAACCAGGTTTATACAGAAACATATATATGCATATGAACCTCACTTGTCAATGTGATCATAGAAAGACTGTAATATTTAGTTATTTAATATGAAATTGACAGGAGCTGGTGTATGTAATTGTATGCAGGAAGGTTTCAACCAATTCTATTCATTATCCTTAAGCAAAACAGACAATAACAAACCTATTAAACTCCAAGGTATTCAAAGTGCACTAACAATTGAGGCTGTTATCTTCGGAAAAAAGTGAAAAGTACAATAATAAACAACCCAACATCACAGTCCTGGCTTGCTTAGAACTTATTTTGTTTCACAAAACATCCCACTTTGATGATAGTTACTTATTGTTTATGGAGAATTTAGTGTTGAAAACTTGATTATTTATTGATTGGCAAGACAAGACACTTTCGTATCCTCAGTAAATTACCACTGTTCTAAATTATTAATTTTAATACCATCATACTAGGGGAGATAATTCTAACATAAACTGAAGATAGCCTTTGTTTCAATTCAGATCATCATGTCTGAACCTTTTCTGTAGACAATTATGTAAAAATACTCCATATTGCACATCATACAGATATCCTATTTTCCCTTAAAAATTTAGTAGCTTGACCAGCACTGGTGGTAAAAGAAAAAAATTTATTGGATTCTGAAAAGAACTTTTGTAATTGCAGAAAGATCATTTAATGGCCCTTCAGTGTTAAAAGTTCTATTGTACTCTAAACTGAGGATAATTCATGTCTGAAATATTGTTTAAAAAACAACACATAGTACTTCTGGCTTTCTGGAGTTTTTTTGTTGTTTTTTTAAAGGAGAAGGGGCTAGTGTCTGATTCACTTCTTCACGTAAATCATGCTCATTCATTTAAATCATGCTCATTCATTTATACTTTCACCGATCCTAATTCAGCTTTTATCAGTACTGAATTTGTTTATCATTTTTACACTAATGTATTGAATCGACTAATGAAATATGAATAGCCAGACATATATTACAATTAATTAAAGCATATACCCACAACTTAATCATGACAGAGGGGGTTAATTAGTTTATACTAGCGGCCAACTACCTGACCAAAAGACTTTAAAGGTGGTACATAACACTACAGGGAGATAACTCTGTAAAAATCCGCTCAATGTTTTAATCACGTTCTATTGTTAAGGAAATATTAAGTTTCTCAATGATCAAAATTAGTGTTTGTCAAAGTGCTATTTATCCAATGAAATTTTTCCTATAAAGTGTGTGGTTCAAGTTTTTTGAATTTTTTATATTTTTGTCAAAGGGTCAAAATAAATATTTTGTCAAAATTTTATGAAAATTAAACGAGCCAAATTAATTTTAGTCAAGGTTCTTGGTACCACCTTAAGAACAACTTAGTTGAAATTTTCAGTAAGAGATTGGAAAGTTGTATTTGATTTTATTTTGATGCTCCCAAGCATTTGATGTATCCAGCTTCCCAAACTATGGAATTCAAGTAGAATAGAGAATGGAAATGGGGAATGTGTCAAAGAGACAACAACAGACCAAAGAATAGAAAACAGTCCAAGTGTATATCGATGAAGCTTAGTCCAAAAACATGTGTCAGGGACACTGAAATCATTATCAAAACTTTGTACATGGCCCATTCAGGAGCTGTATTTGGGTATAACCCTCCATTTTCTGGAAACTTACATTAGAGACAGCGTTAGGTGAAGCCTTGTTTTTCAGCAAGAGATTGACAACTTGTACATGTCCTTGTTGAGCTGCCTGGTGTAGTGGTGTGTAGCCAAGCTATAATATAAGATAATATTCTAATGAACGACTTATGATGTGATAAATGTTTATACATCTATATAATGTTCTTTTGGCTGAATAACTTTATTTGGAATGACCAGTTACTGCGGATTCATTTTTTTTCCTAGGTACCAATTTTCGTGGATTGAGGAAAAGTTTTTGTGGATATTTGATTTCATTTGCATACAAATCTATAGAAAATTTGTATCCAATGAAAAAAATACTGAATATAGAATTAAACACTTTTTTGTAAATTTTCATAATGTGAAGAAAAGAACAGCAAGATTCGTATATGTATTATAATATCACAAAATAAAGAGCTGCGCCATGAGCGCATGATAGGCCCGTCGCTTTTTCAAAGAATAAAGTTCCACAACTCCTCAATTTCATATCAGAAATTTATAAAAGAAAAAACTAAAGGGAGGTTATTTTAATAAATATAAAACAGTCACCAAAGTTTCATGAAAACTGCTCAGAGCGCTTTTGAGTTATTGTCCGAAAAATGGAAATTCCCCCCTTTTTTATGAATAAAATCCCATAACTCGGAAACGTAAAATTTAAAATTTATAAAAATCGAAAGGGAGCTTACGTCAATAGATATAAACAATTCACCATAGTTTCATGAAAACTGCTCAAAACATTTTTGAGTTATTGTCTGAAAACTGGAAAATCCCCTTATATAAAAAGACCTAAAAATAAAGTAATTATAGTATTCAAAAGAAATTTTATTGTTTAGGCTACAAGTTACATTATTTACATGAAAATTACAATATTCAGAGGGATATCCAATAAACTAAACAGAATTTTTATCAAACATAGTAGTAACTCACCTTGGTGGTAGCGCTGACAGAAGCTTCATGTTCCAAGAGGAAGCGAACCATGTTAATCTGTCCAAAATGACATGAAGTGTGTAAAGGGGTGTATCCAGCCTACAATATATAATGCATCAATTATTTCTGTTCTTTCTGTGGAAAATATCTTGTAATTATAATGAAAGAGACAAATTTACAATGATTAAACTTCAAATCTTCATTAAAAAGGCCCGAATGGCTTAGTGGTCTAGGTACAGTCAATTGTTATAGAGGATGAAGTTGTCATCTCAGTAGAAAAATTAATATAGAATTCAATAAAGCACTGAATCTAAAATCCTTTTAACTTTTTGCCTTATGTCTTTGGCATACACATGTGCAGTATTCTTTTCCAGTTTCAGCATTTTTCGTAAAACAACATAAAGTGGCATACTATTCCTGCAAATTTGTATATTAGTTCAACAAAAAGATAAATGACTGTAGTTGGTAACATCTGATAGCTGGTCAAGCCTAACTGAGGTCATTTGCACAAACTATATATGTATGAGCCAATTACAAACCTGTTATCTATATTTTAAGTTACTCAATTAATCTAAGTGGTTTAGTTCTAGCACTAACAATTTTAACACCTATACAACCTATTCTATTGGATTTGACAATGATTCTAATATATCACCCACCTTAGTTTGTGGGTCAATTTCTGAGCCATATTTGACCAATACTTCAGCAACATTGACTTTGTCTTCTTGAGCAGCAAGGTGCATTGGTGTTAATCCATTCTAAAAATAGAAAGAGGGGAAAGATATCTATAGAACATAAATCAACTAAAAATAAATTGGCTTAAATGTAGACCTGCAATTAAAGATGTGATGTTAAAAGTTATAACTAACAAAAACAAATCTATTCATATTTATGATTTTGCCACTAACATTAGAACAAAGATGAACCAGGTTTAAATGTAGCTATCGTTAACTAACATCAGACTTGTATTGGGCAAGATATGATTGTTGCTTACATAAGGTTTGATGTCAATATTCAATAGCTAATGAATCAGGTTTGACAGTACCTTACATCAGCTTTGACACAAAATTAAGATTTGAAAGAACCAAAATTTTCTTTAAAAACATGACCTTTGGCACTAACATTAGATTTGTAATAAGTGAAGTATGACAATAACAAACAAGTGTTTGGCACCAACATTATACTTGTAACAACCAGGTCTGACTGTAACTTGCATGAGCTTTGACACCAATATGAGATTTGTAATAAGCCAGGTCTGACTGTAACTTGCATGAGCTTTGACACCAACATGAGATTTGTAATAAGCCAGGTCTGACAATAACTTACATGAGCTTTGACACCAACATGAGATTTGTAATAAGCCAGGTCTGACAATAACTTACATGAGCTTTGACACCAACATGAGATTTGTAATAAGCCAGGTCTGACAATAACTTACATGAGCTTTGACACCAACATGAGATTTGTAGTAAGCCAGGTCTGACAATAACTTACATGAGCTTTGACACCAACATGATATTTGTAATAAGCCAGGTCTGACAATAACTTACATGAGCTTTGACACCAACATTCGTTTTGTAATAAGCCAGGTATGACAATAACTTGCATGAGCTTTGACACCAACATTAGATTTGTAATAAGCCAGGTATGACAATACCTTACATGAGCTTTGACACCAACATTTGATTTGTAATAAGCCAGGTCTGACAGTAACTTACATGAGCTTTGGCACCAACTTTTAATTTGTAATAAGCCAGGTATGACACTAACTAACTTGAGCTTTGGCACCAACATTAGTTTTGTAATAAGCCAGGTCTGACAATAACTTACATGAGCTTTTTACACCAACATTAGATTAGTAATAAGCCAGGTCTGACAGTAACTTACATGAACTTGTCACCAACATTAGATTTGTAATAAGCCAGGTCTGACAGTAACTTAGATGAGCTTTGGCACCAACATTAGATTTGAAATAAGCCAGGTTTGACAAGAACTTACATGAGTTTTGGAACCAACATTAGATTTGAAATAATCCAGGTCTTACAGTTACTTACATGAGCTTTGGCACCAACATTATATTTGTAATAAGCCAAGTCTTACAGTAACTTACATGAGCTTTGGCACCAACATTAGATTTATGTTCCAGTAGAAGAGATACCATGTCTGTATGACCTTCTTGTGCAGCTAAGTGAAGTGGTGAGAAACCATTCTGTAAAAAATGTCATAAAATCTTAGTAATAATGAAAATGCTTGTGAGCACTGAAACAAAATGATTGCATTCATTTTTGCATTGGGAACCAAAAATTAAACATTGCATTGTATAAAGCATTGGAAGGCAATGCAATGAATTGGTTCAACTACAATTAATGACAAAGGAAGATAACTCCAAATTTAAATGTTACTTTAAGATTGACATCATTGTTATTTTTTAAACACAGACTAGATCCATGCACCATGCACAATTTATGTAATTTTCTTGACAGGTTTGGTTATACACATACACATCATTTTGTAGCTTGAATATTTGAGTTTATTACATTGGTAGCAATGAATTACATTGATTTCCCAGTCAAATAAAAACCGATAATTTCACACGTGAAATAAACGTGGTTATTTCACTCTCTGACGTCATACAACAATAGGCGTTGTCAAGACGTCGATAACGTCGGATCAAAACAAATTGTGAATGCGTAGAAAAAAGATATAGTTCCTTTCATTTTTCTACATTAATTTCATTAAAAAAAGCCATTTGCCAATGTAATAAAAAGAATAACTAATCAAAGAATTCAAATATCGAAAAATATTCAACTCGTGACCGAACAACACTGATAATTAACTCATGCGCTACGCGCATTCGTGAATTAATGTGTTGTTCGGTCACTCGTTGAATATTTTTCTCTATTTGAATTCTTCGATTAGTTATTCTATAAATATATTTCATCGATTAATTTCTTGAATGAATAGGATGTATAGAATAATATAGAATAATGTGTTCAATGCACTGTGATTCTTTATCTCAAAGGTAGTGATCAAGTCTGGAAAATTGATCAAAACTATGAAGCAAGCCACAAAAGGGTTTTAATTGCATGACTGCAATCTTTACCCCCCCCCCCCCCCCCCAAAAAAAAAACACCAAAACTTCATAAATAGTTACTTAAATTTGTACATAATGAAAGAGAATGGAGCCACTATTTTTGTTTTGTTATTTATTTTGAATAGTTTATCTCTTGTTGTATTCAATGAAGAAGTTTTAGGTTGACACCCAACCTACTACATATTTATGACTTTAAATCTAATGTTAATATTTTAAAGTTAAAGGGAGGTAAGTATTTAGAAATAAGTCTACCTTTGATTCAGCATTAGGATCAGCACTAAACTCTAGTAGTGTAGTAGCTATATCCATCTGATTCTTCTTGGCAGCTATGTGTAGAGGTGTGTAGCCATTCTGAAATAATATTACCATCATATACAGATAAAATTAGATATATAAATTAAATGAAAGTCCAATTTAATTTCCTGGAAGTTATGAAATATTTCAGTTTTTGAAATGATCTTATCTTTCCCAAAATCTGTTTAAATTTGACTAAATATTTGAGTCAGAGTTGTCCCAATACAAGGGAAGTTTACCATCAGGGTACCATGATACTTAATCTTTATCTTACAATATCTTTGGTTTTTGTTCTTTTTTGGTTAAGTAATCAATGTCTATACCACCAAAACTTGTACAAAATATTTTAAATTATATCATTAATTGGTTGAGTTGTATATAAAGATAAAAGCTGCAGAATAATTCTGTCTCATTACAAGAAAACCTGACCATAAATAAATGGAAATAATACACATACCTTAGCTGTACAATGTGGTGATGCCTTGTGGTCCAACAGTAGAAAAGCTACGTTGGAATGATTGTAATGTGTAGCCACATGTAGAGGAGTCAGACCATTCTTTCCTTGGACATCTGGATTAGCTCCCTTCTGTAGGAGTAGACTTGCAACTTTGATATTTCCATATTTGGATGCAATATGCAGTGGAGTGAATCCTTTCTGTAAAACAATTCAAATTATTTGTAAGAATTTTTAATTGTCAGGTTAACTTGTCAATTATTGAAAGTAACTGTTCTTTAACTTACAATATGTACTTTATTCCATTCCCATTACATAAAGATTTGTCTGCATACAAAGTTAATGTGGCATGCTCAATCATTTGACTGATTTGGTTACTGTATACTGAGTCAGATTTTAAATGTACAAGCTTACAAGAAAACAACCTACAAGACTGATACCTCTAAACAGACACGTTATTTGGACAACTAGCCTGACAGTGATTGTTTAAACTTGTAAATGCTCCATACTTAACAATTATAAGAGTGTGATATTCCAACTAAAAAGAATCTACTTTTTATACCCCCTGGTCGTTAGACATACCTTAGTAGTAAGACCATGTGACACTCCATGTTCCAACAAAACAGAAACTACTTTCTATACACCACTGGTTTTTAGACATACCTTAGTAGTAAGACCATGTGACGCTCCATGATCTAACAAAACAGAAGCTACTTCTTCATTTCCTTCCTTTGCAGCGATGTGTAATGGCGTGTATAAGTCCTTGGTGACAGCATCAGCGTTGGCTCCGTGTTGTAACAGTAATGTAACATTGTCAACATTACCCAGTCTTGCAGCTATGTGTAGAGGTGTTTGTTGTTCCTGGAAAATAATCAAACATTTGATATAGAGAAGGAACTTCCTAATCCCTTTTCACAATTTATCTTCCTTAGTTCACTACTTTCTATACAAATATCCATTTTTTATTTATGAAGTTGATACTTCAGCAACCACAGAAAAATTAAAAAACCCATTTGATTTATAAATTTTCACTTAAATTTCAAAATGTTCATTATTACTAAGTCTTTGCCAAGTGATTATGTTCATTTATAATATAAATTTCTTTTTGATTCTAAAAAGTAAAAAAAAATGCAAAAAATTTATTTTCAAATTCCATATAATTAGACTGACAATTATTAAAGCCAAAGCAGCATAGCACTGCTTGAACATGTTAAAAAGTAGGATTAGTTATATAGTAAACACTTAATGTAAAAGCAAAAGAAAACAATAAACTACAGTTTTTTATTTCTTAAGATATATTTGTTATTCTGAATAAAAAAATAAAAATGTCCACATTATCTGTCTGCAAGACACTTTTATATAATCTGAAAACAAATTCTACACATAGATATATACTATTAGTATGTTTTTAATGTACACATTACTATCTGGAAATGAATGTATATTTAAATACATAAGATTTAATCATTTACATAACTATTTTAAAACTAAATGTATATCAAATTAACAGAAAAGGGAAATTAAAAGACGGAAATATACATATTGCTATTCTTTTCAGTAAAGTAATAATAAGTCTTGTCTGTGTTAGTCTTTGTCTTGTCTCTGTTAGTCATGGTCTTGTCTGTGTAAGTCATGGTCTTGTCTGGGTTAGTCATGGTTCTATCTGAGTTAGTCATGGTCTTGCCTGTGTAAATCATGGTCTTGTCTGTGTAAGTTATGGTCTTGTCTGTGTTAGTCATGGTCTTGTCTATGTAAGTCATGGTCTTGTCTGTGTAAGTTATGTGTAAGTCATGGTCTTGTCTGTGTAAGACATGGTCTTGCCTGTGTAAATCATGGTCTTGTCTGTGTTAGTCATGGTCTTGTCTATGTAAGTCATGGTCTTGTCTGTGTAAGTTATGTGTAAGTCATGGTCTTGTCTGTGTAAGACATGGTCTTGCCTGTGTAAATCATGGTCTTGTCTGTGTAAGTCATGGTCTTGTCTGTGTAAGTTATGGTCTTGTCTGTGTAAGTTATGGTCTTGTCTGTGTTAGTCATGGTCTTGTCTGTGTTAGTCATGTTCTTGTCTATGTAAGTCATGGTCTTGTCTGTGTTAGTCATGTTCTTGTCTGTGTTAGTCATGGTCTTATCTGTGTTAGTCATGGTCTTATCTGTGTAAGTCATGGTCTTGTCTGTGGAAGACATGGTCTTGTCTATGTAAGTCATGGTCTTGTCTGTGTAAGTCATGGTCTTGTCTGTGTAAGTCATGGTCTTGTCTGTGTAAGACATGGTCTTGTCTGTGTTAGTCATGGTCTTGTCTGTGTTAGTCATGGTCTTGTCTGTGTTAGTCATGGTCTTGTCTGTTAGTCATGGTCTTGTTTGTTAGTTATGATCTTGTCTGTTAGTCATGGTCTTGTCTGTTAGTTATGATCTTGTCTGTTAGTCATGGTCTTGTCTGTTAGTCATGGTCTTGTTTGTTAGTTATGATCTTGTCTGTTAGTCATGGTCTTGTCTGTTAGTTATGATCTTGTCTGTTAGTCATGGTCTTGTCTGTTAGTCATGGTCTTGTTTGTTAGTTATGATCTTGTCTGTTAGTCATGGTCTTGTCTGTTAGTTATGATCTTGTCTGTTAGTCATGATCTTGTCTGTTAGTCATGGTCTTGTTTGTTAGTTATGATCTTGTCTGTTAGTCATGATCTTGTCTGTTAGTCATGGTCTTGTCTGTTAGTCATGGTCTTGTTTGTTAGTTATGATCTTGTCTGTTAGTCATGGTCTTGTCTGTTAGTTATGATCTTGTCTGTTAGTCATGATCTTGTCTGTTAGTCATGGTCTTGTTTGTTAGTTATGATCTTGTCTGTTAGTCATGGTCTTGTCTGTTAGTCATGGTCTTGTCTGTTAGTCATGGTCTTGTCTGTTAGTCATGGTCTTGTCTGTTAGTCATGGTCTTGTCTGTGTTAGTCATGGTCTTGTCTGTTAGTCATGGTCTTGTCTGTGTTAGTCATGGTCTTGTCTGTGTTAGTCATGGTCTTGTCTGTGTTAGTCATGGTCTTGTCTGTGTTAGTCATAGTCATGGTCTTGTCTGTGTTAGTCATGGTCTTGTCTGTGTTAGTCATGGTCTTGTCTGTTAGTCATGGTCTTGTCTGTTAGTCATGGTCTTGTCTGTTAGTCATGGTCTTGTCTGTTAGTCATGGTCTTGTCTGTGTTAGTCATGGTCTTGTCTGTGTTAGTCATGGTCTTGTCTGTGTTAGTCATGGTCTTGTCTGTGTTAGTCATAGTCATGGTCTTGTCTGTGTTAGTCATGGTCTTGCCAACAATCAATACGCATAAGAAAACAATGACTTTTCGTTCTTATGAAGATTTGAAAAAGTAAGTTCTTGGAAAAATGTGATTCAAAAACATGCAATACTTTAAAATCTACAAAATACTGTAAAAGTATTAATTTTTTGCTGGTACAAATACTGGCATAAGATTAAAACTGATTATTTAGAGTAATAGTTACTTTTGAAATAAGTCTTTGGAAAGGTAACATTCATATATAACCATTTTCATAAAAAATACTTTTTTGCAGTAAAAAATAACATAATGATAGGAGGCAAAATTAAAAGAAATTAAAATCCATAATATATTAAAATAACATTTTCTATTTGAAGAAATTATACACAGCAAAAAATAATAGCCTTACAATAAAGAAGTTTGTGTTTTATTGTCACTGAAATGTCATGCATTTTGAAAGGCGGTAACTGCACATTAATTATCAGCAATAACTAGCTTTGTTTATTATGTCAGGAAAATGCACATTTGGCAGACAAGATATTTTTTAATGTTGGGGCTTGAAATACTTAACAACTTGTTGACATGAGAAACTGGAAGCAAGTGGTTAGGTTTGACAGATCTACAGGATGTCTATACCTACATTTTCTATATAATATTTCTGAAAATAATACAATTACAAAAACAACATCAAACATTTGGCTTGTCACAAAGGGAAAGCTGTAATAGGTGCAGACAGTTATTCTGTAATAAAAATCAAACTTGTTCTTTGCACAAGAAGTGAAAAGATATTTTCAAATTGATTGCATTTGAAACCTTTAATTGCATTTGAAACCTAGAAAGTATCCCACATGACATTCTGTATAAAAGACCTGGTATATGCTAGAATTCATGTATCAGTTTACAATGGTACCCCTGGGTAATGACAATGACAAGATTCTCAATCCTGTTACAATGATAAATTAAAACTAGGATACATTTTTCAGAGAGTTTGCCCAAAAGACTTTCCAAAGCAAATCAACAGACAAAGATTTATGGATTCAATACATCTAAAGCCTATGATATTGACACAAACAGCTTTCCATACAAAAATCAATACCTTACAGTCCTATCACCTAATGACCATACAACAGAACTGATCAATACTGTATACATTATTCAAACAATTTTATGATATACGTATTAATGACCACATCTGGATAATGAAGTTTATGTAATAATAGTTTCCTGTTGTATAATACATTACCAGAAATGTCAATTACCAAAACGTAATTTGTCTGGTGAACTTTCAGCTAGGGAGATATAAAAGTACAGTATCATTTGTTTATATGGATGACATGAAAAATAGGTCCCTCGGTACAAAGAACATCAAGAATTATATTCTAATTTTATCATGTAATTCTACATACAAGAGGCTGGCCTTAAACTGTACTGCTAAACTAATGGTCATGTCCAACTTTTTTGTCTAATGCATGCCATTATTATTAAGAAATTTTCCGTGGAGTAAGTTGTAATATTTAGCGCCTTACAAATTCAATATTGATTGATCTTCTTTCACTAGCGAATGAATGCTGAGGAAGAATCTGTGCAGCACATATTTTATTTCTTTTGGTACTTCTTAATATAGTTTGTAAGTACAGTGAAACCTATATATACAAAGACTTTAAGAATTGAAGATTATAATGGTGTTGGGCTCACTAATTAAACTACTAAAGAATGTTTACTATATGTCCTGATACAAGAAATCAGCTAAAATAGGTTACCAGTTTGATTTAGGCATAATTAACAGAAACTTGCAGCCTTCTCACGTTGGTCTGGTTTATGGAATTTCATTGTTTGAATCTTGATAAATGGAAAAAATGTATTTGGATGGACATATATTTTTTGTGTGAATATAAAGAGATGTGGTCAGGATTAGACAAGAACTCAATAGATATTGGTACCACATGGATAATGACAAGTTCACTGTATTCAATTTGGTTTAACAAGATAGTACACAATTAATGGGTATTCTCTTTACACAAAAACTCCAAATTTTATCATCCTTACAACAGGCCTAAAGTGACTGTAAAAGCTTACATGACATTGGTGATCTAAAGCTGAAATCACTGATTACTGACTGAACAGTGCAAATCGTATCTTCAAATTAAATATAAACCATGCTCTGTTATCAAATCTAAAAACATATTAATTTCTCTATATATTTGAAGTTTTGATTCTGATCTTGTTATTTTGACTTTGCATTAGCAATTGCTTTTGTTTGCAACTTGTTTTGTTTTTACATTGCATATTTTTCAGAATTCCACAAAACAACATCAATCTTAGGGAAATGTATACAACATAAATCAATAGAGTTTTTATTATTGAGTACTGTATATCTTACTCTAGCTCGTGCATCCACGGTGGCTCCATTTCTGAGTAAGATTCTGATGATGTCTGTCTGGTTAGCTCTGGCGGCTAGATGTAATGATGTCTCTCCACGAACCGTGGGATGGTCTGGACTGGCATTGTTTTGGATTAGACTAATCACAATATTCATATGTCCCATAAAGGAGGCCACATGTAAAGGTGTTAGTCCAGACTACAAATAAAATTATTACAGATTGTTATAATAGAATAAAGTGCCCTTTAAAGGATACATTGTGGGAGGTTAGTTCAGGTTCCATCTAAAAGAGGAATAAAGATTAATAGGCAAGAATATTTCTCTAAAGATTTTTCTCCACTCTTATGGAAAAAGGAGAATGGAGTATTTTCATGTCACATTTCGTTCTGGGTCTTAGAAGGGGCAGTTAACTCTTCACAGTGTCTTAGAAGGGGCAGTTGAATCTTCAATGTGCGTCTTAGAAGGGGCAGTTAAATCTTCAGTGTGTCTTAGAAGGTGCAGTTAACTCTTCACAGTGTGTCTTAGAAGGGGCAGTTAACTCTTCACAGTGTGTCTCAGAAATGGCAGTTTAATCTTCACAGTGTTTGCTGTTTTCATATCTTGACCATGTACAATGCAATGAATTGGAAAATGAAATGTTTGTGTAGGTCTGATTTCACAGAAAATGCCTATTACAATATAGAAAATTTCACCACATGTAAAAATTTCCTAAAAGCAATATCCTTTCATTTTATAAGATTATTAACCCTTTAATCATTACATATACAGTTTGTAACCAAAATACCAGTGTACAATCCAGTCCTCAAGCAACACAATGGGTGCCTAATAGGAGCAGGAACAGCTTTCTCATTCAGAGCACGAGAGTTTGTGAGATATTGTTACTCATTCATTTTTTCTAAAATCAATTCTTACCTTTTTTTATCATAAACTTTAAATTCTTAACTCAAAACAGAACATTTCTGTTAACAAAACAATGTGTAAATAAAAATGTGTAATGCTACAAACCTCAGTGGTAGCTTGTATTGATGCTCCATATTTCAGGAGAAGTTCAACGACCTTGATCCTGTTCTTCTTACAAGCAATATGTAGTGGTGTGAATCCATTCTGAAATATCAATATCAAAATGTTGTAATACTCTAATCATAGAATATCATAGAACTGGTAGGTTTTGTGCTATATACATAGTTTATTTCATTATTTCCCTTGGAAAGTTTATTTCATTATTTCCCTTGGAAAGTTTATTTTTATTATTTCCCTTGGAAAGTTACAAAGCTTAAGTCACAGAGATATAAAAGTTATAATCCATTCTTCAATTTGTTCTATTCCTTTGTCTGCCATATTTGTTTATTTTGTTTATTGGTTTTAAGCATAAATCAGGGCGTTGGTTGTATCTTTTGATTTGTTTCACATTCTGTCATGCCGAGGCCCTTTACAGCTTTACTCAACAAAGCTCTTCCATTAACAATAGATTTTGTTACATTAATTAGAGCATTAGCATTTAAAGTTTATGACCTGACTATACTCACCAGAGCTCTAGCATTAGGGTTACACTTCCTGTCCAGAAGTAACTTGGCCGTCTTTACATTACCACAATGTCCAGCAACATGCAGTGGTGTCAGGTAGTCCTGTTAAAAAAATAATACTTGTCAAATTACTATCCACTAATAAATATACAAATTCATTACATTGCCTAATTTATAAGTCAGTTCTTTCATGTAAAAGTTTTCTATATAAGCTTTATCAACTTTATGTATTATTAGTAAACAGATTTACCCTGTATTCAAGTATTATAGCTGGTAATGAGATCAGTTGTCTCAAGAAATGTTTTTTTTTTAAATATTTTTTCATTTACATATACATGAAACATAAAAGGAAGTCATGCAATATAAAATATAACCAGTGATAATTTACCACAGTGACATCATCAACGGGAGCTTTGTGGTACAACAGAAGTCTGGCACAGTCCATGTGATCACCTTGTGCTGCCATGTGCAAGGGAGTTAACCCATTCTAAAATGTAAAAAAAATTGATATCAATATAGATTCTTGATAAAAAGATTTAAAGAAAATAGCTCTGTAACAAATGTCATTACTTATTTAAAATTTTAATAAATTGGATAAACTATTACATGTAATGAAATTTTATCTCTATTAGAAATATCATGAGGGTAAAATGAAATAAAAAAATCATTCTTCTTCAATGGTAAAACTGAGATAATACAATAAAAAAATCAAAGCACTGTAAGCGCTGTAGGCAGTTAACCAAAAACCAAGGCAAACATAATTATGAAAACTGTGGCTATGTTGCTTCATTTTTTTTAAGATTTAAAAGAACAAACATTAAACATTCATATATTGTGCATTTATGTTCATTTAATGAATTAATTATTAAGGCAAATAATTCATATTTTATCAAGGTTTTCCAAAGCAACGCATATATCAAGTATATTTTTAATGGTCATGTGTCTGCAGTGGTACAAGTTCGAAATGATTGCAGTTGTTCTAGTTGATAGTTAACGTTGGTATTAGTTGACTGTTAGTAGTTCAAGTTGACTTAGTACGAGCTTGTAATAGTATGCATGGACTTGCTTCCCTGGAAAGAAAACTGAGTTTGTGTTCTACAGTGCAAAAGTTATGAGACACAAATCAGACAAATGTTTACTACTACGGGGATCAAAGGTGAGGTCTGACTGACCTGCCCATAGTAAATGTAAATAACCCCCGCCTTCACCCCAAGTCCATGATGTCTAAGTTTGGAATAAAATGACAGGTGATTATAATAAAGTTGGTCAAACATTCTTGGGCTTGAAAGATATGTTTTCTTTAAAATGAGCCATATTAAAATGAAATTTTTTATAGAACCAGAAATTATTCAAAATATAATTAGGGTAAATTCTTTAAACCTACTCATTTTTTGCATCAATAAAATTTTATGATATCACTTATTTATTTATTGTGTGTCTTGCTTGTAAATGTATAAGTATATATGTAATTGTTAATGTATAATTGTTATCCTCTTGTAGCACCATACGTGTGCTTAAGTTTAAATAAATTGTCTTGTCTTGTCTTGGGATCTTGACCGTTTACAAATTCTCAAACAGGAGGGGTGGGGTGACCGCAGGGACTCCCTCTATATTTCATTTGATTTATTATATTGTCCCATACAAGAATATATTTGGTTTAGGGGTGGGGATCTCGACCATTTCAAAGTTCCCAAACAGGAGGGTTGGGGTGACCCCAGGGACTCCCCTGTATTTCATTTGATTAGTTATATTGTCCCATACATGAATATATATGGTTTAGGGGTGGGGATCTCGACTGTTTCCAAGTTCTCAAACAGGAGGGGTGGGGTAACCCTAGGGACTTCCCCCTATATTTCATTTGATTAGTTATATAGTCCCATACATGAATATATATGGTTTAGGGGTGGGGATCTCATCTGTTTCAAAGTTATCAAACAGGAGGGGGTAGAGTGACCCAAAGGATTCCACCTATATATCATATGATTTGCTTACATTCAGGTATCATATAATCTAGTTGCACTATTTGTGAAAACAAAGAAAGAAACTTCCAGCTATTTTAACTGACCCTTCAAAATTGAGAAAAAAATTGCAGTAATATGTTTACACTTTAAAAGCATCTTACATGCATTATCAACATTTATCACTGATAAAGAAGATTTATACTGTCACCAGGAACATATATATTGTTAGATATACTGTTCCCAGCTGTCACATTGTATTGGATTTTGACATTAAAATTTGTCAGAAAGTAATTTTGAGTTTCTGTATCAAATATTTTTTGCTTTTTCTTTCTTTTACATATATCTTTTGGTTTCCATTTCTAGTGTTTATATTTATTTACCATGCATAGATGTATTTTGTCACCTGCCTGAAATTTTTTTTGTAGTTGATCTCCAAAACCCGGAATTACCCTTATCCGCTTCTGGAATCAGACCCGATATTGTAATTGTCTACACGGCATCCATTGTTTTTCAATGTTGTTTTTGTCAGTCAGATACGATTTTACTCAAATTTACACATTACTTGTCGGCGATTATCTGTATAAAGCTAGCGGTTGAACAAAATGAACATCGCTGTCATGAATAATAAAGATGAAAATACGTTTTGAGATCGTTTATTTAGAGACTTTGGTAAAAAGGTTTGCAAAGTTATTTTTAATTTCTTTCAAGTGAAAGGTCCGTCGGGCGTAGCTAGTAACCAAGTTGAGAGTCCGATTGCAAAAGTGGAAGGTCGCGGACCTCGGACCACCGCTAATTTGAACCCCTGCCTCCAAATTGAAAAGATACGAAAATTTCGTCTTCTAATTTGAAATTGCCGCCAACAGCATGAACAGTTGAACTTATTAATAGACTACTGACGTAGTTGTACCACGTATTGACGACAAACAATATTCCTACGACTTTTGCCATTTGGGAAATCTAAACTACTTGTCTTTAAAGTTTTTCGGCGATTAAATATTTCATACAATTGTTCTTTGACATCTTAGCCAAAAGCACAGGGGATAATAAACTACATAAGGATTCCTAATGTGCTCTACTTATTATGTGCAACTTCAAAACTTTTGGGTGGTTCGACGATCATTTAAGGTTTTTTCTGGTCATATTTTTGTAATCCAGAATTAAAAGTATGAAAAAACTATTCAATTAGTTATAAATAACATTATATCCAGCTAGATAATAACAATGGCACGTATTTCAGCATTTATTGGGTAGAACACAAATCTAGGGTGCTCGCATAAGGCAGCTTAACTGCCTAAAAAAACCAAAAAGATAAATATATAGCTAAGAAATTATTATCTACAAATAATAAAACAGATTTCATCTTGATACATTTGTACAATAAATCCTGGAATATAAATATAAGTAAGTATTACTAGAAATTTACAATCTTTTCTCATCATCTTTGAGACCATGTTTTGTATTTACCTTAGTTGTAGAAGATTTTGGTGCTCCTCTTTCCAGTAAAGTATCCACAACCATTTCATGTCCACTTCTAGCTGAACAATGTAGGGGAGATAATCCATCCTAAATATTAAAAAACAATCATGAACAATGTTATTTCAAAATATTTGCATTTAAAAAAAAATGATGAACAATTGTTATTTCAAAATATTTACATTTCACATAATTCTATCTTTTTTAAAATGCTCCATCTGATTGGGTGATGGCAATTGTATTTTTTCACACAAATTCCATAGATTGCATTTTTTAAAACTGTCCCCTTGGTAATTGCTATGAAAGGATTCTGTGCCTAATTGTTTGACTGATAGTGAGAGTTGTCTCATTTGTTCATATCATGGAAGTAATATTTAAACCCTGGATATCAAGGGGAGATAACTTACTCTAGTTTTTTCATCAATTACTGCTTTGTTGTCTAGAAGTAAAGTAACCATCTTGTCCTTTCCCCATCTGGAAGCTACATGGAGTGGAGTAATATTGTTCTATAATTATAATTATATTGTTCTGTAATTATAGTTATATTGTTCTGTAATTATAATTATATTGTTCTGTAATTATAATTATTCAACTGTGATCACATTTACCTCTCTGTCCAGTTCCTTTGTCAAAACAAAGATATAAGGTACATTTTGTTTTCATCCATACTTATGATAAAATATTCTTAGTATTTCAAGGACTGCACAACCTTTTAACATATCCAAGTTAAAACCTTTAAACATATAAATGAATTGCCCTTTTAAAACTTGTAAAATTATTTAGCTACTAACCTTGGCTCTAAAATTGACATCTGCACCTTTAGAAATCAAAAGTGTTGCTACGTTTATGTTGCCATAGTGAGCAGCAATATGTAAAGGTGTAAATCCACTCTGAAATTAAAAAAATTCAAATATTTCAAAGATGCACATTGATTTTTCTTTCTCAGTAAACACAACCTACTTGCAATAATATATTAATGATACAGAATTTGTACTTAAATAAACCCAGTTTACTCATGAAACAGATAGGTACCAGTTTTCAGAAAATTATTGTTAATTTATTCACACTTCAATATTAAGATATTATGTTATTTTGTAACTTAAAGTTTAAGGAAGAAAAAATAGATTCAATCTCAAGAAATGAAAATTTGCATAAAATAGTTTACTTTCTACCTGCAATTTTTAGTGCTTTACACAACACATTGTCAGATTCAAACATTACAATTAACTGTTGCCATAAAACATATCAGATGCATAAAATATAAAGAGTTAGGACCAATTTCTCCTGTATTCATTTCACAGCAGGGCCATTTTCAAAAAATATTTCATTCTTCACTTATACTCATAGTATCATAGCTTTATGTGTTTACTTCAAAAGGTTTTAACAATATTACAGGCTATTTCAAAACAGATCACCAAATTATAATACATCTAAAGACAGCCCAAAAACTGCAAATTAAACTTTGAGTATTTATCTCAAAAACATATAAGGCCATCCTACACAAAACTATAATCTGTTTGGAAGAAAGGTAAAATTTGTCCTCTGATTACAAATTAATTCATTTCGGTTAGTGACCTCCTTCGAAGCAAAATTTTAGAAAAACAAGTAAAATTTGGCATATTTACCAAAAAGACTTCAACAGCAACATGAAGTGCAGAATAACATTTTAATAATATGGAAATATGTGTAACTGTTAAAAATGTTTATAGTTTATGATATACACTCTTTAATATTATTTTATTTCTAGTAAGAATCAACAAATTCAGATTTTGACCCTATGAGTGAAATAAATGCAGGAGAAGTTGGTCCTACTTCTTTCACAACTTCATTTTAGTTACAAAAGCAGATCCCTATATTGAGTTTTCCACCAAAAGGTCATAAAACATTGAAATAACCTTTGGTTAGCAAAAAATTTATAATTTGAACAGACTTGAAATCAACTTTGGGACATTGCAGGTCTTGAAGCACAAAGGTCAAGGTAACATTCTTAATGGATATTTGAGGACCAGTTTCATGGGAGGATAGAGTAATATGAGGACCAGTTTCATGGGATGATAGCGTATTTTGCTGGTACATTTACAGTGACACATAAAAATAAACAAAATTAATGAGACAAGAATACCAGTAACCATAAACACAACACACAATATCTAACCTTGGTTGTATCATTGACAAGTCCTCCATCCTGAGTGCAGTAAGAAAACAAACACATATAACTAGTTTTATTCTTTGTACTTTTTCTGTTTGAGTGTAAACTAGTTCGTTTTTTTTTTTAGTTTTTACTGAGACAATTCTTCTACATTTTTTTATAAATACAAAAAAAGCAGTATTAAATGCTGAAGAAAACAATGTAAGAAACAAGAAATATCTTCTATTCAAAGAATTATTCATTTCTGTAATATGTGACTGGATAATCATTTACAAGGTTGGGTCAGCTCTTGTATGTATGCTAAGTTTGGTCATTTGACCTTGATCATTAAATGACATGTTTATTTGACCTTGATCATTGAATGACATGTTAATTTGACCTTGATCAGTGAAAGACATGTTAATTTGACCTTGATCAGTGAATGACATGTTAATTTGACCTTGATCAGTGAATGACATGTTAATTTGACCTTGATCAGTGAATGACATGTTAATTTGACCTTGATCATTGAATGACATGTTAATTTGATCAGTGAAGGATGTTACCTTAGTTTCTCCATTAACATCATTTTGTTCATTCTGTAACAGTAAGTTGGCAGATCTCATGTCATCTTTCTTGGCAGCAATATGGAGAGCTGGTAATTTGACCTTGCCCTTGGAATCATGTTCTAACAAGACTGATACTACTCTCTCATTTCCTTGTTGTAAAGCCACAGCCAAGGGAGTGAATCCATCCTAAAATATATATATATACATATGTATGAATGGGTTACTGGACCTTAATTTCCTTTTTTGTACTGTACAATTATAATCATTCAAGCCATACCCATGTTCACTGATTTCATGCAGTAGAAGCTAGCAACATGTCTTAACAAGACCAATACCTGGTCTATGTGTTTAATTGATTGAAATTTCAAATTATCAACAAACAGGATGTAGCTGCATGGCAGCTCTAAAATTGATTACGCACTAAAACTCAACATTCTCAAGCTGCAGACCAAATATAAAATCATTCTCTTTTAAAGAAGCCAATAAAATTTCTTATCATATGTTATGAAAGTTTTCTACCCAAGGTTTTTGGAATGAACGTAGCGACAGTCGAGGTGTTACTAGACCTGCTTTCGTAGTTGGGCAACACAAGTTATAAATCAGTTACTATGAAAAACACAAGTTGCTTTTGTAACCATAAAATATTGAACTCTATAAATAGAACCATCTAGTTACTATTTTCTTTTCTTTTCTTTTTTCAATATCTATGTGTTTTTTTTTTACATCAGAAAAGATAATATCATACAATCTTTAAAAAGGCAGAACTTGATAATTATGACCATCAACAATCTAACAAACTATATACATAATATTGTCAAGTATCTTTCTTATCTTTTTTTCCTATAATTGTTAATAACAAGGCATGGTTGTCAAACAAAAAAACTGTGCTGTCATGGCAACAAGTATTGATGAAAACAGGAGTTATAGGAATTCTGGTGACAATCATGAATTCATTAGTAAAGGGCTTTCTGTATATATAACCCATTATATATTCATGTCGTCAAGATGTTGTCTTGTTTACAAACAATTAGCATATACTTATGTCATAATAGCTGAAACTTTATCAAAGTACAAATCTTCTTGATACTAGTTATAACTCATTAAGAAACATTTTTGAGAGTACATTGTACATCCTGATAAAACGATTGGTTAGCAACAGTACCTAATTTGTAAGAAGATACTATACATTTTATATTAGTACCTCTCCCAATGTCCCTTTGAAAATATATAAATAAATGACTAATCAGAATACAGTTCTACTATACTGACTGGAGACAAGACTTTAGTGTTATTTTACTCTAAAAAATTTCAATAATGCAATTTTTTTATTGTTAAATCCTTCACTTTGAAATGAAATTCAAATTCAAGTAAAGTAAAATTAGTAAAATGAAACACACAAATATGTCCTGTCTACAGTCCAGTATATGTTCAAATGAATACATATTCATAATATGTTTTATGAAAGATTTAAAGACTGGACTTCCTATCAACCAAGGTCAATAAGTATGAATAATTGTCAGTATAATGAATGTTATTTTAGGATAACCACACATCAGCAGAAAATCTACACTTCAACCTGCCATTTTCACCCAAATTGAAATTTTAATGAAAATATTTGAAATGAATAGTATTAATAAATATTCTCTTTTTTTATTTATTTTCTCTACCAGCTTCGTTAATTATATTTATGACTAACCATAAGAACAAGCTCAGAGCAAGAGTTCAATGAAATCTTTTAATCAGAAGAATTATGAACAATGGAGACCTGAGGTGAAAATGGCACCAAAATACAGAAACTAACAGACACAGGGTCATTGTTTACCTCAGTACTACCATCTAAATCCTGGAAAAATATAAACTGGTGTCTTTACTAAATAATAACTAGTAATGGAAAAACATAAATTGTTGTCTTTACTAAATAATGACTAGTAATTGAAAAACATAAACTGTTGTATAATACTAAATAATAACTAGTAATGGAAAAACATAAACTGTTGTCTATATACTAAATACTGTATATTCAGAAATTATTGCGAGGTTATTATTAATTAATGCGAATAATGCGTATGGGTAAGTATCGCAATAATAAGAACTTGCATTCTAATAACTGAAACATAGATCTGTATGCAGATTTTTTATGAAATCGCAATAATCAAACTCGCATTTTGTCCATTCTTAATAAATGCATGCAATAATTTCTGAATTTACAGTAATTACTAGTAATGGAAAAACATAAGCTGTTGTCTATTCTAAATAATAACTAGTAGTGGAAAAACATAAGCTGTTGTCTATACTAAATAATAACTAGTAGTGGAAAAACATAAGCTGTTGTCTATACTAAATAATAACTAGTAGTGGAAAAACATAAGCTGTTGTCTATACTAAATAATAACTAGTAGTGGAAAAACATTAGCTGTTTTCTATTCTAAATAATAACTAGTAATTGAAAAAAAACATAAAGTGGTGTCTATACTAAATAATTACTAGTAATGGAAAAACATAAAGTGATTGTTAATCTTGAAGTAATAAAGAAAGCATGGTTCACCTAACAAACAAGAAAACTAAACTTATATGCAAAAGAACATGCTTCGAATAGTTCAGCTGTTACTGTACTAGTCAGCAGCCTGGTGGGTAATTGTGCACAAAATTTTTATGATTTACTAGTCAATATTGTAGTCTTTATTCTAGGGGTTAGAAAAACATGATTTTTTTACAGTAAAACATAAACTACTATAATCATTCTATAGTAAAATTTAGTATGAAGGTCACTTTTTTTACATAACCTTTCAGCCATCTTTGTGTGCAGTTTAAACAGTCCTCCTTTCACTGGCAAAATGTTACATACCCCACCAACCCCCATCCCCTCAAACAAACAAAATGTTACATACCCCACCAACCCCCATCCCCTCAAACAAACAAAATGTTACATACCCTACCAACCCCCATCCCCTCAAACAAACAAAATGTTACATACCCCACCAACCCCTATCCCCTCAAACAAAACAATTGATTACATTGAAATTCACCCACATCATAGTATTTAAGCATGTCTACAATTACGTTAAGTATATCAATCATCAATAAAATATATCTCCATCCCTAACTGATCTGCTCTTTTATTCATTTGAATGTACAAACTATTTCAAATCAACAATATGTATATGTAATAATTCTCCACAGACATGATGTAGTATTGATCCAAGACTGTTCAATACATTCTGTCATCATAACAGTATAATAACACTGGTATATTGATGGGATACTCAGCATTCTTGTCATCAATTATTACTGGCATAAACTTAACAAGTACTATAGAAAACTCTGCCAAAACTATTAACTTCTCTTATTTACAGAATGACAGAACCTAAATACAAATGCTCTGACAGAAAATAATAATTAAAGGGGTATACATCATTTAGACAGTAACCCAAATACACAAAAACATACTTTTAGAGGCTAACATATGATCTTCATCAATAGACAAATGTCTACACAACATATCAAGCTCTAACGAATCCAAAGTCTAGAAAAGTTGATCTTCATCAATAGACAAAAGTCTATACAACATATCAAGCTCTAATGAATCCAAAGTCTAGAAAAGTTGATCTTCATCAACAGACAAAAGTCTATACAACATATCAAGCTCTAACGAATCCAAAGTCTTAAAAAGTTGATCTTCATCAATAGACAAATGTCTATACAACATATCAAGCTCTTATGAATCCAAAGTCTAGAAAAGTTGATTTTCATCAATAGACAAAAGTCTATACAACATATCAATAATCAAGCTCTAACGAATCCAAAGTCTAGAAAAGTTGATCTTCATCAATAGACAAAAGTCTATACAACATATCAAGCTCTAATGAATCCCAAAGTCTAGAAAAGATGATCTTCATCAATAGACAAAAGTCTATTCAACATATCAAGCTCTAACGAATCCAAAGTCTAGACAAGTTGATCTTCATCAATAGACAAATGTCTATACAAATTATCAAGCTCTAACGAATCCCAAAGTCTAGAAAAGTTGATCTTCATCAATAGACACAAAAGTCTATACAACATATCAAGCTCTAACGAATCCCAAAGTCTAAAAAATATGATCTTCATCAATAGACAAAAGTCTATACAACATATCAAGCTCTAACGAACCCCAAAGTCTAGAAAAGTTGATCTTCATCAATAGACAAATGTCTATACAACATATCAAGCTCTAACGAATCCAAAGTCTAGAAAAGTTGATCTTCATCAATAGACAAATGTCTATACAACATATCAAGCTCTAACGAATCCAAGGTCTAGAAAAGTTGATCTTCATCAATAGACTAAAGTCTATACAACATATCAAGCTCTAATGAATCCCAAAGTCTAGAAAATTTGATCTTCATCAATAGACAAATGTCTATACAACATATCAAGGTCTAACGAATCCAAAGTCTAGAAAAGTTGTTCTTCATCAATAGACAAAAGTCTATACAACATATCAAGCTCTAACGAATTCAAAGTCTAGAAAAGTTGATCTTCATCAATAGACAAATGTCTATACAACATATCAAGTTCTTACGAATCAAAAGTCTAGAAAAGTTGATCTTCATCAATGACAAAAGTCTATACAACATATCAAGCTCTAACGAATCCAAAGTCTAGAAAAGTTGATCTTCATCAATAGACAAAAGTCTATACAACATATCAAGGTCTAACGAATCCAAAGTCTAGAAAAGTTGATCTTCATCAATAGACAAATGTCTATACAACATATCAAGCTCTAACAAATCGAAAGTCTAGAAAAGTTGATCTTCATCAATAGACAAATGTCTATACAACATATCAAGCTCTAACAAATCGAAAGTCTAGAAAAGTTAGGAAACAGAGACCATCAAGGATCTGCCATCAACACCAAAGTCTATAAATGAATATAACCTTTAAAGATATAACTTAAACCAACCACTGACAGGGTTTTTCACTGAATGATATAAGGTTCCAAAGATGTCTGTAAATTTCAATTTATTTGGAATTTCCTTTCCAGTTTGAAGAGGAATTGCGGATAAGCATCATTTCAAAAGTTGTGAGTTTTCCAATGAAGAATGAATGACTGATTGTTGTTTGCTTAATGTCTAGTGACAAATATTTCATGCATGTTCAAGAAGAGAACAAATTAACAATGAATACAATTGGTAGATCTGGTAAGGTAGGAGTCAATCAGGATGAAGGATAGGAAATGTGAATTGCCACTTAAAAATAAGAGTATGTTGGAGGATAGGGACAGAAATTGCAACAGACTACCTTCAGACCTCTCAAAGAATTGTTGCAAGGGTTCTTTGACCTGCAGGGTATGTGGCACTGTCTCAACACAAGGCATCAAATTTAACATGGCTATTTTGACAGGTTATGGCTGCAAATTTGTTCATTCCACACAGCCAAAAGTATAGATATTCCAAAATAAATTCACATAACAAGAATGTGTCCATAGTACATGGATGCCCCACTCGCACTCTCTTTTTCTATGTTCAGAGGACCGTGAAGTTGGGGTCAAAAGTCTAATTTGGCATTAAAATTAGAAAGATCATATCATAGGGAACATGTGTACTAAGTTTCAAGTTGATTGGACTTCAACTTCATCAAAAACTACCTTGACCAAAAACTTCAACCTGCCCACTCCCACTATCATTTTCTATGTTCAGTGGACTGTGAAATTGGGGTAAAAACTCTAATTTGGCATTAAAATTAGAAAGATCATATCATAGGGAACATGTGTACTAAGTTTCAAGTTGATTGGACTTCAACTTCATCCAAAACTACCTTGACCAAAATTTTTAACCTGAAGCGGGACAGACGGACGAATGGACGGATGGACGAATGAACGGACGCACAGACCGAAAAACCTAATGCCCCTTGGTGGGGCATAAAAAAAAACATGGTAGCATGTACACAACTTCATGCACAGTAGAAGAATTTGTATGTCACCATGACTGGACAACAATGTGAGATATCAGAAGTGATCGCTTTGTGTCATCCAAGCTTGTGACGCTGTTATAATAATAGAAATACAAGGAACATTCTTTGTGACATAAAATATTTCTGATATTATGGGACTGTGGGGCCATCCCAGTAGATGACCAAGGCCCCTGAAATTTCTGAGCATTAAGGGTTTAGAGGACATAAAATCTGGCCTTTCATTAAGCAATTCAGTCATCTGATCAAACATTTATAACAGATCAGTTAAAGAATAATTTATATTGCTATAAACTTTTTATAACTCCTCATTCCGGAAATTATTCCAGTCAGAAGGTGTTCCATAATTGAAAGTTCATATGTATAGAAGAAGAAGCAATGCCTCGTTCCTACCATGCACTACTTTATTATTGGAAGAACCATGTATCATCTTTGGAATAGCTACATAAACCCATTAATAATTCTGTTTTTGCAATATTACCTTCTGAAAAGTCTATAGTGTCCTATAATTTACTGGTTAACCAAAATAGCAAGCTCCAGACATTTACATGTAAACATTACTAATGCATAAACAGGACAGATCAATCAACCAATCAATAACAGTATATCTACCATAGACCCAGATATAGTGTGATTTGGGTAAATTATACATCCTAGCTGCTTTAAAACACAGAATGAATGCACATGCTGTTTCCATGATAGATCTCTACCTGTGTGACTAGACCCTAACTTCACCATTTGGTATGAGATATTTACCTCTGTGGCTAAACCCTTACTGTTTCTATTAAACAGGAGATCTACCTTTGTGACTGCATGCTTTTTGTCTCTATCAGATATCAGATATTTACCTGTGTGGCTAGTCCTTGGCTCGCTCCATTGGATAGGAGATATTTAACAACTTCTGAATGGCCTTCTTGTGCTGCCATATACAGTGGTGTGAAACCAAACTGAAACACAAATCAAATGTTTATTTTTCACTTTTTAATGCATTATTTCTTCTATTAGTTTCTGTCTAACATTACCTTCCATTAATGACCTTCATTTACAGATTACATGATATATTAAAAACTTTTTGGTAAAAAAGAATTTGATTGTTTCTTATACTATTTAGAGCATTAGTTAGGATAGAAAGACAAAAGTTCCATGCAACAACAAAAAAAGATGTGATACAGAGCTTGTTTGTTATAAATTGATTTCCAAGAATTTGATGTTACATTACAATAGTATAGATTGATTCTAAGTTGTTGTTTAATGCCATTTTTAGCACAAATGGAGGCCATTTTTTATTGGTGGAGGAATATGGAGTGCTCAAAGAGAAACACAACCTTCAGTAGGAAAACTGACAATCCAAGTCAATTAAGATTAGAGTCCAATGCACCTGTGACGTGCGGGGTTTGACCTTGGAAGCTCAGTGTAGACCAGCTAGTGATACAGTAGTTGAACTACGTAGACCATTCGGCCATTGAGACCCCTACAATAGAGAATAGAGAATGGTATAAAACTGGATAATGATGAATCATAGTCTATTAGAAAATGTTGTTACCTGAGCTTGTACATTGACTTTGGCTTTGTTTTCTACCAATAAACTGACAATATTAAGGTGTCCTGCTAACGATGCTATGTGAAGTGCTGTGTTCCCTTTCTGTAATGAAATATAAGATAAGATAAGATAAGATATTTTATTTCCAATTATGGGCCCCAAAGGGCATAAACATTACAACATCAATAATTTTTCATAATACAATACAAACAATGAGATAAAAAAAAAAAAGTTTAACGAGAACTATTTAAGCTCTTAAAGAATACGTAGATAAAGAATCTATAGTATGTTTTTTATTTTTAATACTAATGCATTTTATTGCAAGTGTGGTGTACAAGCAGCTCAAAAAGAAAAAAAGAAAAATAGATATCCATATATGTATAGTACACAAAAAGTTGGATCAATTAAACATATAATAATTAGCCAAAAAGAAAGTAGAAATTAAGCATGTCCATGACTCATCATGTGTCAGCAGCAAATAGGAAAGTATTAATATAAATAAACAGTTAGAACTGTAGACAAATTAGATTCTAACATTAACAAAATAATACAGTAATAATTAGCATGAGTTTTTTTGTGTATAGTGTCAATGTGAAATAAGTGTTGACAATGTGAAAAGATCATATATGGACAATGTGTGAAATAAAAAGTGACATTAGTGTATGCCCTTATATTTTACAGTTAGGGTTTTTTTTTTTTGCTTGTGAGAGCTGTCTACATATTCCATTATATTTATGTTCTATTTCTTTTACTGTCATTTGGTCTCTGATGGAGAGTTGTGTTAGTGGCAATTATACCACATTTTCTTATTTTTACAAGTGAAATAAAAAGTGACATTGTGAAATAAGTATTGACAATGTGAAATAGGTAGTGAGAACATGAAATCTTCACAAAAGGCAGCAGTAACGACTGCAGTGATTTAAGATCAGTATTTTTCTATCATTTGTCTTCAACTTGTTATTCCAGACATTCTTTTTTTAAATTTTAGTCTAGTCAAGTTCCTTGAAAGTTACCATGGTTAAAATGCTTTTCAGAAAAGGAAGTTATTCTATATGTTTAACATCAGTAAAGTTATCTTTGTATTTCAGGTACCTACACTTGCGACATATTCTTATAATTCAATTTTGGATGTAACACGTCTTCTGATTGGCTGAAAGCGTTTTGTATATCAGCTAATAAACATAGTTTTGTCATGGGAACATGATGTCATCAACGTTTTTTCGTGATTTACTCCTTAAAAATGGGATTTAGAATTAAATTATAAGGAATGACTGTAGTATTTTTTCTGTCTATTCGAAATAACCTAAAAAATGTTGTGCACAGGTTTAAATAACACGCTAAGCAGGTTATTCAGAGTGCACCACATTTTTTATGCTATTTCTTCATTAGCAGAAAAAATTTTACAGTCATTCCTTAAAAAATAATTTAACAATAAAAAGGGACATAACTCTTGAATAGTAAATATCAACTAACAGAAGAGTGAATAGAAAGAATCTATACACCTTTTGCCTGGACCTTAATCAGTACAATTTCAGACTTCTTACTAATCACTTAAGTTACAAATATAAGTATTCCTCATATTTTCAAAGTTTTTAAGTCTTTAAATCCTAGAATTATCTTCATTACTAAATACCTTGGTAGCAGCTTCTATGTTAGCTCCTCGACTCAGCAGCTCTTCAACAATCTTTATATGTCCTTCTTTTGAAGTAAGGTGTAAAGCATTCAAACCATTCTGAAGATGTAATATAACATTATAATTATTTGGAATATAAGATAGGCTGAACTCTATGTTGTCACATGTCACTTCAACCATGTCAACAAAAGAAGTCAGTTAATCTTCAGAGATACTAAGTAACTTATGAGTTACCTAAGGATAAGTTTTAATAGATAAATTAATCAGCACTCTGAGAGTATTGCATGGCAATACATAGTCCCCTACCGGTTAAAAATTCATTGTACTGGATAAAAATGCAAAAAAATGCGGAAAACTGATTACTGGCGTGTATTTTCTAAGTCCAAGGACCATAACTGTGCAAAAAAAATCATTTGAACAGAACAAAATTCGAAATTGATCTATAAGTTGTCATGGTTAAACAATATAACAAATATCAAATCAATATCTTTAAGCATGACGAAAAAAGGTGCGGAAAACTGATTATTTTTGTGAATTTTGTAAGTCAGAGGACCATAACTCTGCCAAAAAATCATCAGAACCCAACAAAATTTGAAACAAATCTGAAACATGTCATGGTTAATCTATACATCAAATATCAAATCAATATCTTCAACCATGACGAAAAATGTACAAGGTCCATAACTCTGCACAAAATCATCAGCTCGGAACAAAATTCACATCTGTCACTGGTCATGATAAAACTATATACCAAATATCAAATCAATATCTTCAAGCACAAAGAAAAAAAGTGTGGAAAACTGATTTGCCAGACTGACGACCAATGGACAGAGGGACAGACAGACGGAGTGCAAACCTAAAGTCCCCTTCGGCTTTGCTTTGGCTGGACTAATAATGAAAGTGTTCTGTTTAATATTTCGTAGATTTATTTTGATATTCATGCAACTATCAAAAGTATTCTTATTATGTTTAGTATATAAGTATTAAATAATTTATTTATTTTCTTGTGTTTAAAGCCACTTTCCTAGACAGACAGACAATTAGATTTACGGACATACAAAAGAACAGACAAGCAGACAAATAGACATTAAGATATAACAAGACTTTGCTGCATATTCTATATTAAACTGAGATGCATGAATGTTTATTCAAGTGTTTAATAAATATCAGTTGTTTACTGTAAGTTTATTTTTCTAAAATGTGTCTAATTAGAAAACATATAATGAGGTGAATATAACAGCACAAGAAAATGACAACTATGTCTTGTTTAGAGACCATCATTGCAGTTAGACAGATCAATACTCAGTCATTAAATCAGTTGTGGGCAGAGTAATAAGATATGATTCCTGGAATTTTTTGACAGAATAAACACTTAAGATCAATCTTTGTATTACATGGAGAATATAGCAGATTATATTCTGATCGATTTCAGGATAGGCAGTCTAAATACATTATATCCCAAAGAGATTAATTCCAAAACATATCACCCAACTTTTGTAACTGCCTTTTACCAGCAACTCATAAGGTGTTATAATCTGGATTATAAAAGTTTCACAAACTTCCTATTGCATTGGTGTAATAGGTTTGCAATTTTGTTTTATTCTAGCAAGTATAAAATAATAGATATGCTAACTCTTTTATGTCACCATTACTGCTTGAAATTAGATGTTATTACATGAACAATCTAATGTGAAAATAACAAGTAATTGATGACGAATTTACATCAAAAGTATATAAATGATGAAAATGAGCTGGGTTAAAAGAAATATTCTGACATTTTGATATCAAGTAAATGGTTTAACCTTGTAACTTCCTGTTGAAGATAAGCCATTGATAAATATCTAGACAGATTTAAACACAGTCTAAAAACTTACAAAAAACATTGAAACAAACAAAACATTAATACAAGGATTTTAGCTCACAACACAGGAAATATTCATTATTATTTTAGAAATGAAGCATAAGTTAAACAGCATTTTACTCTCCTACATGTCCTAATTAGTAAAATGTCAGGCTATTTGCCAATATGTGAGATCAGAGTTCACACTAAACTTAAACAAATAAACAAATAAGTTAACTAGGTATTAAGAGGATATCAGAGATAATCTAAAGCTAAAAGTCATAATTGGGGATGCTATTGCAATCAGAAGTTTCTGTGAACTATGATACAATGCACAGTAATCATGGTAATGAGACACAAATCAAATAAATCGAATCAATAACATAGAGGATTCTTTTTTAATTGATTATCTTAGTTTGATATTGATTTTGATTGATTAATTGACTGTTGCTTGCTTAATGTCCTTTTACATTATAATAATGATGATTGATAGCTGCTTAACGTCAAGTGGCAAATTGATATGCATATTCAGGACTGAGATCATGTTATTGTAATATGAATATTAACCCTGCTTTCTACTAGATGGACACGCTGAGCCGCATTTTAACATGCTAGTTCACAAGGTAATAGTCCGCAGGAGGACATGTCACCTTACCCGGACACATTATTCTGAATCCGAGCCGACTACATTTTAATTGATTGATTGTAGCTTCCTTAATGTCCTGTGGCATTATACATTCTGATTGCTTAATGTCCAGTGGAATTTCAATGTACAAAAGTTTCTTGAAAGTCAATGACAGAGGTTAAATAATCATTACACCCCAATGCTAATACAACTGCCTACCAAATATTATTGACTTATGATGAGTGGTTCCCCTTAAACTGGCCTAATCCCAAACTTCAAAAAAATATTGATGCCACAGACAGCATGGAAACAGCATGCCTAAGTTCTTCCATCCATGACTTTATCAAGGCAGATAAAAAGCTGAATAGTTGACAGAGCTCATTTTGTAGCAAGTAATTACTGGACTGGTGTTAATCAATTTGTTATTTCCCTAGTCTATCATATGATTTAAAAAGACTAAATAGACTAAAATAGTCCTAAAATTCATTTCTTATCCTTACATCAAAGTGTATGTTTATATTTGCTCATAAGCAGATTTCTTCTGTGATATCCTAGTAGATGAAAAAGGATTTATACCACTGGCCAAATCATAAAAGATTTTGCAGCTGTAAAAAAATGAACAAAGGGAGATAATTCTTACAGAGTTGCTAGTATTGATGTCAGTACTGCCCTTTAGATACTCTAACACATCCTCAAGGTTACCATCCCTTGCTGCCCTCAGGAAACTGTTGTTTCCATCTCCCTGAAAATAGAAAACAATAAAGTCTTGGTATTATTCTGATAAATGAAGAGGCTAGTCAAAGAAAAATTGCAAGGTTTTAAAAACAGTATAAAACTCAAAGACACTCATGTTTAACAGATATTACAGCTATCTGGGTGCATTTTATTTTCTATAAATCTTCATCATGTTTATCTAATTATTAAGATTAGACTAATGGCATCCACATTCTGACAAACGTCATCAATAGACTAATGGTATACACATCCTGAAAAACGTCATCAGCTACAAAAACCACCACAGCAATATCAAAGGCAAAGAAACCAATTAATATTTTGATTACTAAAGTGAATCAAGACGATAGTATTTTTTCTTTAATACTATTTTAAAGGAAGCTCAGAACTTTTCACCTATTAGTCCTGCTTTAAATATATACACAAATTATGACACAAACCTTCCATTCTTTATTATGAGTAAACATAAACTGTTGACACAGAGATATGTCTGATCGGTATGTAATTTTAATAGTATAATGCAAATACAACATCACATGCAGTTTTGTGAGTTGACTACATGTATTTTCATCTACTTCAAAGAGTGATGGATTTCTCTTAGAAGAAATTTAAAGGTCCAGTATATAAACTACACAGAGAACAATAGCTATTGTATTTATTCAATGGGACAATTGAACAAACAAAAGTTTAAATACCTTGACCAAGAGGAAATGACTCTGGAAGTTTCATTTGGTTTGTAATAAACTGATCTAATCACAAACTTTAACATGTGAACTATGCAATACATTCAAAGTCAATAGACCATGACTGAGGGTGCAGAGACAAATAAACTCCATGGAAATGAGATGTGCCAATGCTAATGCATCTATATACCAAATACCATTGACCTACCACTAGTGTTCCCCCTTAAACTGACCTAATCACAAATTCATACATATAAACTAAGCAAAAGTTTCAAAGGCAATAGACCATGACTGAGGAAAAAAAGGGGGGGGGGAAGGGGGCAAATAATCTCCATGGAAATGAGATGTGCAAATGCTAATACAGCTGCATGCCAAATTTCATTGACCTACCACACGTGGTTCCCCATAAACTGACCTAATCAAGAACTAATACATGTAAAGTAAGCAAAAGTTTCAAAGTCAATAGAACATGACAGAGGGGGCGGGGCCAAATCATCATCAATAGAAATGAGATGTGCCAATGCTAATACAACATACCAAATATCAATGACCTACCACTTGTGGTTCCCCATAAACTGATCTAATCACAAACTAATACATTGTTAACGCCAATGCCGCCACTGCCACCACCATCGGAATCAGCATACCTAAGTCTCGCATTTTGACTCCGTCAGGGCAAGACAAACACCAACTGTATGGTATTTGAATATTTGCAAGCTTCCACCTTGGTATAATGTCATGAATATATACTTTCTAGTTTTGGAAACCTTATTGAATTGCAGACAGGCAATAATATCTTTTTAATAATCCTTATTTTCTATACCTTCTGATGGTGGAAGACTAAATTTTCTTCAGTAAAATCACATTAGATTTTCTCAAGCATTCAAATAATCTTTTATTCTTTGATTTCAATGCCTTCTAAAGTATAAGTACTTGTGTATTTATGTTTACCATGGTTTCTCCCTTATTAAACATGCTGTATAAATACTTAAACATTGTTTTGTTTACATTGAGTGCACATCTGGCTTCAAAACATTGTTTTCCTTTTAAAATGTCTGTCTGAGTTACTTTGAAAAGTTTAAGACAGAACATTACCAGACCTCTAGCACCAGGTTCAATAATGATTCTTATAATCACAGATTTTCTTTTGCCTTGCTGATATATATGGCATAAATGTTAGAGGGGGAATGAACAGTGCAGCCTTCAAACAAAATAATCTCATCTGTTATTTTTGAAATGATGTCAGATATGTGAAATTTATATTGCTAGAATAATATGTCTTTATTGAAAAATGAAAAAGACCAGATAAGGTAATTGGAATTATTGGGGAATCAACAGAATGTTTAACAATGTGATAAACAATCAAGAAAAAAAAAAAAAGAAAAGAAAAAAAAATGAATACCGGTAAATAAAATTGGCTTTATTCAATTGTTTAATTCTTTCGAAAGATCCTCTTTCCAATTTCTCGATATGTGATAAGATCATTTAATGGCATTTAACATAGCAGCCCTTGTATCTTCCCTCAAGCCACATTAGGACATTGGGCTAAATATAGTGGGATCAAATAAGGGAATCTCATAATAATACCAGGGCTGGTAAAGAAAATGTCATGCTATAATATATATATATATACATGTACATGTGTAATCAAATTGCCTTCAGTTTGTATATTTCGTAGAATCAATGCTGTTCGTCAAGTCAGTTCATCCTCTAAGTCTTTTCATTTGACGTTACCTCAAAGAAATGCACAGAGTAATCAGACAAGCAAATTGGTAGATCAAACCTTAGGCATAGTATTATGCTTGATCAGTCTTTTATTCAGTTGCAAACTTATAAAAAAGGCATAACTTCTGTTTGAAATTTGGCTTCAAATTGGGGCATATGTCACATAAATTTACCACTTTTCAGAGAGAATCAATAAATTGTTTTTTCATATATTCAAGATTACAACTTTTGAAGTTATACCTCAGCTAAGTGTCTATGGATGGATCTATATTTGCATACAGAAGAAACCCCTCATTAAGCATATTAAGTTCAGATAGTAAATTAATTACTAAACTAAATTTCTGCTGATCAGTTCCTATTAACAACAGAATCTAGACAGCAACCCCCTGTAATGACAGTATTAGTGTGTATTCTATAATTTACCCCTTAATGACAGATAGTTCTCCAAACTTTCATGCTGTTATCATAATTCACACCCCCACCCCCAAACACATGTTATATCTATGTGTGTGTACTGTAGTAAATGTGTTTTTATCTATGTGTGTGCTGTAATAAGTGTTCATATGGTGTTTGTCATGATGTGCCAAAACATGATAATTATCAGTAAATTATGTTATGTCTTTGATATAATCCAAGATTATAAAACCTCAATGGAATTTTTAAGTAATCTTTGTGCACTTAGTAAAATCAAGACAACCTATGTTTCCTATAGGTTAGACATTTAGGTGCAATATAAAATCTTAAATAACCTATAACTTTTTGAGTAAAATTTGACGGTAACTGCATTTTGAATAAAATTTGATGGTAACTGCATTTTAAATAAAATTTGATGGTAACTGCATTTTAAATAAAATTTGATGGTAACTGCATTTTAAATAAAATTTGATGGGTATAACTTGTTTCTGTTTCTAGTCTACATATGAAAGAAATAAAACATTATAATCTACTTCTGTTTTATATTATAACTTAACCTATTTTAACTTAAAACTAATACAAATTTTCAGTGCCATTATAAAGTTGGAAACCTTAGATGAACTGAATCACTCATTGTGCAACAAGATCAGAAAACTGGAAAATCCCCCATTTTTTTATGACTAAAATCCCTAACTCAGAAATGTAAAATCTAAAATTTATAAAAATCAAAAGGGAGCTTACATCAATAGATATAAACAATTCACCAAAGTTTTGTGAAAATTGGTGAAAGAGTTTTTGAATTATTGTATAAAGTGTTGACAACAGACGGACAGACTGAAAACGGTATACCATAATACACCCGTCTTTAAAGATGGTCGTGTAATAAAAACAAATATGATAGCAACAACAAGACATCAACCAACAACAACCACTGAGTTACAGGCTCCTGAGTCTGAACAGGGTGGCAGATTGAACATGTTTGTCAGCACTCAACCCTCTCCTAACCTAGAACAGTGGTGTAACAGCACAATATAAGAACAAACTGTAAAAATCAGTGAAAACGGCTTAATCGACTTAACTCAAGTTACTAAAAGCTAGTTCAAAACTAATTACAACTAAAAAATTGATCATGTTTCCCCAGACTAAAATATCAATCAATACACATTCAATGGATTTAGTGTAAGACATCATAAACAGTCTGTGAGGGAAAAATAAACTTGTGCAACGCCAAAATAAAAGTATCCACAAGATGTAGTTTGCCGTAAGTTTTTATATCTATTTGCATGTGTACTGAATGTATATAAAGAATTAACTTTAAAATATGCAGCAAAAATAAAAGAGGACAAAAAAGATTATAAGTGCAAGAAACCTCAAGCTTACTACTTGCATGTTTACTGAATGAATCTGAGGTATAACTTTAAAACAGACTGCAAAAAACAAGAGATCCAATGCCAGAACCACTGAAATACTCTTTTAAAATCTTTAAATAAAAACATTTCTAATTAATTCCTCTAATAAAAACACAGGTGCTTCCATAGAATCTGGAATCTACATCTGTGTAATTGTCTGAAGATAAACAACTTATTCAAGCACATGTTGAACAAAAATCAAATGAAAAAAATTAAAATCATTCACTAAATACAAACATAGACATTTATCTTTAACATTTCACAAGAAATCAAATTGTTTTTTGGCAGAAAATCTACAAATCTTATTTCTTACCCAAGACATCCTCCATTTTTTTAACATTTTTAAATTTTCCACTTTTTTTTAATCCAAGTTTTCCAAGTTTAAAAAACTAAAGAATCTTTTTTGGTAATCCAAGTTCAAAGTTCACAATTAATTGTCCATCAGTCTTGATACATGACCTTGTCTTGTGGTCACTCACACAATGTTAATGTAATTATAGAGTGGGGCATCTGACACCAACTGAAGAGATAAGCTGCTGAAACTTAAACATGCTGAGAACATCCCTTCATGTCATAATGGTACAGTCTGATTTCTCTTCATGGCATCACTGTTATTGAAAAGTCTATCACAGTAGTAGGGATGTAAAATAGATAACAAGGCTACCAATTAATTCCTGCATATCAGCACTGTATCTATGAACCAATTTAATTGATTTTGTCAACTCAAAAACAAATCGAACTATCTATCTTTATTTCGTTTTTCTAATAATTTTTAAAAAGTTTAAGATTTTGAACTTAAAGTAGAATACAACAATATTTTGAAGACTGATTGATTGTTGTGAGTTGTTTTTTGTTGTATAGTGGCAGATATATCTTGGATATTCAGATTGAAAAAAAAATGGCATTCTGCAAACTTGGTAGACTGGGAAGAAATCACAGGCACTTGTCTCTGAAAAAGTGTCTGTGGATGAAATGGCAGGAATTTTGACTACAACTAGAAAATGAGGATTATTAAAGGGGCAGACATTTTGTCTTGCAACAGGCCATGCACCTATGGGCCCATCAAAAAGTAATGTTGAAAGGATTCTTTAAGGTGATAAAAGTGTGACAGTCAACACTCTCCCTATTCAACATTACTGTCTAATTTAAAAAACATCCTGCACAGCCAAACATACATTCCTTTTTGTCATGGGATTTACTGCCAGAAGTGCAGGATACCCTTTATATATGCTGTAAATATAAAATTACTGAGTGCATTTGTTATTGAAATTGTTGAAGAATTAAAAAAAAACACTAGATTTTAATGTTACAATTTCAGAAAATGCTTCATACAAATGCTATCAAATTTTAAAATGTGAGATTTAATTTTGCGAAACTCATCCCATCGCATGATTTACCAGTAATAATAATAAATGTTGCAAAAATTTCTGAATTTACAGAACCCAAGTCAATCCTAATGATTTTAAAATATTTTGAAGAAAATTAAAAAAAACCAAACAAAATGAAAGAAACATAGAGACTTTATTCAATTTCCGGGTATCTGTTTATAGGAAAATATCGGTGAAAGGGAGCCATACACATAATCATTGTAACAGCACATATAACATAAAATTTAAAAGCTGATTCCACAAACCAACACTTAAAACTGAAGCAAATTAAGCAGAGGTAAGCTTTTTTTTTCTGTAAAATAAATCTAATTTTGTTACTACTATCTTTTTGAATATTTTTTTAACCTGTTCCATATGTATTTACACAACACTGAAGCTGAGTTTGGCTTCTCTCTTTCTAAACTGTTCTTTTTATCAATTTCAAATTATTGTGTATATATGGAATCAATTTCAATCCAAAACTTATGTTTATAATTGTAACCTGTTAGCTAACCAATAACATCAGCTGTTCAATTTAGATATATAAAGCAACACATCTGTGTATGTGAGTTTTGACTTTTTCTAACTGAGTGCAAGTTTACACTTTAAGAATCTTAACAGTGACGTGAAAGATGAAAAATCACAACATAGATAAAGACAATTGTTTGTAAAGACAACTTTCATCTTAGTGAAGAAAATACAACACAAAAATAAGAATGACAAAATTGCTTTTCATTTTTCTCAATTTCTGAATTCTGGGGAAAAAGCAATGGCGAAAACATAAAAGGGGAATAGAGATTCTTTAACATTTGGATGAAAAGCAGTAATGAAGATACAACATAAAACAAAAAAAATAGCTGATGAGGACAAAACACAACATAAAGAGTCGACAAATGGAGAAAGAAATGTTACCTTTCTTGTTATTGTAGCCTGTAAATAATGAAATATACGATCAATGATGGATAGAAAACATACATGTGTGGCTTACTGTATAGTATCAGTTAATCATGTATCAATATATTGCAAAATGACCCCAAAAAATGTCCATGGATACCACAAAAATTAATATAGGAGTCATTTAATATCAGTTCGGAACAATGACTGATATACTAATTTTATAATTCACCTTTTAATTATTAAAATTACAATAAGAATATAATCCTAGATAGAGTACTATGAATACTTTTTTTAATATTAAGCTAAAGTTAATCAAACAATAAAGACCAATATCAGATGTGATAATCAATGTATACAGTCATTCCAAGGGTCTAAAAATGATAAAAATAGTACTTAATCAAGATGACAAATTACACCTGTGAAAGTTTGGTCCATTAAAGATAGAAAATAATAATTGAACTAATTGTCCAGTATAACTTGTGGGTTAAATTGGACAGACTGTCTGTTATATTAACATTATGTCAGTATCCAGCAATGACATTCCTTAGTTGGTATTGAATTACAAATTAGGGATATTGGGACACTTTATTCACACATAAAATGGCAACACCATATTTATAAGACATGAACAGATGTCTGAACTGATTAACCAACAGATGTGATGACCTATTGATTTTATGATAATCAACATGCAAAGGGGTATAACTCAAATTAAACTTCTAATCAGTTATTATGTGGCGTAGACTTCATGGCTGAGCAGAGGCAGCAACCATACAAATATAATTTTATAAAAAATATCAATAAGACTTCCTTATTCTAAAATAAGTACTGCTAAAAATGAGTTTAAAAATATATATGTCTATTTTTGGTCATGCAATAGTCCCTCCGTGCAAGGTCTCTCTAAATACCACATGTAAGCTCTCCAACACCAAAACACTTTCAACCTGATTATAGAATTTGTGTAGCATGTTTAAGTAACTTACTAGACATCCCCTCTTCAACTACAAGAAAATGTCTACATAAAGAAAGTCCTTAGAAATGGCAAAAAATTACTACAGAAATAAGAGGACAATTGGCCTATTTTATAATGACACACTATAATCGTATGTAAACCACTCTTCATTTTGTCGTGAATTCTGATATCAGAATATATAGCCATTTTTTCAAAAAAATTGTTACAAAAGGACTTTAAAATATCCATTTTCTAAATATCCCTGATATGAGTAAATCACTCAACAGTAGATAAGACTGGATAGATTTAAATAATCTGGTAATAAAACATCACTAATCAATTTAATTGATGATATTGACTAGATTTTCGTATTCTTAACACAATCCCAGAGGGGATTTATCTTTTCAGTATTTCAAATGTCACCACCAAAAATCAATATCCTAGAAATATGTTACACCTAGATAGTCATTTTATCTCACATGTGGATATCTTTTCTTTTTAATCTTTAAAATTTATTGAAATTTGAATGAATGAATCTTTTGCATATTAAATGAGGTACCGGCATTTTCTTAATTACATCAATTTTGTTTTCTGGTTTATATGTACTAAATACGATAAAAATTCAGAAAAATGCAATCTGTTGACAATAAATGCAAATAAGTACTTACCATCTCAATATTTGCATGAACACATACAAAATGTCATGCAAATTATTGACCAACTTCTTACTGTGGCACCATGACTCACATGTTAAAATCACCAATTTGGGTATTTTATGTCCTTAAATTTGATTGGTTAATGATGAGAGAATGTCTAAAACACCAGCAACAGTTTTTTATCCTTAAATGACATCACATGGAGAAAAAAATTTAACCACTTGTGGATATTAGTCTAAAAACTTTGACAATAGTACTCCCCGACTGCCGTCAAATAAATACATAAATTACGACATGGATGCTATAGACTGAGTATAGATTTATATATTGATCTGCATATTTGATGTGGCTTATTTGCTCAACCTGTCCAGGGAAACAACAAAAATCAATATCAACATCATCAACATCTCCGACAATATTGATCTTAGGTTCTTGTTACAGTGCTGTAAGACATTTTATTGTCAGCTAATGCAAGAATACTAGTTAAGCCTTACTAATTATAGTATTGCAAGATTTACTGTTAAAATTCTCTCTTTCTGTTGTACAATAATAATTATACATGGATTTATCAAATTTTCAGGTGTGTCAAAAAATATTCCTGTCTCCCAAGTGTAAGAATAAAGATTAATTGAGGAAGCTGCTTGATAATTTTTAAACATACTATGTCATTTTAAAATTCTCCACTGACAAAGACCTATTCAGGTTGTAAATTTAAACAGTTTTCTATTTTCAAAAATATGTAAATACAGTCAGAAGTTATGTTTTATCTGAAATCTTTTTTTATTAAGGAAATAATGTCTCCTTATTATTTTGTGGTGTAATATAACACAAGAGGCTGTCAAAATGACTCCAAACAAGGTTTTTTATTGCATTTATTAGTGTCATTGTTTAAAACCTAAAACTCCTGAATGTCATTACTGTCAAATGTTTGTCAATATATCAAACTTGACTGAGTGAATGAAAAGTCATCAATTTATTGCCATTTTCCAATCAATGATTGACCATAACTCCTGAACTGCAAAAAGTGAAAATCGCCAATGTGGAACTTTACCACAATTTATCATCAGTAACAACTTATCAAAATGTGAAAAGCAATATGGTTGAATGGTTGAATCAAAGGTGCTGATCCAAGATTTTGAAAAAGAGGGGGCCATAAGCCAATACAACATATCAAGTGAGACTTATAAAAAGTCTATGCATTAACCATATATTGGACATCTCCCCGTTAACCTGATCATTGGATCCCTCCCTTTTTTATAAGGACAATGGACGTGCTGAAACATCTTTCCAATTTCAAAGGACAATTGACATTAATGGTCAGAGGTCATCTTCCATGTTACACGACACAGTCCAGAGGTCCAGAGGTGCTACACCCATGTGCCAAATTTTAAAATCAGAATCAGAATGATTTATCAACTCATTGGCAATCATATCACATCTTCTAATTTTTATATTCTTAATTAACTATATTTTACCTGTTGAACAAAGTCAAAAATCCCAAAACGACTGCCTTACTTGTCAATTATTCAGTACTGAAGTAAACATTTTTGAACAGTATCTCACAAAGGAACCATAATTTGGTTCCAATGGTTCCCTTAATAACATATAGAACAAGAATGTGTCCATAGTACACTATCATTTTCTATGTTCAGTGGACCGTGAAATTGGGGTCAAAACTCTAATTTGGCTTTAAAATTAGAAAGATCATATCATAGGGAACATGTGAACTGGTTTATAAAATGGGTTTTAAGTAGTAATAAATTACCAATAGTTGAGACAACACACCCATCCATGGTGACACCCTCCTCAATAACATAAAAAAAAAAGATTATCTGAATTATAATATACAAGACATTTACAATTGTTATTAAATATTTTATACAACAGTGACTTTGACAATGAAACAAGTTGACCTAACACCAACAGCACACTTATTTTGTTACTTGTATCTTACTATGTAAGGAAATATTTCAAGTAAAAGTAGGACCTGGAATTTAGGTTGTGGACCTTTCAGTTTGGAGTGTCAAAGGTCCTGGACCTTCCAGTACCAAATGTTAATTTGAACCCCTGGGTGGGGCATAAAATTGATAAAGTTTAAAGTCATGGAGACAGCAACCTTAGAACACAAGGTCACCTAAACAAATATCTAGTATATAATATGAAAACAATATAGCGGTCACAATATACAAATTCCATATTATCTATTAAGTTTATCTATCATATAAATATTACACAAAATCTCCTACTGACAATGAAACTGATCTGCCAATCAAAACAAATATGCTAACAACCTCACAATGAACTATCTCTAAAATCTTTATCGACCTTTAACCGATTTAATTTCAGAAATGTGTGAGTCTGATAATAACTAACAGCTTGATATGTCAGTCATTGAGAAGAATTTGAATGAATCTTTATATTATCATCAATATCTACCTATTTCATATGCAATTCAGTAATTAAGAGTAAGTAAGAAAGACAGAGTTGTCTCCCATATAATGTTAAACCATTTTGTAAGTAAATTGCAGTTATCTCCCTCTTACAGTTACTGCCTCTAGCTGCAACATTTTGAACATACACATGAAATTTAAAAATTAAGAGATATGGTATGATTGCCAATGAGACAACTATCCACCAGAGTCCAAATGACATGAATGTTAGAAACTATAGCCTTTTGATACTTCATTTTTAATCCATATGAGTAAATTTTGATCTTCTTTTTACTCAATGGAAACTGGTTAATAACAACAGAGACATATATTACAACTTCCAAATTAAAAATATAATAGATGATATTTTGAGGCAATATTGACAAAAGTGTGCATGCATTTTATTTTGTGTTAATGAAAAACAAATCTTTGTCATTTGGACTTGGATAGTTGTCTCATTGGCAATCTTACCACATCTCCTTATTTATAACTGATATAAACATGTAACGGAAGTACTCTTACATTAAAGCCATATTCTATTTTGAGACAGGTTTACAGTTGCTCAAATCCTGACGTTTTCATTGAGGATATTTTATACTGACATAATTTTTACTTTATATAAAATCTTCACCAAAACATAAAAATACAATGTTTAACCAATCAAAATGAGATAAAACAATCCTTTTGACAGCAAATTTAATGGAAAAAAAATCTTACTATATTGAATGACAGTTTAGGTTGATACAAATTTAGGAATTTTATCCTCTAAATTAATTAAATCTTTCATCTTAAATTAATATAAAGAGCATAAATTCTTGAAAATCAAGATAATTGAATAGAAAATGTGGTTTGGTAAATATTCCCGCAAAGGTTGTACTATGCTGATGAAGCAGACACTACTGCAATTTAGGATGGCTATGTCTTAATTTTGCAACATTAAGAAAGAATGGAGCTTTAAATGAAACACCCAAGGTATATGTTCATATTACTCAGAAAAAAATTTCTGCAATGAAAAGCAGGGATAATTTACCTACAACTTTCAAATTCAGGGAATATTTTTTATGTCCTTTTTTAACATGAAACCGGATGTGACTTACTATGTTTTGATGCTATTACACCTAAAGCTTGCTATAAATGCAAAATGTTTTTTTCAGTTTTCTTTAAAATGTGGGAATAAACCAGGGGCCCTTAATTTAGTGAACCCCCGATTTAGGTTTTTTACACCAGACAGGCACATATGGCAGGGTTAGACTATTTGTTATTAGATCAATCCTCCCCCTTTTAATCTCAATCAATGGAATAAGAAGATCTAGATTAGGGAGACAGATTAATATAAGAGCACTGCTCGTTTCCTAATGCCAATTATTGAATCACTTGTATATTTCGTATTTCTGTCTTTACTCTTGTAGCTATACATGAAGATTTCTTTAATAAAATATGTGTACACTAAGAAGATTTACAGTTAAACCACTGAACGATGCTATACCAGTGTAAAGTCCTTTTCCAAGATACCATTGCAACAAACTGGAATTAACAGTCACAACAGGGACTTATCTTATGAGATTTGGTCTATATTTACTTTTAACCAACTGATGCAGAACAATGCAAAACTAGAGGCTCTCAAGAGCCTGTGTCACTCACCTGTATTTACTGATGCTTTGGAAATCATGTAAAATAAGGTTAAAATCATAATTAATAATATTAGATATTAGATATTATAATGATATCTAAGGCAATAACAAAAAACTGCAAAATTTCTGTAAAATTACTAACTCAGGGGCAGCAACCCGACAACGGGTTGTAGGATTCGTCTGAAAATTTCAGGGCAGATAAATCTAAATCTGATGCTTTAGTTTCAGAGATATAAAACCAAAAACTGCATTTTACCCCTATGTTCTATTTTTAACCATATCGGCCATGATGGTTGGAAGGCGGGGTCATCGGAAATTTTTTAAACTAGATACCCCTAATAATAATTATGGCCAAGTATGGTTAAATTTGTCTCAGTAGTTTCAGAGAAGAAGAATTTTGTAAAAGATTACAAAAATTTACGAAAAATTGTTAAAAATTGACTATAAAGGGTAATAACTCCTAAAGTGGTCGACTGACAATTTTGGTCATGACGACTTATTTGTAGATCTTACTTTGCTGAACATTATTGCTGTTTACAGTTTATCTCTATCTATAATAATATTCAAGATAATAACCAACAAGAGCTGTCAAAATGACAGTAAACCGGATTCTTTAACATTTATTTGTGTTCTGGCATTAATCAATATCACAAGGACCAAAACTCCTAATAGGTAAAATTTATGATCATCAATATCAAACTTGACTTCCATGTACTGACACGACAATTTTTAAACTTTCAAGAACCGTAACTCCTGAATGGTACAAGTCAAAATCGTGATTATTGAACTTGACCTCCATTTTGTTGTCAGTAACAACATATCAAAATTTAAAAAGGTTTGGTTGAACAGTTCATGAGTAAATGCACGGACACGACATTTTTTAAACTTTCAAGAACCGTAACTCCTGAACGGTAAAAGTCAAAATCGTCATTATTAAACTTGACCTCCAATTTGTTGTCAGTAACAACATATTAAAATTTAAAAAGGTTTGGTTGAACAGTTCATGAGTAAATGCACGGACACGACATTTTTTAAACTTTCAAGAACCGTAACTCCTGAACGGTAAAAGTCAAAATCGTCATTATTGAACTTGACCTCCATTTTGTTGTCAGTAACAACATATTAAAATTTAAAAAGGTTTGGTTGAACGGTTCATGAGTAAATGCACGGACACGACATTTTTTAAACTTTCAAGAACCGTAACTCCTGAACGGTAAAAGTCAAAAT